GGGACGGTAATATACTAATCAGTTTTGATCATCTGAGGAAAGCGACGATGACTACAGAATTGTTCCACCGAGAGTAATTTTCAGCTAACTCGTATGCCTCGACCATGCGACTTATCTGTCCGCGAAATCGAGCTTTTGTGCGTATCCGCGTTTAAGAAACACCTCCAGTCGGCTGCTCAGTCAACAACACAAGCTGCAGGAAAATTTCGAAAATTAATCAAGCGCTTCTGAGGACCACGTTAACCCGCCGGCGCCCCAATAAGGAGCTTATACTCGTATTTCAATTCAGGTTTTAGTAGCAATCGGGAAGTCATTTTGACGAGCGGGTTATGTATTATATTACGTACTATGGTTCCACTAAAGCGATATTAGTATATTCTTCGGGTTGAAATATGAGCTTAGTTGACTAGCTATTGAGTGAACTGCTAAATAAAAGTATATTTGACAGAGAGATACACTACTTAAACTTAGCCAAATAGTTCTAGCTGGCAGTAGTCTTTATCAGAGATTCAAACAGAACCTCTCTGCAAAGTACTTTGCTCCGAATCCTGAACAGATAAAACCAGTATTTCTTGTGGCCGGTCAACCTGAGCAATGTAGACATATTGCTGTTGGCTTCAACGGGGGTATAATATAAATATTGGAGGCGCGATAGATCAAAATGCCGTGACAGTGTCTCGCAACGTTATAACGTTGCGAGACTCGTCCCCCACCTTTTGAAAACATAATTTCCCTCATTCATCACTTGCAGCGAGCAGGTTTTCTTGAATCATGTAATTGCGAAATCAGCCCAACTCCTTCAGTGTGGTCCAGAGGCTTTTTCGGCGACAAGCAGCCAAGATCAATAGCCAACGCACCGACCGGCGTGGGTGGCTCAATCTTGAAGCTAATCGAACACAATATAACTCAAGGAAAGCAGCTATCAAACCTTCCCATTCACTTGACTGCAACATTGATGTTCCCTCCACTGAAACACCTCGTCTGTCATCCTCAGTCCACTGTTCTACGTCCTTATGAAGAAATGACTTATAAGTTACCAAGTAGTCGTCACTTTCAATGTGATTCGAGACAGACAAGAAATCAAAACGTTTTTGCCCGATTCCTCCCCATCCAAGAAATCGAAAGCACTCGACCGTGTGTTGTGGAGTGAACGGGCTTTCAAACAGGTGATGGAAGGAAACAATCTACTGAGGCTTCGCCACACTAATGAACACTCAGGCTAACTGAACAAATTTTCGGACCTTCGTGTAATTACACTGTTCACCACCGCGCCGACAACACGTGTCCGCGAAAGCCACCAGAGACGCGGAGGGGCGCGGAGCGACCTGGTCCGGCTGGTTCCCGGTTTTCCCGCTTGGTGGCGTCCGTTTCGCTGAAGTCGCGAAATCTTTCGAACCGCTTGAATCGATCATCGAACTTTCGATTCGAAAAAAGTTCGCGGCATCCCTAGCCCATACGCACATTCGCGTTTGAACGCGTTTGAGTGCATTGCGGAGTCCTTGCGGCCAAAAGCGGTCGCTTGCGATGCGACGCGTACCTTCCCGCAACGCTCGGCAGCGCGACGCAAGCGGACCACTCGCTCAACTTTCCGAAGCGTTGCGGTGCGTTCGACCAATCAGAAGCCGAGAGAGGAGAGGAGGGTGACGTGTCCGCTCGCGCCACTCGGCCGTCTCGGCGAAACGCGAATACCGGAGAAAAGCTCACCGGAGAAAAGCTCACCGCAAAACCGGCGGATGCGGAGAAAAGCTCACCGATTTTTTTTTCTTTTTTATGGAGGCTGTTGGATCATGCGTAACATATATCAATTTATTATCATTAAAGTTCGTCAGCTTTGTCAAAAAGAAAAGGTCCTTTTTTGTATTATTTGCCAAGCTTATTAAGTACAGGGTGTCACAAAAGAAAATTTACACGGTCTTTTTTACCGCAAAAATTAACTAGGCATCGCCGAACGCTCATTTTTCGTCCAAAGGTAGAGCTAGAGGTCACAACCAGGTGCCAAAGTTTCATCCCGATCGGATAACTCAATCAAAAGTTATAAGTGATTTTCTGAAAATTTCAATGGGAAAATGGAGCCCATTTTTGCCCGTTTTCGGTTTCTGGTGCCATAGAGCCCCATGTATTCGAAAACTCCGTCGGCCGCCATTTTCCCATTGAAATTTTCAGAAAATAATTTATAACTTTTTATTAAGTCATCGGATCGGGCTGAAACTTTGGCATCTGGTTGTGACCTCTAGCTCTACCTTTGGGCGGAGAATGAGCGTTCGGCGATGCCTAGTTTATTTTTGCGGTAAAAAAGACCGTGTAAATTTTCTTTTGTGACACCCTGTATATTGCTCCCAAATTAAAAATGGCGGGCCAGTGTTTTCTGCGGCTTACTCTCTAGGCAACTAAAACCTAACTGAAAATTTTATGAACTTGAATAACATGAAAGAGTTCGAAAACTTATGTCTCCCTAAAACCTAAAAATCAAAACTGTAAACACCGAAAATCCGAAAGCGCGTGTGCAACAACGCGGTGCCTGAAATTCTTTTTGAAGCTTTTATTTACCTTTGAAAACAGGATAAAACAGTCAGTAGGGTATCGAGGCTGCTTTCTTCCACCGACATGCACGTTTTCTAGCTGTTCGTGCTGGTGTTTCCGCACGTTGCCTTTGTATGATAGTGCCCTTCTATGGTGAGCCACTCATGACTTTCAGAGCTGCACACTGGCACCGTTGTTACTCGTGACCTATATAAGAAATAGTCTTCTGTAAGGTAGTGAATAGGGCGAGTTGGTAAACGTTATACATGATGAAAACCGCTCAAACGACGACGACGGAATGAAGACAAGAAACACGACAGGACGAAGCTGTTCTCGCAACTAAAGCTTTCTTAGTGAAATTAACAGAGAGAAAACAGCGTAGCCGACACTAACTGCATCAACAAATACCTACTTAACTATTAGGTACTACAGAATATTTGGAGCTGAAACGGTTCACACACCGCTATTCATATTGGCTCACAAAGAACAAACCTCTTTATTTGACAGAGCTATACCGGTGGCGCACCCTGCTGTCAATAAATTGTTGTCTTCTTTTACCGGTGTACGATGTTCTTATATCATTTTTGCGGCTTCATTAATATACCGAATGGGTGATTACTAATTTCTGAGGAATTAGTAAATATGCCCAATGACCATCAAGAATATTACAAGAAAGAGGACATATATATATATATTTTTAATGAAGTGGCGAATGAGAATTGTGTTAAATTGCCACGTTTGACGCAAAATCCGCTAAGTTAAAAAAAAAAAAAAAAAAAAAATCGGTGAGCTTTTTTCCACATTTGCCGGTTCTCCGGTGAGCTTTTCTCCGGTGAGCTTTTCTCCGCCGCCTGCGAAACGCATCCGGTTCTGCGCTCGCAGTGCTTGCTTTTTCGTTTTGGGGAGCGGTGGGGTCCGTGGGGACTGGTTTTTCAAGGCTGCGATGTTCAAGTTCGACAAAATGTCGGGGAAGCCAGCGAGATTGTCCCAAGATCGAACACTTCGGCGATGTCGCTCACCAAACGTTTAATAAATAATTGGTTCTGGCCAAAGCACAGCGAGCTTTTCTTTCTCCCTTCCACTTCGTTTGTAAGTTATGCAAACAAAGATAATAAAACTTTTTCACCAACTAAAAATATTAAGCTGATTTTGCATGGAGGCTTTACGTTAATACAATTTAGTTACTTAAACAGTTACTTTAAAGGGATACTTCAACGAAATTTGAAATATTCCCGTCGTGTTCAAAATTAGGTTGAATATGATCCACAATATCCGTAAATGAAAATCGCACGTTTGTATTTTGATCCTGGTGGCTGTAATTTTCGTTATAAACGGCCCACTCTGGCAAGCGCTCGGAGAAGGCCCAGCTTAGAGCACGTGACATTCAACGGAATTGTGACGTAGCTCGTCTCAAGACGAGCAAAGTTACGGCGAGGCTGACGTCGAGAGGATGGCCTAATCGTTCCAGCCACCGAAGCGGCTGCTTTTGTACGAATTTTGAGTGACAAGTTAATCTTCTATAATCTTCTAGGGGGACAATAGCGACTTCTGCGATACACAAAAGGGATTCTCGGGAAGAGGGGAGTTCCTCCTTCCTTCCTTCTCTCGTCGTGGCCGGAGACGAGACAAACTCCGTCACTTGCTGTCAAGGTTCCTAGACGAGCATTACAAACGAGTTGTTAGCGACATCCACCAGGTGCTCTTTGCTGATCGTTTAATTCGTTTTAAAATTCCTTTTCGAGACTTTTTTAACAAGATATTGGTATGTTCCATGTGATACTGCTCTTTGGAACACATATAGACCAAAAAATGAGCGCCGAAATTTCGTTGTAGTATCCCTTTAAACTTGCAATATTTCTTTCTTCCATCTTGTTTTCAGTCATCAATCAATCCTTCATGATTAAAACTACAACTCGTGGTAAACAACCTTTTCTAGCTACAGTGATTAAAATCAAATGAATCTGATTTAAATTAAATAAATATCATCCATTTTAAAAAATAAAAACAGAAAACATGATTTTTTTTTGTTTGCCCTGATTCAATGCAAAAACTGCCCGAGTGGGGTAACTTTCCTCAAACAAATTAATCATAAGAAAACATAAACAAAGCTTCCTTTCAGGTCTAGAGAAATACTTCTAGTTACAGCAATAAAATGCTATTAAAAGATACCAAACCTTCTGGCCGTATTCCCCAAAAAGTCCAACACAAGAAACAACAACTCTTTGCAGGTTATTTTGGTTACCCCTGACACAATTTCTGTATAAGTATCGAATAAATTATAAGGTTATCACAAGGCCCATCACCCTGGTGACCATGTCACAAGGTCATGCGACCACTGTCACATTGACGAAGCCACAGAGGTTTCATAGAAGGGAGAAGAGGAGTTGGGCAGTTGAAGTTTCTAGCTTGCACCCTTTACCACTCCACCCTGCGCAGCCGAGGGGTAGGTTGATGGATAGGATGAGATGAATACGAGCTTCTCAGCGACTACCTCCAGGAGTTTATTGATTTTAAGGTATTGACATTTATCGACGCAACACTTGTTTGCAACTTTTGCTGTGGGACAAATTAGTATTGCCAATGAATACGGCATCAACGCAAAATCCGGATGAAGAAATATTAATTGATACCAGCGCATACTCTTGAATCAATCACACGGATATGATTTATTTTTGAAAAATATAAAACCCTGCAAAACTAAACTCGGAATTTCGGAGAATTGGGAATCTAACAAAAATAAACTACGAGAAACTCTAAATTTTCGGCAAAATATAAACTCCGATAAACACCCTCCGAATTCGCCGAAAAACAAACTCAGGAAACAGGAAATTCTACCTATAACATATTTGAGTTAAAAAAGGACGTGGAATGATTATGCATTTAAACCAGAAGTAACACTGCATGCAACTGTACGTGGCACTAGTGAAAGCAGTGAATGTTCGAAATATATATGATCTTAGCAATGCCTGAGCAACCCTTAACGAAGTTGCTGCTAAGCAGGTAACCTCGACGTCTGAAACAACATGCCAAGTTCAAACGTGGACGAAAAAACAGCGAACTGGCCTAACTTGCCGACATATGGTCACCTGTCGGGTGGCAGTGAAATGTCGCAGCTCGGTCACGAATACGCAGAAAAACTGAGGAAGGGGAAGAGACGAGAGCGTGCGGGGACGTAAGAACGCTCTCGATTAGGAACGATTAGTGGGTAGACCTAAAGCAAGCTGCCTTTTTCTTCACTGTACCCGTCGCAAAGCGTTGGAAAGCCGAACGCCGGCATCCGGCATTTGGTTTTCGTCTCCTCCTCTGCCTCACTTTCTCGGCACGCAAGTTATGACCGTTGGCGGCTGCTCTGCTGTGCACAGGTCGGAACACAACGTTTCGTTCCTGGCTTTTCGTATTCTCTCACCTTGTGCGTTATTTGACATAATGCAGTTCAACATCATCAATGCTTCGAATACTAGAACATGCTCAGCATAATAGATTTGTAACGTGTAACATTAAAAAAAAAGAGCGAAATATATTATATGTACTACCTCGAGAGCGCAAACAAAACTCTCTCGTTAACAACAGTTTCTGAAGACTTCTCGTAGTCCCACAAAAAGTGTCTTGTCGGGCAAGACCCACGGCAATGCGAGCATCATTCGCCGAGATTCGATGGGGAAACAGCACACTGTTAATGGCTAGTACCGACCAGTTAAGCAGAGAGTAACAATCTCAACAGTTATCACCCCTCAACGTATGCACAGGCTTGCAGAAACGATTCTTGTGACACTGCACCTGCTCTAAAATGGAGGTTGGTAACCCAAGGCCGTACGTAGCCTTCGCTTGATGAGACAGATTGAAGAGACCCACGATTACAATTGGCATCAAGTTGGGCAAGTTATATATGCATTCAGGGGCTCGACTTCCAAACGCACGATAAAGCGTCAAGGATTACATTAGATGTGGACAAGCTTACAGATGGGGGACACAAACTGAGGTCACATATCTGTTTGAGGATGACTGACTTCCACTCCGTACCTAAATTACTTTATTTTTTTCTTTAACTTTCCGAGATGGATATTTGACAACTTTCTTAACGCGGGGGCAATATCTAAAAAAAAAAACCATTGGTTACTGCCCATACTTGTAATGACAAAAGAGAACGTCGACGTCACTATCCTGTCGCTGCCTGTACACATCGCGGCAATTCGGTCTGCCGACAATTGAGGTCGCTGACCCCTGCCCTGTAAAGACAATGATCTCGACATATTGGCGATTAAGCTCCTTTTCTTTTCCTGCAAAAGCAGATGCGCAACTTGCATGCGCACAAAAATATGAACACAAGGCCGTGACTGTGCCCCGGCAAATCAACCAAATGACTCCTAACACATAACAAAAAAAAGCGTAAGCAGAAAATATGCACATAGATTCTAGCTGCAACTCAAACTACTAGTAGTGATGACTAATACTGCATACAAAACTGCGTCAACAAGGACAAGAACAACAACCCGTACCATACCACATATAAATTAAGAGCTAGAGTCTCACTGCATGTGAAGCATTCAGTGAGGCCCTAACTCCGGGATAAAACAAATGCATGCTGGACCCTCGAAACCAAATGTAGGCGTGTCGGGAGGGAGAAACCGAAAAGTCCAAAGCGAAAGGGAAGGAGTTGCGTCGAGTGGCCTTCACCGAACAACACTGCCGGTTCGAGAAGGGAACGACAAAATGCGCCCCTCAGCGCGGGATTCGGTCCCTCAGGAATTCCAGCAGAGCCGGCGTCCCCTTGGACAGTATCGCCGGCCGTGGATTTCGGAAAGGATTCCCTTCAAGCTGCAAATTCCTAAAAAAAGAAAATGGAAAAAAAAGGGGGGCAAGGTTATACAAGTTACCGTAAAGGCTGGTTTCACACAGCTGCGTTTTCGTACGATTGGGTTCTTGTGATCACTTATGACAAGAGTAAACGCACTGCCATGCTGGCGCCATTTATAAGGTGGCCCTGGAACCGAGTTTCAGTACAGCGAAGGATCTACGGTATTGGCAAGATTAAATGTATGTACGATCTATGAAAAATGGTTGTTTACAACCACAAAAAAAAAAGTTTCAAGCAAAAAAAAAAAAAGGAAAAATAAACAAATTAAAATGCGCAAAAAAAGTAGGGATTATATGAAAACGTCGAGTGTTCCAGAGCTACTCAATGGATGGCGCCAGGGTGTTCCCTCAAAGGCTTATCGGTACATACTGGTGTTGCGCGGATATTCGAATTTTCGAGTAGCAGTTTTGAATAATATGCAATTCAATATTCAATTCAAGATCATGCGTCACACTATGGGTTTCGAAAAAATCGTTCCACAGAGTTAGCTTTACTTGATCAAAAAGAGTTTACACTGGAGAACTTTAAAACAAAAATATTGTCCTTGTTGTTTATGTAGATTTTACAGAAGCTTTTGATTACCTAAACCATAAACTACTCTTCCGAAAGCTCGAGACATATGGCATCAGAAAACAGGCTTAACACTATTAAAGAGCTACTTCAGGAACCGGAAGCAGTACGTGCACATTGACGGTTATTTATCAGATTTAAAGAATCTAACATTGGGGGTGCCTCAAGGAAGTATTTTAGCACTGCTCCTGTTTAATATATATATATATAAATAAATTTGTAAATATCAACAAGCAAGAAAAATTTTGTATCTATGCTGATAACACCAGTGTCTTCCTATCTGCTTGGACTAGGGATGAGATAGCTGTTATTATAAATAGCATACTAGCAGGGTTAGAATCACGGCAGATGCAAACTTGCTAAAAATCAACACAATTAAGACAAAGGCTATTTGCTTGAGACCTAAAAACAAATTTGTTGAAATTCCAACCAATATCATAATGTAGTACTCTTCACCGATTGAGGTTGTTAGATCATTTAAAACACTAGGAGTGTATTTTTCCAAAAATATGTCTTGGGTACCATAACATTGATTGTATCACATCAAAGCTGAGCACATCAAAGCTAAGCCGTGTGGTAGGTTTAATGTATCGGCATTCTTATATTCTTCCATTCAGTGTCAAACTACTTCTGTACCAGTCATTATTTTGTTCTCATCTAAACTACTGTAATTAGATTTGGGGGACAACCACCGGATCAACCTTCAGAAAATACATCTCTTGCAAAAAAAGACTTTTAAGAATCATTTGCAATGTCGGCTACGATTTTCACACAGAAACACTTCTTTGCAATCTGAATCTCATGTAAATCTTCACATTCTACAACTTTAAGTCATGTGTAGCGCGTTCGTTGTTGAGGACGGAAGAGATACTGCAACCGAATCCGAGCTTAGGTGAAAACATTGTGTTAATCCCCGTGCTGTTGGGCTCGCACCATCAAGTTGATTCGTCGTCATTGTTGGTGGCGACGCTGGACATATTCGCTGCTACCTTATGCATCAAATATAAAGCAAAATGCAGAGAAAATAGTGACTGTTTCATCTCTCTAGCATCACTGCAGAAAAAAAGCTAAATTTATTCAACTCACAATTCTGAACCCTGGTTCATCGAAAACGCCTGCTGCAATTTATGGTCCTCAAAGAATAAAATAACCCTTCCAAAGTTACTAGATAAATTAACCTTAAGCCACAGAGATATAACAACTCTTTCACCCAAAGAATTACGATATTATTTTTTGTGTAACGAGTGATATACATAGAGTTGTGTTTGTATGGTATTTCCTGTTTTGTTTGTTTTTGCATTAGCTGTTCTCTTCATTAGCTTATATTCTTTAACCTTTTCTTTTACTCCAATATGTATAACACATATAACCTATGTGTGTACTCCCATTGCCGCTGCTGCTGAAACTTTTGTGGAGCTGGGAACTCGTCAAGCTGTCCATGCAGCTTAAATTTTTTCCCAGCCCCCACCATTATAAAAAAAATGCTAAAAAAACATTGAATTAAGATGAACTGCGACATTCATACTTTTTGCATTGTTGATTGCAACGAATTAGTCCCATTGAGTGCGCTTCTTGTCGGGCACACGTGCACTACGGGGAAGCAGTACCAGGGGTGGAAGCAAGCTTCAGCCTTTTGTAGCAGGTCTGGGAGCAGCAAAGATGCTCCTTTGGAGTAGCTTTGGAGCAGCAAAAGTTGAGTTTCAAAGCAGTATGAGTAAATCTTGGAGCAGGCCATCCGGGTCAAACTTAGGGCTATAAGTGCAGATGTGTTTTTCTAAATACAAAAAAACATCACAATGAAAAAGCATCTCCATGTGACGCTCCAGAACCATTTCCAAAGATACCCTTTCCTTAAATATATTTCAGCCCATAGCATAAAAAGCAAACAGCGTAATTACAATTTACCTGAATGGCAGCTATTGCGAACTGCCCAGGTAGGGGGGGTTGGTTCCTCTTATGGCTTTACAATAGAAGGCATAGTCAACGAAAGAAGCACTACTTGAGTCTCATGAAAACAAAACGTTGTGTCTATTTGATAACCAAAGTCACAAGTTCCATATATTGAAAACAAAACCATTTCAAGGTGCCACCAAGTATGGTATGAAATAAAACCCAACACTAATTGACTACAGTTTTCATTATTAGGATATACAAATGTTCCTAGTCCCTGTTTAGCAAACATAAAAGTATTCCAATACTCAAGTTACAAGAGCACAAATCTACTCTACTGATAAAAGTACAAATACACAATATTAAAAAGTTTATTTTATCATTCTTGCTCATACATACACACTTAATTCACCCTCACCAGAACAGGCATGCCAACTAGAATAAAAAAAAAAAGCTTGTTAGGCGGTCTGATAAAAACAATGTGACTGAAAAAACTAGCAAGTAAGACCATAAAACAGGTTTTCCTAGCAAATCCATTGCTTGGATGCGTTCTAGCACAGCGGTTTAGAGTTTGCGTTGCTCTTCAGGACATCTCCCCTGTTCTCCTTGCCCTCCAGCCGACTTGCGACAGCGCATGTATTTACCATGTTTGTCATTTACAAGAAAGTTTACAGATGAGGCAACCAATTGTCACTTTTTTGTTACATTTACGACACAAGTGAGGAGTGCGGAAGCCGTCTTGGCAAAAGCACCCACCCCAAACACGCAAAAAAAATTAAGCTAAATGTTTGTTTAATTTAGTAGAGTATAGTTATCACTTTCCCCGGAGATTAGATGATAGGTGAACACATGCCAGCAGGCTCTTAGGTATGTTTATATACCACAAAGTCTTCAAAGAACGCCCACTCAAAATGAAAAGATAAATGGTGTACATGTGGGGGGGGGGGGGGCACTACAGGTTATGTGAAACAGGAACTCTTTGACTTCAAAGTTTCCTATTATTTTCCCTCAGCAAAGTCTCAGGTTCTAAACATCATGATTAACTATCAACAGCTCATTTGCAAACTCTGTCTTTTTATTAATGATAGCACAGATAGCAGACACGGGGAATTTGCAGTCTATGGTGCGATAGCTACACGGGAATTCGCTATAAACCCCCCCGCCACGGGTACGTCAGCAAAACGCGGATGCATCGTGTTCGCGCTTCACAGTGTGATATACATACACGCAAGAACCCGCCACAAACTCGGGTGTCACAGAAAAAAAGACTGTGTGCCCAAATCACACACAAAAACGAAAGAAACAACCAAAAACAATGTGGGAATGAGTTTAAAATATTGCATGACACAGGAACGGATACCCCGCAGATTGCAGACGCTGCAGATACGTGTGTCACGGTGCGACAAGCACGAGGGAGCACGCAGCGAACATGCTTGTCACATACATATACCGCAGATGGCACAGTTGATGCGATTAAAAAAACTGGATGGGTGATTTCTCGGGGGCGGGAGTTCATACGAGACTTTACAGTATATGCCATTTAATTGATTCAGTACTTCTGACCAAGCCACCTATGCATGTCCTTCGGAGATCAGACACCTATATTTCACTCGCACAACCACATCGGTATGGTGGTTCCGTAACATTGGTTCAGAATTATCTGAACAAACACAACACGGTGAACACACTGTGGCCGGTAAAAAATACTCCAATAAATATACCTAGCTTTAAGAAAAAAAAAAAAGCTTTTTAGGCTAGTTTTGGCGCAACATTTGCACTCGGGAGCAGGATGGTGCAGCGGAAGTGGATAGGCACACAATGGTGCCATTGGCACAGTTTGTGGGCTCCACAGCTATTGCTTTCCTGCAGTGCACAGGTGTTTGGTGAGAAGTGCACTCGAAAGGGCTAACTTGCCGCGATTATGCAAGATGTTACATTAAGACAGCGTCTGTTTGCACAGCCCTATAAGGAGCAAAGTCCTGACAACCCATGCTCATCATTCGTGCTTTTTGTTTTAGGGGATCAAATTTGAAATTAAAGAAAAAATATTTGCATATTGCGAGCATATTTATAAATCCCCTCCATTAGGACAGCTGTGACAATTTTGCCATTTGCATGCCATAGTTCGTAAATATAGCTATATCTAGCTATTAACTGAGCTATGAAGTTCCGGCATTCGTACTTAGGGAACACTTTTGATTCGCAGGAAGGATGGGACGATAAACACGCCCGTCAAAGACGTGTTCCAAGCACCACGGTTTCGCTGTATGTGAACAACAAAGTGCGTCAACCTACCTGAGCTGCTTCATGTTTCCCAGTTCGGGCGGCACGTGGGAAATGCTGTTGTTCCGGAGGTCGAGCACGGCGATCTGCTTGAGCTTCTGCAGCTGCGTCGTGTCCACCAGCTCGATCTTGTTGTCCGACGCAAACAGGATCTCCAGCATGCCCCAGCTGGCCACAACCTCCGGAAGATGGCTGAACCTGCCGCAAGGATTAGAGCCCGTGCTGAAACCTGTGTGTTGTCTGCTTCTTGTTCCTAAAGGCCCATTTGCACGCTTGCGTTTCTTATAGGGAGCGTGTGCATTTGATCTTAAAAATGCCGCAAAACATTTAATCTAGTTGCGCACGTGTCCCAAGTGTTTCTCAGGATAGCCGACGAACGGTGCCCGTGTGTCACAGGTGTTCACGATGCGCTCGCCGACACTCAAATGCAGATGTGTGAACCGGCCTTGAGCCTACTTATTGTTTGGGATAGTCCATTCATACATTATTGAAAGAAAGGAGACGCGATTGCAAAAGGCACTGGTACGAGGGACTGGTACAAATCTACCTGTTGCGAAATGTATTTCAAGACGTTGGAACTCGGGGTTGCGCTCACCTGTTGAATGAAATGTTGAGCTCCCTCATGTTAGAGAGAACGCTCATTTCCATCGGAAGGTCCGACAGCTGATTATTCCTGAAACGTTAGAACAAAACAATCAAACTGTGCAGAGAAGCTGGCAAACAAGGAAGCTTTGAGAATGAGAATAACAAGTACACTCAGTGCAGTTCTAAACCGAGTTCATAAATATGTGTTGCTCTCCAGCAGCTTTATTTCCAAACACATAATGACGCACGCTTGACCTCGTTCGAAGCCAGACACAAACACGTAAAAGACTGATCGATCGACTAATCAATTAAATGTGTCTTTAGCAGTGTGCCGAATACGCACCTCAGATCGAGGAACGTCAGCCGAGAGGCAAGGGACAGGCAGCCAGGGAGACACGTCAGACGATTGAATCCGGCTGTCAGCTCCGTTAAGGTTGGGCAAGCAAATTCAAACCTACAAAACAAATAGTTTCATTTGCACGCCGTTCATCCCCTTACTGCGGCAAAGTGATAGCCAAGTATCTGGAACTTGACTGCAATGTAGGTAATATGTGTAAATCATGTTTGCATCTGTGGACAATGTGGACTACACCATTTGGTCGAATCCCTAGTGCCTTGTTTCATGATGAGGCCTCTGCGCTTAGTTTCCTGCAGGGGACAGGAGGAAGACCAAACGTTGCAGTCTATACAGAGGTTTAGTAGAGTGCCCTGAATGTGGTTTGTCAACCAAACATGCAAATTTCGCTGAATCGTGGGGCGTGAAATGTCCTGCCCGGCACTGCGGCGCAAATGGTACTTTTCCGTGAAAGCCGTTATCCCAACCTTGTCCCTCTCTACGATTCCTCAGCGTATACGTACTCTGCGCTGGAACTGAGAAATCGTCTAGACAGCTAAAGCCGAAGAACTACCCAGGGGGAATCCGTAGTTTCCATTAATCCTAGCAGCGCAAACACTGAGAGCACTCGTCGGTCGGTTAAACCGAGGCGGCACACAGTGTTAAGTGTGACTAAAATGCGACACCATGTCACGCGACGTCAGAGGGTCACACGACACTATAACATCGTCAAGGATAAACCTCAGGTGCAGACATGAAAGCCAGCCATATAAAATATGAATAAAAAAGTAAAATAAAAAATTGCGCAGCCGATGACGTGTTTTGATGTTGCATCGCGCAGTGTCTCGCGTAAACCACGATAGATCAGACGCAAAAAAGCTATCACCAGGCACATTCCCACGGATGCGTCGCAAAAACTTCCTCGGTCGCACCGGCATGTACATTCTTTGCTCATTAACATTCTCGCCTACTCGCCGCTTCACGCTCACGCGCAGCACGATCTTGACGTCAATTGCTTTCCATCCCAATGCCCAGGTTGAGACCGACGGCGCCAACACGTCGACGAAATTCTCTCTCACGGGCACTTTTATGCCGTCGAGCGGCCGGTGCCTGCTCCAGCGTATGCTTCGGATGCCCCATTCTTGCATGCAAAGGCTCGGAGCGCCGGGGGAAGGCGAGAAGGAGCAGGTGGCAAGGAGTGCAATACCACCGCCGGCGCAATCGCGAATGGCCAAACGCGCTGCACATCGACCGCGACTATTATCAGCGAAATGGCGAGAGCATCACTGTTGTAGTCGCCCTCTACTGGCGCCAAAGCCACGTGTAATAAATGTGCGCATGGCTCGTCCAGTAGAGCCAACGCTGTAAAATAAAAAAATTTAAAAAAAAAGGGGAGAGAGCTATAGTTTATATCGTACCCTTTTGGAAGAGATGTCAGGGAATTCTTGCTCAGGTCTATATGGTTGACGTCGCACTCCGACGCCATCTTGAAAATCTCCTCGGGGACATCTTGCAGAGATCGTTTGCTGGGAAGGGAGGGAGGGGGAGGGGGGGGGCAGAAAGCGAGGTGACAATGAGTTTCGACACTGTGCTCACACGCACTACATTCTGGGTGCTACCGTCGAACATGTCCTTCTTCAACGATGTAGCGGACAGAAGAAACAGAATGCTATACGCGACGATATTCGTTTGGCTGAAAACACTATTTCTGGCAAAAATGAAAAGAAGATGTTACGAGGTTAGCTAGAAAACGAAATTGTGAAGTGCATAACACCTTTCACTATTATGGGGTAAGAGAAAAAAAATCACGAACACTTCTTCTATGAAGGCCGATGCATGCAAACAAAAGCCGGTGCCAACTCCGTGCTCTACATACACAAAGGGCTCATAAAAGTTTCCCAGCACATGCTAACCAAAGCGAAGCTATAGGCAGTTTTATGGTCACTTTAATTCCTTAATCGTGTGTAGCTTTTGAAAATCTGACCCTCAACTGCTTCAAAGACAGATATCTAGCCACAAACAAAATATTGGCAAAATTAAAAACAATAAAGCTAAGTGCTGTTATTTGTTGGCCCAGCTGCAAACTAAACCAAGAACGAGCCTGGGTCATCCGAAACGGCCAAGCGCATGAACCAGAGAAACCAGACGAGCTATGCTCGTCCTGAACGGTTTGGAAACGGCTGCTCGTCGACGAGCTAGGCTTATCCAAAACGGTTAAAGGCCAATCCACAAAATCGTCTTCTACCAGGCGGAGAATCAGTTCCCAGTTTCCTTTTCTCCACTCCTTCTCAAACTCTTCTCTCCTCCCCTCCTCACAAGAGTGGGTCCTTGAGCTACTCCCCATAGAAAGGAGAGCCTGCCTCTTGAATGAAAAGGAATTGAGGGAGAGTTTTCTCCTTTCTGTCTGTTTCTCGGCCTTTAAGGGCTTAAAGGAACACTGACACCCATCCAGATTTTTTCAAAATATTTTTTTGCCAGGTAATTTATTATGGTGACAGAACACTACCCAAATATTATTTTGCGACAGCATCACTCATATTTTTAATAAAGTCAAAAAACACAACTGCTCGAGACCGAAACTGGACTGGGGACGAAGAAGATATATAGAGGAAAAAAAAGTTGGCAAAAGTAACGTGGCTGTGCAACTTTTTTTTTCGTTTTCACTCGACATATTTACAGCATTTTAGGAGCCACAATATGGATATCATATTTTTTGTCTACTTTTAGTATTGAGTGTGTGTTTCGATGACCCACGACTTGGATTAGTTTTGGTGGTTATGTCTAAACCACAAAAAACGGCATGTGACCACGGAGAAGAAAGTAAATGCGACTCAAACCGGCCAGCTCCTGATCGGTGGTTTTTGGGCAGAAAAAAACTGAATTTCGAGCTACAAATTGTGTTCTGGGTAGTTGGGCTCTCGTACGTCACTTACAAAAAAAAAAAAAAAAAGCCTCGGTGAGCATAAATACCCTGTTGATGTTTCTTTAAAGCAGGTCTTATCCATTTTGGTCCACCCAGATTCTTTAGCCCATCACCGACAATAAACTACGCCCAGTCTACGCGTGACGTGATGGAATCAACAGAGGTTCTCTGGGACTTCGTCGAATACCGTCGCATCCTTCCATGTCATCGAAAACCCGATTAGATCTGCTAACCTCAGGTCGAGTGCGTGGGTCGTCTTGAGCGCAAATCTTTCGATGGAGTCTATGAGATCGCTCCCGTCGCTCGTGACGCTGCCGCCCGACAGCCTCTTGCGTGCCGCCGCTTCGGGAGAGTGTTCCAAGTGGTCCTGAAGCCACTTGAGGAGGTGCACCGTACCTCTCTGCGAGATACGGAAAACAATCGTGGAATGAGACGAGGTTGCTGACCGACTGAGACTTATAGATAGGAACCAAAACTGAATCGTGAAACGCGCATTTAAATTATCTTAGAAAAAAAATGCTTTCCAGATTAAGAAATAAACTGCAAAGGAAGTTGTACAAACTTCCTGACGTCCTGCAAACTTAAGTATTTTCACACACAAAACAAAAATGGAGATTGATTTCGACCACCCGGGTTTTTTTTGACACGCGACCGAAGTATCGGTTACTGAGCTCTTTCTCCGCAACGAGCTTCCGTTGGATTGCGGGCATTTCGCTGAGATTCAAACTCGCCGATTGAGGGGTGCCTAGGCCGGCACTTTGCCTCAGAGCCACGTTTCAACTCACATGAAAAAGAGTAAATAACATAATCAATGCCTATAACAATGTTGTTAAAAAAAAAAAAAGGAAGTTTATTATAAAAGTTTTAGAAAACCATGAAACTTCAGGCACAGGACAAAATTACTTCTTAGCAAGAAAAAAGAGTACAACGAACAAAATAACCATTAAGAAAAAGCTTTTTACTCAGATCGCTTCCATGCACAGAACATTGTCCACTGCAAGATCTCTGTTATTAGGATTGTTGTCTTGCCATACATGCCGACGTGCATCTCCATCGCTACAGTCTTTAGTGGAATATTTTATGGCCGTCAAAAGCTTTGGTGACCCCGTTCGCACGTAAAAGAATTCTATTTTCCGGTAAAGTATGTTGCTCGTCTAAAGTCCCTTGGAACTTCTAGTAACCAGTCTTTCAGTGTAGGATCCTACAGACTCCTTGCATCTTTAATTTGTGCAATTCTTTCGCGGGGCCAATTTTAACTGGCAGAATTAGAAAAAGAGTTCACATTCACGCATGAGTCATCTGAAACGATATTTTTAAAGTTTGCCGTGGTAATATCTCAATGGCATTCCTCGCTCCCACGGACGACATTTTTCCCCGAAACTGACCCAACGACCCCATCACTCAAACTTACACAAAAATTAATTATTCAAGACTGGTAGACGTAAACTCGAGAAAATTTCGGACTGCCAAGAGAAACAACGACGTGACTCGAAGAACGCAGAAAATCCCACCGCCCACAAGACTCGGGAAAACCGCTAACTCGGCGACACCGGTACAGAGGCGACGCTTACCTTCACGATGTCTCTGCGGATGGTCCTGAGGGGATTCCCTTCCACGCCGAGCCCCTTGAGGTGCACAAGGGCCCCCAGCTCGTAGGGGAGCGAGGCCAGGTCGTTGTTGGACAGGTCCAGCCGCTCCAGCCCCTGGATCATGGTGATGTCCGGGGACAGCGTCTTGAGCCGGTTGTTCTTCAGGTCCAGCGTCCTCAGCGAGAGCAGCGTCTCAATCACCTCGATCGGGAGCTCCCGGATGCCGTTGCTGCCCGCATGGAGCTCCTGCGGGTCCGGGTGCACGCAAGAGATTGTTGCTGCGCCGACTGCTACGGGCGAAATCGTTGGCACTGCGCTCGAGTGAACCGAACCGAGGTTACCCCCGGGCACACTGGACCAATGTCCGAAGGAAGAACTTTCTGTGTGCGAGTGCACAAATACTAGTTTGAACTGAATCTTTTCTCGAATAAATGTTTCTGCTGTGCAAGGTGATGCATTCAGCTGTGAAAAGAGAAACTATCCATCTTAGGTATTTCACATTTTATTCGACGTTGTCATATTTCTAGTACTGGGAGTCCTGTTGTTACCATTAAAGTATATATGTATATGAATATGTATACAGCAAAACAACTATTGCTACTGTAATATCCAGAGAAATGCCCCCCCCCCCCCCCCCAAAAGGTGACCCTCCGATTTTTGGCACGAGTTGCCATTTTTTCAAAAACACTGAAAGATAGCCCACTTTTAGTAATTGCACAGCACTGGCCAATGGTGATCTCGGCAGAAATGGCGTTACTTAGCCACGGCAAGAGATAAGTGAACATTGCTGACTGGGGAGGACAGTCAACTTTGGTTCATCGACCCTCAATACAATCACAAGCCTTTGCCGGTCACAAAGTCTAATAAAAACATTTCTTAAACTTTTTTTTTTATTGCTCACCGAAAGTTAGCTTTCACTTTCTTTTCACTGTATTTGCTTTCGATTTTAGGCGGGCTATCTCTTGGGATATTACGGTAGTTATAACTGTTGCTTAGATCCATGTAATATATCCTGACATCTCCCGCTTTCTTGCTTTCCCCCTCATGTAATGCATCGCTAGTTGCCTTTGAGGTAAAATAAAATGAATTCAACAGTATCAGGACATACCAGCTCTCTTCACAATTCTAAAGGTAGGACACTGCGGTATTCGATTCAAAGCGATGGTCACTTATTCCCATTAACTGAAGGCTAAACAAAAGCTCACGATTGGTTCTGGCTTCATGACAATGGTGGGCATCACACAACATTCACACACCCCTATAATACTTGTGCAACATCATAGCACAAGGAGTCCCCAAAAATATTTAAGAGGATTTCTCACCGCAAAAATTAACTATGCACCACCAAACGCTCATCAAATGCAGCACTAGTGGTCCAAACCCAATGCCGAAATTTCAGAACCAATCGTTATCTTATTCAAAAGTTATAAGTGATTTTCTGAAAATTCAGACGGGAAAAGGGCGATTGACGTAACTCTCAAACTTGTCGCCAAATGGTGTCAGTTACCGAGAATCGGTTCAGGAAATTGCCTACAACTTCTGAATAATATAACAATTAGTTCTGAAACCTTGGCGTTTGCTTTGGATATCTAGCGCTACATTCGGGCAGAGAATGAAGGCCCGTTCACACACTTGTTTTACTATGACCGACTGAGAATAAATCGTTTTTAAGCCTCTTGGGACAACTTATGACTGGCTTCGCAGCAATGCAGCCGGTCGTAAGCCGTCAGAAGAGCCGACCGGCCTTGTCTAGGTCGGTCGTAGTGAAACAAAGTGTGTGAACGGGCCTGAAGTGTTTGGTGATGTGTCGTTTAAGAAAAAAAAAAAACCCGTAAAGTGTTTTAGGGACACGCTGCACACTGATTATGACGAGGACTCGTTTACACCAACTCAAAATGAGGCTTAGGATCTGCGCTTCAATTTCACTGTCTGCCTGCAGTTTGTTTATTTGACAAGGATTTTTCACGGGTTTTCCGTAGCTCGTCTCCGCTTCGCGTTTTCCTTTTGAGCGGGCGTCCGTCGAGAGCGCCACCTGCCTTGAGCTTGCCGCAGCCGGAGAAAGGTGGCAGCGCGGACAGTTCGTTCTGCTGCACAAACAGCTGCTCCAAGTGGCACAGGGAGCCAACGGGCTCTGGCAGCGACCGCAGCTTGTTCACCGACACGTCCAGCACCTGCAGCGCTGTCCACGACGGAAACAAGAATATTTACGCCGTAGTCGGCGACAAGTTAGGTCACCCGGTAGACGCTCTGCCTCCGGCGCACGCTCGTTGCCCTTTGCCACGCTTTGGCTGCGCGTGCAACGAAGTGTTAAGACTGGATCGCGCACTCCCGTTTGACGACTGAATTCTCGCGATTTACTTTCATTGGGAGAAATCGCGTTGGAAGAAACCTCCGGGATCACTTTCGAAGAAATCCTCGGGATATTACGGTAGAATGAAGAGGGTACCCAGCTCAAACCGTGGGGAGCTTCAAGCAGAGATTGGTCGCAGGTGCTCATGCGCTGCTTTTTTGCGCGGCGAGGAAAAAGGCAGGCGGAAAGGCAGAGACGCTCCGCAAATGATAGAGGCTTTTGACACCTCCTCGCAGCTTATGTCGGAATTGCAGCCTGTAAGCCACGCGGCCCCGATCGAACGATTGGAACCTCTCCGTAACACAGACTCTCTAGAGAACGCACTGACGTGCCGGCGCCACCTACAAGGTGGCCCTTGGAACTGCACTTTGCCAAAGCGAAGGTTTAACGGTATTTGTGAGGTCAAACGTTCGGACCAGCTACGAGAAACGGTCATTAATGAAATCCTCCAAAGTTTCTCGATCCAATAAAGAAAGCCGTGTGCGTGAAAAAAATATGGGAAACGTGCAAAAATGCCAAGCGTTCCGTGGCTTCCCAATAGGTGGCGCCGGTGCGCTCTCTTGTCGTAAGAGATTGCAACAACTCGGTCGTAAGTAGTCGCAAGCGTGCAAACCAGCTTTTATAAAAGCAGAGAGCTCGCACTCGAGGCAGAGCGTCTACCTGGTTCTCAACCTGCCGCCGACTATGGCATTAAACGTTACGTGCGACGACAGTTCAGAGCTTGGTCAATCATTAATTCCACCATCGACAGACTGATTCTTCTTAGCAGCACCATCGCTATTAATAAAATGTTTGTTGCAGACCTCACTAAGCTTCTTCGCTTCGTAATAGACCCCAACTGAAATTGCTAAATGATGCATAGACTACGTACAGCCGCCATTAGTTGGTTTCATCGCTTCCGGCTTGAAGCACGTGACTGGTTCCGAGTTCGCGCGGAGCACTGACACAGTACTCGTGTGGAATGCATTTCGAACCAAGTACACTCCTAATGCTGACAAAGCGTTCGTGTCCAATGCGTGCTCATAGTGCATGACCAACAAATGGCAGCCACACATAAATCTATGCATCATTTCGAAATGGCTCTATATAGACAGACATAGTGGTACAATATTACAATACCTTTCCACGGGGAGCACGCCCGCTTTACGAACAGAGACCGTGCATCCGTTTCTCTGCGTGGTAAACTGAAGTTGCGGGGAGAGCAAATTCGTCTGCTTTTTGCGCGGGGGTTGCGGTGGTGTCGGAATGCTGAGCTCCGATTGGAAGTGTAGTGGGTAGACCTTAATGCTAGATGCCTCGAGGTCTACCCACTAACCTTCCAATCGAAGCTCGGCGTTCTGACGTCCCCAGAACCCCTGCGCAAGAAGCAGACGAACCTGGGCTCTGCACAGTCGCTAAAAGGACGAGAAGGGCGGGGAGGTCTTTGCGTCGCCCCAGCTCTAGCGCAAAGGTTCTCTCCTTCGATGACACTTCCACATCTCAAGAGCTTCCGGCAAGCGTCCGTGGCCAAAGCACGACAGACGGCATCAAGAGCGTGCTAGAGGCCCGGCATCCGAAAGAGGTGCCCTGCTATCCTCATCCTGACAGTGACCATTTACGGAAGAAAACCCACAAACGACAAAGTACCTATAATGCCAACGCTCAAAGATGCGACCTGCAATGAAACTTTGACCGTGCTTAACGCCCTGCACACTGCCATTTAAAGTCTAAGCATTATCGGTGGAAGTTGAAGCACGTGAATGATGCCATTTTGGGTTTAAATGTTTGAGTACTTCACGGTAGGACAGACACACCACTCTTTGTTCCTAGCAACTTTGCCTTACCGACAGAAAAACAGTGGTACTGTCTTGTTTATCTACCACACAGAAAGAAAGAGATAGCAGCTTATACATCTTCCTAAAAAAGGGCTCCTGGCTGGTTCCATTTTCAAAGTTTGTGCGTACGGCACGATTTGCTGGCTTTCCATAGCGACAAACGTGCGCATGCTGGGCTGAGGACTTGCAAATATTGGAATGGTGTATAAGTGAGCAGAAAGAGCTTAGCAGAGAAAGACGAGCGAGCTCACCGTTCATGCTGCCCATCTCGGGCGGAAGCTCGGTGAGATTGTTGTGCGACAGGTTTAGGTTGGTTAGCCGAGAGAGAAACCCAATCGTGGCCGGGAGCGACAAGAGCCGATTGTGACTCAGGTCCTAAGGAGAAATGGACAACTCCCGTTAGTGGGCCCAAACATTTCTGCTAAGCAGAAACATTAGTCCAGCCTTCTTTCACCATGCTATTAGAATTGAAAAGCTATCTATTTCTATCAGAATGCAAGGCTTTTGTGCCACAAGTGATGCTGGTCTGGTCTGCTCTCCCTCATGCTGCTAACATAGAATAGCTTCTTCTTCAACTTATGTTTGTAATATACTTTAGCCATGCTTTTAAGTATGAATGTTACTAAAGCATTTGATTGTAATAATCATTTCATTTTCTTGGACAAATGATTCACTTATGGCATTTGCAACATTCCACTAGTACTAATTAGATTGTATTTATATTTCGCTCCCAATTTGTGCAAATAAATAATCAGATATCAAATCCTTTAAATATATCGTCTGGAGTCCTGCAAGGAAGTATCCTGGGGCCTCTTCTTCTTTTTTTATTACATATTAATGATACAGCGACCATTGATTCAAATCTGAACATATATAATCTATGTGGATGACTAGACAGTATTCTTTTCGGACGAATCTGAGATAAATAAATAAAGTCGATGCATTTCTTTTAAAGTTAAAAGCTTGGGCTGACGTATATTGTTTGAAAATTATCAGAAACAAAAGCAAGAATGTTCCGCCCCCGTGGTTTGGGTCTACAGTCCCTTTGAAATTTGGGTCATTCAACATTGAATTTGTAAAAAGCATCAAAATACTCCGAGTTATTTTTTCTGATGATATCCTCTAGAATAATCACATTAAATACCATTGCTCTAAGCAAGGCAGACCCTTAGGAAACATTAAGGGGAGACGCGGGTCTTAAAATGTTCAAAAAACGCGAAATTTCGCGTTTTTCAAAATTCACCTATTTGGATTAATTGTAGTCTAAGGTACCTGCCTGCAAAGTTTCAATGTCGAATTCAATGTCTAAGCATGAAAAAAATGATATTTACCATGTCCCCGCAGAGCCCTGGCACAGCGAGTTCAATGAAAACAAGTGGAACTTCGCGCCCCGCGCGTTTCGCGATCGCTCGTCGGATCGCGGCCATCTTGGTCTTGTTGGAAAGCCGCTTATTTTCCCCACGTCCCCATGCCATTCGTTATCGCGACAACATCGGGGAACGTCCGCATTCCGCGGGTTTCGAAGGCCCCAATTGCGATCGCTCATTGGCCGGCTAGCAAGGTGCCCGTACGTCAGAGCACGCGCGGCGCCTAGCGCCCCTGCTATTGGCCTAAACGCGCCCCTCCGCTCTTTTTCTCCTTTCCTCCTTTCCGTTCCCGCGCTGGCGAGAGGTGCGTCGTCTGCTCCTGGGCCCGTCTCCGCCCGTCTCCTTAGGCCTGTCTGCTTTGTTTCCTCCGTGGTCGAGCGCACGTTTTAGTTCCCGTTTGCGCGCTTGCGTTAAACATTGTTGGTTTGTTTTCCTACGAAGTCGCGCGTGTTTTGTTTTGTTTCGCTTCGAGTTCTCGAGATGCCGGACGACGCTCGGTTGAAATCGAGCACGCGGCAAGCGTTCGGAAGGAAGAGGAAGCGACCGTGGAACAAAAAGCCGAAGCTGTCTGCTGCAAGTGCGCCACCGCGATCGGCACCGCCGGATGCCTTGGATCTTCCGGAAACATCAGCCGGAGACATCGCGACTCTATGCAGCAGCGGCAGTTTGTCGAGCTTTGCGAGCGCGGTTCGTGCCGACACCGCATACTACTCCACGGCCGAGCAGGCGCAACGAGTCGCACGATCGGACGAATGCAAGCGTGCGCTATCGGAAAAGTCGGCGACCCAGCGCAAATTCGACCTTCTCGGCGTCACCACAGGAGGCCAGACGCGCGACGCTGGGACACAGTTCATTGTAGTGGACATGAAAGCTCTCCAAGCATGGAGAAGGACAATCTGCGTTTGCGTAAGGCCAACGCTGCCCACCAGAGCAGCAGCAATGCAAAGCAGAGGTTCTCCAGGCAACACCAAACTGGAACAGCTGGGGACTACAGTCCTGGACGGCTGTGAGGGGCTCCCCTTTCAAGTGCTACACGAACAAAGGCCCTTTTCAGGGCCAAACAAAATCTGCTCTCGGAGCGTGCAACCCTTGGTGCCTCCTCCCGTTGTCCCTTATAGAGTCTACTCATACTTTTATAACTTGATTTTACATTGCAGACATTATTTCTCAGTTTTATATTATATTTTAAAGGTTCTTGTGAACGGATTGCAGAATTTTTCATCTCAATTTGTTCAGATAGAACTATGCTTCATATTGCTGAACATTATTGCATGGGATCCCTTACTAAATTTTATGCAATGAGTGTCAAAACTTCAACTGCAATTTTCTCAGCTTCGCGTTTTTCGTCTACATGCCTAGCCTTACGGTTGTTTTCATTAGATTATTCTTCAAGGATTTCTATAAACTTTATACCGTTGAATTCAGAAAGAAGTGAACTGCAGGGTGATGCTATTTTTGTATGACAGTATGGGCCCGAAATTTTATTATTAGTGATAATGTGACCTCGTTAGGCTTTGTAAATAGTGTACTTGACCTAATTAGACTAGTTTTATACAATGATCTATTTTTACAAAAATATAAATAGCATCATCTTGCATGACAGGTCTTTAGCTACAAATCCATATCACTTATGCAAAAAAATTTGTATTAGAAAGTTCCTTAATGAGTCGTAAGAAATGACCTAATTAGGTTTCATTATTTTCTTCGTAACTCAAAATGTAATTGAGATATTGCAGAACTAATTGAATATTTGAAAAGAGGAAGCCGAAACACATATACACACTGATTTTCATTATAATCCATTAATAAACAAAAAAGTCGATTTTAGAACCAGAACCAGGAAAAACAGGCATGTTTTTCCAACAAGCATAAAAAATTTTATATAATTCATTATTTCTTTTTGTTATTTATGTTACTTTTTTAGAATTATAATGCAATTAAATGCAATAAAACCCGTTTGCTCTACTGATGTCTAACCCCTGGTTAGCTCAGTTGGTAGAGCGCTCCACTTGTAATGGAGAGGTCCCGAGTTCGATACCCGGACCAGGCGGGTTTTTTCGGCCGTTCACCAGTCACCTAAGCTGTGTTTGGAGATTTATGTTTGTCCTTTGTCCCTCTTGTTCCCCTTCTCCAGGGATTCATTTCGTCATTATGTTACTTCCATCTAGTCTGAGAAAATACATCTGTTTAATCTAAATAAAATACATTAATTACAAAAATAAAGTTAGAATAATGGCAAATGTCTCCTGGAATCATCATACACAATCATTGTTTAAATTATATAAAATACTTTACACCAAATTTATAATAATTGTTTAACAATTGCTTATAAGTATGCGGCACATGGATCCTCCAGTACGATTCTTGAATAATTCGATTTAAAAGCAAAAACAAAATATTTTTAGTCTAGACATCACTAGCCTTGGCATATTCCGAAGTGCCGAACAAACTATGTGAAAACACTTTACCTTTTTTGTTGAATGATTATTTTGATAGAAATATACTACTAGATGTCATGTGAATGTCCAACAAATGTACCCTTAAACTGTGCATTTAATATGTATGAATAGGTGCACATATTTTACTGAACGAGTTTTATTGTGTACTCTGTCGCAGCTGCTGAATGGGGGGCCTGGAGCTTGGTCAAGCAGCATTTCTGCAGCCTTTTCTCCGGCCTTCCGTTCACCCCAGGTATCTGTGTCGTGAATCCATAAACTTTGTATCTTACCATAATAAGTTCCATATGCATAACCTTGGTTTCCTTTTAAGTACAGTTTCTTCTTGTCGGCACCATTTCTGATACAATTCGGCATAGGGGTCAGCGTTTATTTTACAGACATGTGATCAATGTTTACCGCTACCCTTTCTGTGTGCGCATAACCTTCAGTGCACAAGGTCACGCAAAAAAAGAATGTGAAGGAGTAAAATGGCAATACACAGACACCGGTGGGAAAGCAACGGTATACAACTTCAAGCAATGCACCTCCCTGTTGCCTGTTCGCTGAGCTGTGGTTTCCCAGTGCGTATCTTCAGAAAAGCAGCTCTATTTTGACTGATGTTTATTTACAAACATGAACTTAGTAGTCCTTACATCTAAATTACCAAAAATAAACAAAAGTAAATGCTTCACAATAGACCAGACTTCTAGTGCATATAACGTTTCACAGATACGTCAAAGTAATATGCGGCATAAGTACAATTGTCGCCATTTTCTCGGCATATCGAGAATTGTTTCCTGTCCCCCCGACGCTTTTAATGATATGCAATTTCAATAAAAATGTGGGGGAGAGCAAACTGAGCGGTGCATTAATTAGCCATCATTTCACATCACACTTCCGCAAACGGATGCGACGGAAAGATCAAACACCACAAAATATCCGAGTGGAGTTTGAGTTTGAGACAACACACCTTTTGCTAAATTACCCAAGCACAAAGGAGAATGCTGGGAATGTAGGCACATGCACCTGCCTTATCTGCATAAAAGATTCTAAGCAAATAACCGAAAAAAGATGGAGACGAACATGCAAGCAACAAGCTGTTTCTTCTAGATTTTTTCCTTTAGAACAGTTATTGCCACAGATTCCAGCACGTACGACCCCCCTCACGGTACGTGCCTTGATAATTTACAAAAAAAGTCTATTTTGAGTGCACCTACCATCATCTCCATCAGGCTGAGATTGCTGATGTCGTCACTCAGTTCCGAGATGGAGTTGTGGTGTCCAATGAGCTGCCGAAGTTCCTTCAGCTCAAAGAAGGACTCGGGAAGAGACTCTATCTTGTTGCGACTGGAACAGACCGAAATGCAGGCCAAACATGAATGTCACGAACTTGACAGGTTGACACAATCTACATCTACACATCAAATTGAGAAGGCCTTTTCTGTCAACCAGTGGCAAAGACGGGTAAAGGTAAAGTGACCATATTCCTCGGGCCCCAAAGCGGAACGCATATTGGGGAGGGGGGGGGGTGTTGCGAGGCCTGAAATTTTTAAATTTTGGTAACAAATCATATCTTTTTAGTATTTCATATAGACTGTACACATTTCTTTCCATGCACATTTAATACATTTGGTTGGAATATTTCTTTAGTATTGATGTATTTATTTTTGCACATAACATGCCCATAGTATCAGCATCATCTCTGACAAGCAAATCTTGCACATTGTTCAGAGAGAGCACCCTTTCACTGGTGCAATTTTTCCGTCTAGCTGCGTCGTTTATCTATTCGCGCTTCAGGGGAGCCGAAGCGGGACAAAACACCGTCCCACAAGCAAGCTTGCGGGACAGTGGGACCACGGACGGGAAAGCGGGACCTGTCCCGCCTAAATCTGGACGTCTGGTCACTTTAGGTAAAGTACACGTGAGAAACAATTGAAATGCAAGGTAGCTAAAAGATTTCTTGTACCTCAATGAAAGTAAAGGGTGGAAAGAATAAACTAACTACACGAAACACAGCATACTTACAAACTATGGTACCTTTCACCACAATCAAACATTTCTTATCAGCAGAAACTAATCTGATGAAATCAACTTCCTTGCCTAGCCCAAAAACCCTTAGCTTGAAAGGTGTAAATGTTGGTGATGATCGGCCAAGCAGTTCCATCTACGACCCTAAAAACCAAATTCAAGGAACACAACTGGAAGTGAGCCATTATTATTTCCTGAAAAACTAGCTGAAAAATGCCTCAACTAAACTCTAAATGTATTTTTTTGAAAACAAAACAAAAAAACACTGCTTTGAGTATTCTCTTACTGAAAGCGCCTTAGACTGAGAAGAAAATTTTTGAATTTTCTTTGGTGTCCCTTCGAGGAAAAGCGAATTCGTAATTAGTGCTCATCGGTCGTGTTGTTGCCAATGAACTCAATGTTAAAGCTCACTAAATGTGACAAATGTGACTGATAGACACGTTTACTTATGTGCTTTGTGTACTATGAAAACTTATTTAAGTAATTAAATAAAGAGAAAGAAGGCTTGCCTTATGTTTAGTTTGGAAAGCTGCCCGAGTTTTCCCATTGTCTCAGGAAGCCCGCAAAGCTGGTTGTCGTTGATCTACGCAAAATGACACACAACAAAACATACAGGGTGAGATACATACCACAGCCATACTTAACTGACTCAGCCTTTTGTTGTATTAAAGTACATATACAGGGTAATCCTTTCAGTGGGACTGGAATAAAAAAAAAAAGGGGGGGAACTTGCATTAGAGTTTCTTTTCTTTAGCCCAGGGGGCTAAGTTGGCCCTAGGGGCCACTAGAAAAGAGGTTAAATTGCGAGCTCCTTGCTTCAGAACAGAGTATGGAGCGCCAGGGTGATCGCTGGTGGCGCCACTCCGTGGAGAGCTACAGGGGAACTAGACCTGAGCATGGAAACCGAGGCAAAAATCAGCCCACTTTCAGCTGAATTAATGGAACTGGCCCCAGCTGGAAGTGGACTGATTATCGCCTGGGAATGCTCACCGTAAGAAGACATTTTAATTTTAAAAAAGACCACAAACGGAGGACACACATACACGCCCAAAACGTTGCCCCACGTTTGCGTCCTAGTTCGACCGTTTCAGTGAGACACATGTCTTCTGTACTCACGAGGCACGGATGATCTACTCCGAGTGTTATTCGACCAAAGCCAATGCAAAATCATCCCACGTCCTCCTCAAATCGGCACATGTAAAAGAGCCCACCTCTAGGATGTTGAGTGCCTGGAGTCTCTCTATGTCTGGGGAGAGCACGGTCAACTGGTTGGAGGACAGGTAGAGCTTGGTGAGGTCTGCCTGGTCCCACCATCGGTCGCCGTCGCAGTGGTCCAGCGACACGGAAAGACCCTGGCGCTCTTCCTCGGTCAGGTTGTTGATGTTCCACACTATCTCTGGCACTAAGAAAGTTGCAGACAGAGGAAACATTATGAAAATCAGCCCAACTGCTTTAATACCCTTCGTAAAAAGAAAAAAAAAAAAAAATTCAAGCATTTTATTTTATTCTTTTTTACAAAGGAAGCTAAAGTCAGAGACAGAGGAAACATTATGAAAATCAGCCCAACTGGTTTGGTGTTCTATGTCAAAACAAAAAAAAATCTCAAGCTTTTTTTTTTTTTTTTTTTGAACGAAAGTTAGAGACAAAGGAAACTAAAGTCAGAGACAGAGGAAACTTATGATAATCAGCCCATTTGCTAATTTTTCCTTTGTCTATTTATATTTATTTATTTATTCAGATAACCCGCCCTTGAGGGCAATATAGTAGGGAAGGGGAAAATACAAAATGAACTTGATGCCAAGTACACTGAATTGTCTATACAATTTAAATTGTCTATTCAATTTACCCACAGGTAGGTAATCAGACTGCAATAATCACAAACAACAATAACAAAAAAAGGAGAAACCCAGATTAGCGTAAAGATACTGGATTCATAGATTTATGCAATGTGTAAGCTCGTAGAAAGAACAAGTATTAGGTATTTGACAATGCATGATAGATTTGAGAGTTTCCAATTGTTTGAGGCTATCTCTTCAGGTAGTTGATTCCAGTTGAATATAGTGTGAGGGAAAAAGGAATATTTCTAAATGTCTGTCTTGCATGAAAGAGACCTAATTTTTTTGCTATGGTCCAGTCGCTGACAGATGAACTGAGGTGGAAGTAAATATTTTGTTTTGTCAATTTCACTCTGATTACAGTATATGCTGTGGGGGAGTTTTAGGCGGGAGCATTGACGTCGATTCTGTAGAGGCTACCAAATGAGCTCGCGTTTCATGGCAGTTACGCTTTCACCATGCAAGTAGGCACTGAGGACAAATCTGGCGGCTCTGTTTCGTATTAGTTCTATATTTTTAACCAAGTACTGCTGGTGTAGATCTTAAACTTCTAAAGCATACTCTAGAATGGGCCGAATATTTGTGAGATACATGGTATTTTTGACTTCCTGAGGAGAATTTTAGAAATTACATCTGATGAAGCCTAGTATCCAGTTAGCTCTAGCAGTCATATACTCAATGTGGAAATGCCAGGACAGATCATAGGAAAAGTAAACATCCAAATATTTTGACCTGAAGTGACACGCTTGTGGGAATATCATTACTCTGGTACGTGTTGGTGACAATATTTCACCTTTTGGTTACACGGACAAAGTGACACTTGTTAACATTCAAACTCATTCCCCAAGTGCTACACCAGTCAGCTACGCGGTCGAGGTCGGCCTGCAGAGTGATACAGTCGCTCCAACTACTGACTGATCGATAGATTGCACAATCGTCAGCATACAGGCATATACTGGAAAAAATGTTTACAACAATATTATTAATAAATATTAAAAATAAAAGCATCCCCAACACAGATCCCTGGGTGACTCCAAAAGTGACAGAGATATAATTAGATGATTTGCCATTATTTAGCACTGCTTGAGTCCTGCCATTTAGGTAATCTTTTAACCTTAGGAACTTCATTTTATGAAGGATACATTTGAGTAGTACAATATCGAAGGCTTTTCGGACATCAAGGAAGATACAATCTGTTTGAAGGCCATTATCATACGTGTATGCTAGGTCATTGTGAAATTCGACCAGTTGAGTTGTGCATGACAAGCCTGGGCGGAACCCGTGTTGTCATGAAGTGAAAAAATTATTCGACTGCAAATGCTGAGCAATACTGGTGTAGATCACGTGTTCCATCAGTTTAGAAGACGTGCTTAGCAACGAAAGGGGCCTGTAATTTTCAACCTTGTTTTTGGGGCCACTTCTATGCACAGGCATGACACGAGCTTTCTCCCAGTCTGGAGGCAAACGACCATTGGATAAAGATCTGGTAAAGAGGACGTACAAAAGCATAGCCAGTATACCAGCACATTTTTTGAAGACACTGTTGGGAATGCCATCTGGACCGGGAGACTTGTCAGAATTAAGTGACCCCAAGAGTTTAACAAGGCCGTCAGTGTGAAAATCGATTTCAGGCATAACTCGCGACTCGTTTACTGCATTAGGGAAAGCCAAGTCCACCGCAGTTAGCGGGGGAGAAAAAACTGATTGGAAGTATCTACTAAAGCACGCTGCTTTTACCTGGTCGTCGTGTATGGTCTGCTCAAGTTACTTAATTGGTGGTATGTCAACCCTGCCCTTCTTGTTGCTTTTTGTTAGTTTCAAAAATTCTTTAGGGCTTCCTTTGAGACGATTGCTTAATGTACCATGATAAATGTTTTTTGCTGGTTTAAGTTTACTTTTATAGAGTTTACTGAGGTCGCGTAACCGAGTAAGGGATGCGGCAGTAGAAGTCCTACAGAAAGTTAAGTATGTGCGCTTCTTTTTCCTCAAAATTTGTCACAACTCTTTAGTTATCCAAGGTCTGTCTTTCTGCCTTTTAAGCGAAAATACCTTGTGCGGAATGTAGATGTCGATTAAAAGCTTAGTTCTAAAAATGTTCCACGGGTTTTCAACATCCATCTCATAGCTGTGCAACTCAAAAATAGGAAAAAAAGTTACAAGCTCATCAGCAAGGCTAGCGTAATTGCCCTGATCGTAAAAAGAACAAATTCAAGCCAGATTTTTTTTTTTCGTCCCCGATATTTTTTTACTTCTTGACCCATGCTTTGACTACTAATCGTGGCATGATGTTGACGTCTCCTATCGGCTTGACTGTTTAGTTTGTTCATAATCTCTGTTAACATGTAGGTTGTGATTTTACGGGCTGGCGGTATTAATAAATGAAATGGAATTAATTTAAGTCTCCGTTTCATTGCCAGATGGACTGCGGACGACGCTATGAGCCATCATACCCAATGAGGTGCTGCGAGCATATCACATGGTTTCGCGCTGTACACATCATTGCACCCAATCGGAAGGTCACATGAAACTCCCGGTTAACGTGCAGGTTTGAATCGCGGCCAAGATGGACAATATGACGGAGGCATATTCTGGGGAATGGTACCATGAAACTGAACTTTCGGTCGCGTGCCAAAGGATTGTTTGCTGAGACGCGCCAGATGCCCTTCGTCGAGCTGGCACGTATACCCCCCAAAATATTTAATTGCGTGAGCTGCCAGTAATAACGGCAACACCCACACAGAAGAACAAAGAGGTCGTTAAAGTTGATGGTTGGGCGATTTGGTACGACATACTTTGAGATTAAAAACAGCGCTGCGTCCGTGTTACTTCTTCGTCTGGTCCTTCGTTTTTTGTGCTGTTTTTAATCCTGAAAGAGGTGGCAGTGACGTGAAGAAGATAATTTAATCCATCGACCACACATATATAAATTATTATCATTTTATCATTTCATCTGAGCTTTAAGGTCCCCGATGTGGAGCTAGGTTCCAAGAAATCTAAACATAATTGAACAATAATATTCATAAAAGAAGACTAGCCCCATTTTTGGCACACAATGAAAGAGAAAGTAGGGGAATAAAAAGAAAAAAAAAAGTGTGCAAACGTGGCTATTGTTTTTCTGCGGAAGGGCTCGACTTTTATTCCTCACGTGGTGCCTCTTTATCTGATCCCACCGGCTTCCGCAAGAACCGTTTAATTAACATGCGAGCGCTGTACCGGTAGCCTGGCGGTAGCTCGCTGGCCGCGCAACCATGCAGTACATCTCGTCTGTTTGAAACGCGCCCAACCAAAATGTCAAGGACGACGAGACTGTGGCTATTGTCAACCAGTCTCTCTGCAGGACTGCGCCTTGCAGATTCGTTAAAATCAAGTCTACGAAAAAGAAAGACAAAAAAGAAACGGAAAACCGTTTTACCGAAATCGGCGGTCACGCTCACAAACTACGATGGCGAAACTTTTCGTTGCACGAGCACGAAGGTAGCCTTTCTGTCGTGTCATTTTGTCAAAAAAAAAGAAAAGAAGAATTTTGCGTTAATTAATTAAATTATTTATTTATTAACTGACGTTTTTCCACAGTTCATCCGTGAACAGACACTGCGGCAAAGTCACCGATCAGTGGACTGACACTAAAGAAGGCCGTTCAGCTATGCTGTCGGTGTGTAACAAACGAATGGTCAAGCTTTTTAGTTTCAAAGATGCGTTACCTTCTATCATTCCTCGTCCAGTGAGGTTGAGTTGACCGCTCTTGCGTGCGAGCTTGACGAGATCCATGCTCAACGACGACTCTTTTTTCTGGAGGTGGAAGCATGCTTGCGGGCTAGAACGGCGCTCCGCGCGGGTGCCTGGCTTGGGAATCCGGGACATCGTCGCTTGTTTGGCACTGGAAACATGCGGGACACGACGGATTGCCGAGCTGCAACGCTGTCGGTGTCACAAACCAAGAGACGCACCGAGACGACGCACACGCTCACACGCTCGCGTCCATGCTCGCGTACCTCAAAACAACGACAAACCAAATAAAACGTAAAATAAAATAAAAACAAAAACAACTAGATAAAAAAATCTACCAAGTTTTTTAATTGAACGGTAACTTGCGTCATCTAGGAGATTTTAAAAAAATGTTTTAAATACCATTAACTGCTTTTAATGACAACTTTAAATAAAATTCAATGTGCCGTAAAATATAATTTTAGAAATGCTTTCAAAATAAAATAATATTTAGATCTAAGCAACAATTTTTATTATTTTGCGTTTTCTGCAGTGCGTGTCCCCCTAGCGGTAGCGTTTCGCGTCAGACGTGGGCTGCTAGGCTTGTGGACAGAACAGGTGAGACTGCAGAATGACTAGAATTACTTCGATCGCCGTTTAATTAATTTGATAGAGACGCAGATAGTTCGCGCCTCAGAAAGGGGATCCCTGTGCGCGTTCGTAGTGCCAGCTTAAATAATTGAAGCATCGATCCTCGTAGCGAGGCGAGGGTGGTAACGATCACCCCCTGACCACAAGGCCCGTGTAGCTGCCAGCGGTGTTCGCGAACTCCGTCCACCTAAGATCCGAATCACTCGTCATCGTAAAGTAACAAAGCCGTTGTAAGTGTTTCCAAAGCTTCCTAAACCCTATTGATATAATCTTGGTTAAATGTCATGGTCGGATTCGGCGCGGACAGCTAGTAAACTGCCGACGAAAACTAGCAGAGAAAATGTCACGGGTGATGTGGTCTTTCGTTGTAGCTTGCTTAGCTCTAGTCGGTAGGAACAGGAAATTCTCTGGTTTGTATCGCGACAAGCGGTGCTATTGATTGATTGGGTTCAGCAGGGATAGTATGGAAGACGTTGGTGAACTTGCGCTGCACGGAAAAATGTAATTAGTGACGCCATTCACTCGAAAAGACAACTAAGCAATTGGGGTGGCACTAAATAAATCCTAAAATTAATGAAAAAAAATGGTCGTCTTTTTTCTTTTTTTACAAGTATCCAGTTGTGCGATGGGACGCCGAAGAAGTAAGCGGAAGCCGCCGCCAAAGCGCAAAAACATCGAGCCTCTGGAGACCCAGTTCAACTGCCCCTTCTGTAACCACGAGCGGTCGTGCGAAGTAAAAATGTGAGCACCATTCGTTTCACGTCGCTCTCGGCTGTGTGTACAAGATAAACTTGACCCTTGCTGCTTTCGTTCCCGATTCTTTTGCAGGGACAGGCAAAGGAACACCGGTCGGATCACCTGTAGAGTCTGCCTGGAAGACTTTCAGACGTCCATAAACTGTATCCTTTCGTGGGCTTCCAATATTCTGAGAGCACTTGGAGCATGACCACTTAGTTCCCTCCAAAACAAGGTAGGTTTTGTGTGAAGGTTTCGTCTGGCACTGCTTTTATAGTCTGTTGCAGGCTATACTCCGTTTCACCTTATGTTGTACCGCAGCAAAGGCTAGAAGCGCGAGCTCATAGTGTTGGCAGCTGCCCTTGGTGCACGAGAGCTTGTGCCGCCGAGGTGTGCCATAGAGCAAGGAGCTCACACTTGTAGCCTGTCCTGCGTTACAACACAAGGTGAAACAGAGTATAGGAATAGCAGGGCAGACTTATATTTCAACTCGTTTGGATGGATGGATGGATGAATCCGGCTGAGCCCTTTGGATCGGGCGGTAGCTTACGCCACCCAGCCTAGCGTTTGCAAACAAACCGGAGCGCCCCAGCGGACACTACCGGCGCCGCACACGCGCGATGGAGTGTGGGCAAGAAGCTCCCCGTCGCCCATAAACAAACCATTGTTGTCGGCGTCAATTTGAGTCCCCGTGCACTTTTTATGGCTTACAAGAATGGACTGTTGGGCTATTTGGTAAACGTTCATGATGAAAAACAGCTCGAAACACAAGAACACAGAGGAAACATACACAGACACATGTATGTTTCTCCCCTCTGTGTCCTTGCGTTTTGCACTGCTTTTCATTATAAACTTTTATGGCGCTTGAATTGTTGATTCTACATTTTCCTGGCAATGTCTGGCTACTTTAGCCGCCTCAGCGAATTTAGCGAGGCTCGCTACACAGCAAAACTTTGCATGAATAATGTGCCGTGTAACGCTTCATTCCGCGTGGATGCCGCAGAGTTAACGCTAAAGCCAGATTTGCATGATGAGATTCTGCTCGCTATTTTCAGTCATGACGTTGCTCGGGCTGCAAAAGTGTGAACCGTAGCCGAGATGGTCAACGTCGACTCTGAAAATTGCAGGCAGAGTCGGACGAAGTGAATCGGGCATAATAAGTCGGTGATAGCCATTGGTAACAATTATCAATATCTTGCATCTACTGTTTAAACCAAGCCCACTTACCCCAACCAACCTTCAAACCTGGAAGTCTTTTCTGCACTTACTTCTTATCGCAATTACCGGGTCAACAATTGCTCTACGTGTCGCTGTCGTTTGAACAAGCGGACGACAACAAGCAGGAATACTTGAAAGAGCAGACGACAGTTTGAATGATTTTCTGCCGTTTGAACTTGAAGACGCATTGAACGCAGTCCGCAGGTGGTCGGTACAACTTGGCGGTTTTCCCGCATTCATGTTGAAACAAAACAAATAATTCCTACGACTACAAGTATCCGTGAATTCCACCCAAAGTGCTTCCTGCACAAGCAGTCGTGGTCTAGCAGCGTCTGTTTTTTTCTTTTTCACGGCCCCTATCTACGTTCTTGGACAAACCGAGCAGGCAGAAAACACATGAAAACTCACCTTCAAACTTTTCCCGACTCTTTTAGTGCAGCCCCAGTCGCGGCGTTTTGACAAGGCAGGTTTTTATGTGGTTTGTTCCAAAACAACACAGGAATGCACGTCTTGCATGGCGACTCCTGCCCACTGCCCCAGACCAGAAGTGCGTCCAACGCGCCACCACCGCGCTGTGACATAACAGAGTCAAGTTGGTGAGAAAACTGCCAATCAGGGCAAGCGCTCGCCCTGATTGGTAGTTTTCTCCTGTCCATTACTCGCTCTGCTAAAGTCGAAAGAGTGGAGGGCTTGGTGGGAGAAGCTTGCTCTGCTTTTCATAACCTCCTACAGAGTATTCATCCTTTTTTGTTTGGCAACAAACTCGGTGGTACCATCTATTGGATGGCCCGGCACACTTCCAGTTCATGTATATTTCCTAAATCTTTTACTGATCATTCTTTTATCATAAGGGTGAATTAAGTCTGACAGTGCTATAAGTGGCCATTTCCAGAAGATAGCGTCTATATTTGATTTCCCAAATACTGCAAAACCTGCCGTCTAGTTCAGAACTGGAAGTGGTTGGGGGCTATGCGCACACTGGCATGTTTTGGCACGCACACGTTTCAACATGCACAAAAAAAAAGCGAATAGGATGGAGTCTCGCATCGGCTGAATGAAAATTTCTAAATCTGTTTGCCCCAATTGCACAAATTGTTTTTATGCTGCCCAGAGTGGTACCTGCATCTAAGATCCACCCAAAAAATTAGAAATGGATGTTTAAGAGCTTGTTTTGAGCCTCTAACTGCCATTAGAAACCCAGCTTGCCTGTACTCACTTCAGCATGCTGGTAACTGCAATAAGTTCAGCCATGAAATGTTCTAAAGCTGAAACGTTTGTGCGGAGCCTTGGTTCTGCTATAATTGCTCTGTAAAAATGAAGTGTTTGTCCACAGATGTCGGCAAGGTGCGGAGGACAATGCCCAGTTTTTCCACACTGGTCATAGACGCTATTCCAGCGCACCTGCTGCCATTTCTTCCGTTGCCATCCTTGACAGTATTTCTCGCTCAGATCTTTCAGAGGCCATCGACGTTTATAGCGACTGGATTGACGCCTGCGAAGAGGCTAACCAGTGAACAGGAGTGACGTTCAAAATTTCTTGTACATAAGGTGTAAATGATCATTACATTGTGGCCACCCTGTCTGTGCTTGTAACCATTAGGCGGTGTGGAAGGCTTCATCTGTCCGACTCCAAGAAGGCAAGCTGTGTTGTCTGCAGATTCACATTTTGTTTTTCTTTGTTTTGTCTTGGCCATTAAACTGACGGTTAAAGCATTGTTTGTCTTGTTCAATGAGGCAACGGATCTCCGGAAATATGGTTAACACAATGGAAAAGAAAAGACGTTATCACAAAGCTTCCCATATTACCGAACAAACATTATGTATGCATTTTTATTTAGTTTACGTGACGTTTTTAGGCGTTTGTTCGAGCTACCAATGGTGACACTGAGGTAACCGACCAGTTAGAAGAAGCCTAGCAACAAGACGGGTTTTTCAGTTACCCAAGGTTACTGGAAAGCTTGGGAAAGGGGAAAGTTGTGGACATGGGGTAATGACAAATTCATTGGATTTAAAAAATTTTTGCTTCATATAAATTTACTGCCATGTCACAGGTCGTATGTGCCCGCCATATCTGGAGATGTGCCCATGTACAAAAACAAACTTGTGGCTCGTTAGAAAAAAAAAGTGCTTTGCTTTTTAAGAGATGCTACAACAGAAAGTAATTACTGCTACTTTAGTAAGGTGACGTGCGGTTTTCAAGGTTTTGCAAGCTGTTTTCACATTTGCCTATGAAAAGGACGCGAGCACGGCAAATGTTCTATGAAACTGAAACATTAATGTGAAAGCAAAAGGAAACAAACACACAAAATGAGAAGAAAGATTTTTGGTTTTTTTATTGTTTTGTTATGTACACAGACAGCTGCCACTGAGTAGCAACCAGAATTGCACTTCATTTCATTACGGTACCTTCGCACCTGTCGTCCAATGCTACAAATTTCCGCATTTTGAAGTTGGCCTCGGGCAATGAAGAAATCCAGAGATCATGACTTTGTGGGATTTGACCAAGACGTGCAGCAGATATTCTTGATGTTAGGCTTGGCGTTTTATTCTCCTACAATGTGATACGAAATGCTCGGTTTTGCGCACGTGCGCATTCAAAAACGGCAAGGTATATGCTATGTCGTGAAACATTTTGCAACATCTAGAATTTATATAAATAACAATACAAGAAAAAGTCCTCCGACGGCGCACTTGAAAGGGCAGTGGCCACAAGGTTTGTTTGGCTTGTTTCGAGTATGGTGCGGGGTATTAGGCACAGGCACAGTGTACGTGGAGCTGCCAAAGATCCACGTGACTTCGGGGAAGTTGCGGTTGAGATGCTTTGTCAGAAGAGCCATAAAATGGTGCATTGATTTGAACGTGCACGTTCTAACCGATAATATTTGTGGCAATGCGATGCTAATTGACGAGAAAAAGCGATAACTCGTATTTCAAGTGCCAAAATAAATATCGACCATGCGAGGTAGAAAGAGTCGGGCATTGCAAAATCGTCTCGCAGCAACCTCGTGTTAAGAAGTTGACAGAGCAGAAGCCACAACCATTTTCCCGTATTGAGAAAGAAGGACCAGCTCTTGACAACCCAAGAGCCAGTTGCCAACAAAGTCTGCCAACAAAGTCTGCCAACTCGTAAACCTCTAGCGTCGAGCGAACGACACGAGAAAATCGACTGTACATCTGTCATGGGCAATCCCTGAAAACGTCATTCAACGCACACTTTCTTTCCTTTTTGTTTTTAAAGTCTCTTCCGCACCGCAACACGTTGCCGACACTGGCGTAAACGAGATCAACGAAATGACAGATAAACAAGCCATTCACAGAACGCGGTGGCTGGAATGCATCTCCGACTGGCCTACTTAGCATCCTATTTCGCCCACGCATTGAAAGTGATCGCAAAGTGGCAACAAACGACGCCGGAGCGGCCGGCGACGGCGCGACGCTTCCACGGCGTCGTCCGGCAAAAATCGAGAAACTGCCTTTTCCGGACGCGCCAAACGCACCAGCGGGAGATGCGCTCCAGACACCATACCCTAGACGCACTCTCGCCACGGGGCACACGAAACGAGAGGTTGTCGACGAAACGTTCAGAGTCCGACGCGTCCCCTAGTCCGCGGCATTTCACCTGAGCACAGCCATCAGCTCGCGCGCGCACCGCCCCACCTTGCTGGGCATGTCGACGGCTGCCCACTTCTCCGCGACTGCTGGCACGTCCAGCGCGCGTGCCAAGTCGCGGCTCTCCTCCGCTGCCCCGTCCTCGCCGAAGCACACGGTGCCCGCAGCGACAAGCAGACGGAACTGCGCCTCTCCGTCGGTCAGCTCCGGCGCTGCGGCTGTCACCGTGGTCAGCAGCTGGACCGCCGCCTCCTTGCCGTCCTCGTCGTTTGACGGCCCCGCACGCCGCAGTGCCACCGCGTAGTTGAGCGCGAGCGTTGCCAGCGCGATCTGCGTGTTCTTGTTGGCGCTGCCGGCGGTGGCGCGGCGCTGCGTCGCAGCGAGCACGCGCGTCCGCTCGCGCAGCGCCAGGGCCTCGCCGCCGGGCTGGGAGAAGAGGTTGCAGAGGGCGCGGAGCGAGAGCATCTGGTTGGCCGCGGCATTGCTGCTTGCGCCCGAGGCGCCCAGCAGGGCGATGAGGTGGCTGCACAGCTGGGGCCCACCGCCCGAGTTGCAGACGCGGCTGTTCACAGCAGGGTTGCGCAGTGCCAGGCGGAGCAGGTCCAGTGCGGGGAACACAAACTCTGCGACAGGGTTAGAAGGACGGACGAGAAAATGAAAACGTTGGGTGCCGACGACTCCTGTGTTAGTTATGTGCGGGCCTTTTAATGCAGGTAACCTCGAGGACGACCTCGAGGACGACCCCAAGGACGACCTCGAGGACGATGCCTAGAGATGATAACAAGGGATCAGGACTTCACTATCTAATATTGCCAAGGAAGGTTGACTCACGCTGGTTGCCCCCTATTTTTATTTTTATTTATTCATACTTGCCACGACCACTGGGGAGTTTTCTATCGAGATGTGAGGGCACATTTTTTTATCAGACTAGCTTATAACAGCTTCGCTGTAAAAAAAAAGATATGAATGAAGGGAGGTGGCAACGACATACCTCGTGGCCAGTGGACAATCTTTTCGAGCGCCGCCATCTGGCCTTCGTCCGGACTACAGGCAGCGCTGCACAGGGCCATCAGCCTGACGAGCTCCTCGTCTGCCACAATGTCCTCCGGGGGCACCTGGGTGTTGAACTCGCGCAACTTCGCCAGGATGCCTTGCGTGTTGGCCACGTCAAACCGCAGGAACGTGGTGTGGGGGAAGAAGTGTTCTGCTCCCGGCGTCATGTCTCCCGCTGCTCCGTCCAGCTCGATGGGCGCACCGTCTGCGAGCGTGCGACGGCGCCGTTATTTGAATGCTGGGTTCTCACTACGGTGGGCGGCAGTTACTTTTCCACCCACCGCTCGATTATGCCGCAGTATGACAATGCGATTTTGCCTGCGCACATGGGTGCAGACCGTTGTACTTGGCGGGCCTGCGCACTGCCGCATTATCACGTGTTATTGCATCGCTGACTACCTCCACTCGTTCAAACAGGCAAACAAGAAGTGCAGGGAGGGCGAGGGAGTGCTCGCCTGAGTAGAAACACAAAATAAACAGACGCAATGAACGCGCAGCAGTTCTCTCCGCAAGCGGTGAGCGGCGGAGAGCGGAGCCGAGTAATTTTTTTTCGCTGCTCAATGCTTGCTTCCGCTGTTGCTTACTTTGTCTTTAAACATAAATCTTTGGGTGGACATCCACCTGGTTAGGATTGACAATGAATGAAAGGAAAAACTCTAACCAGAAAATTGATACAAAGCCCGACGTTTCAAGGCCAGTTCGGCCCCTTGATCACGGGTTACTATTTTTGTTCTTGTCGTCGTCTTGCAAATTGCCCGGAGCTGTTGGCATGTGCAGATACAACGGCCGCTTTAAAGAAGCCAACAACACCGGGCAATTTGCAAGACGACGACAAGAACAAAAACAGTCACCCGTGATCACGGGGCCGAAGTGGCCTTGAAACGTCGGGCTTTGTATCAATTTTTTGGTTAAAGTTTTTCTTTTGAATTCATCACTTTGTCTTTGCCTCTTCACTTGCTCTCTGCCTTTACTTCTCGGTTATGTTTTCTTGTTTTTTCAAAGCGTCCTGGTTTTTGCTTTATCGCCACGGCATGGCGCCACTCGCGGGGCCACAGAGTTAGAGAGCCTACGCAAAGTGTGTTCTATTGGCAAGCCAGAATGTGCCGCATTGCAAAAACGATCATTGCTTACACAACGGTAGTTTCTGTCGATCATGGTGAACCTCTCAGAAAGACAAAAGCAGACAGGCCTTCTTTTCACAGTAACGATTGATGGGGTCATCCCCAGGGATGCGCTTTGTTCCGTCTGCGTGAGGCACAAGCGACACTTACCATTGGGTATTTGGCCGGGCCCTGTCCTTGCCAAGACGTTGCCAGGCGCGCTTCCTGGCGGTGGTGCGGTTCCCGGAATGTACCTCGAACCACCTGGCACAATGACAAGCATACATGAGGTGTGTTGTCATGCGCTGCGTCTGCATCACCGAAGAACATGAGCTCTCAAACAAAGTTCCTACGAACGGTTTGGTTCCCATCCAACGGCGCAGGAAAAGCTTCCAAAACCCCGATGGTGCCATCGAGTCATCGAAGACATAAAGAGGGAGTCACCAGTAAGCTGCACCTGGTTTGATGCAGGATACCAGTTCTCAAACCGAGCCTCTAGGAACGGTTTGGTTTCCATCCTATGGCGCAGTAAAGGCTCCTAACAGCCTGATGGTGTCATCAAGTCATCAAGGACAAGAAGAGGAAGTCACCAGTAAGCTGAGTCTGCTTTGGCACAGACCACCCGTTCTTAAACCGAGTCTCTAGGAATGTTTAGGAATGTTTTGAAAAGCTTCCAACATTAACACCTTGGCGTTGCCATCAATCAAGTCATCGAGGACACGGAGAGGGAGTCACCGGTGAGTTGCGTCTATTCTGGCACAGAACATCAGTTTTCAAACAGACCTAAGGAACGGTTTGGATCCTGTCCTACGGCACAGTAAAAGCTCCCGACATTCTGACGGTGCCGCCATGTCATGGAGGACACAAAGAGGGAGTCACCGGTGAAGGGGTCTGCAAAACCCGTGGTGGCGGCGCCACTTTCCATCACCATGCCCTTGGTGTTGCGCACGATGAAGTTGGCCACCTGGTCCAGGTAGTACTGGCTCAGGTTGTTGCGGTGGATGAAGGCCTGGGCCGCAAACCAGGGGTCCTCGGCCAGGTTGTATGGCAGCTTCATCTTGCTCCCGTCGTCCAGGTCCACGTCAAACACGTAGTCATACTCCTGCGGAGACAACAGCCACCTCTTTGTTGCGGGCGCCAGGAATGCACTCAAGTTACCTGCTTTCCGTGCGGTATTTAATAGTGATGGACAGAATCTGCCGAACTTCAGATTCGGCAAAGTTCGGCACACGCCGAACTTTTCAAGGAAAGTTCGGCAAAGATTCGGCAAACGTCTGCGCACATGCGAGAACACGATCGTGCCATGAATTGCAAATGGACGCCGTGCGGTTACCATCGTACAGTGCAGTACCACCAGCGGTTACTGCGAGGCGCGGAGTAGGCGACATGGCAACTGTGTGTTTGTCAGCCTTTGTGAGTGTGGATCTCTTCAATGTTTTCTGCCTAAAGAGCAGAAGATTGACCAGAAATGGATACAAAAATGACGCAGTCAACTGTGCAAGTGACAAATGATGCGTTACATCCAGGATAACAAGATTTTTATTTGATCTTTCCAGTGATGCTACGAGGTAGTTGCAACATTGACTGACAAGTACTAAAATAATATTGCTTTTCATTTAGCGTTATTTCACGGTTTTCATCTATCCGCATAAAGTTGAACACAAAACTACTGTCATGCTCGACATTGCAACCCGAAATTCCCAACTCTTTCCATCTTCCTAAACGTCCGTGTGTCCTAACATCAGAAACCGGCATTTTGAAAGTTGAATAACGAGATGCTGCAAATATGGGATGCACACATTGATGCAAAGCTGAAGTGGCTTAAATCGAAAAATATGCATATTTACAATAGTATTGTTATCTCTTCTGGTGAAAGCTCAAGAGCCGTTACATACATTTACGCGCTCGAGACAGTGCCTTGCACAGGAAGTATAGAACACAGTGTTACCGCTTTTTCAACAATACACACTTGCAGGCTTGCGCTGATGAGGCCTCAAAACCGAAACTCTTGTATTGGGACTGCGCTGACTAAATCTGCTACAACCCAACCTCGTTGTCACAACACTTCTGCAAAAGGTTACTTTAAAATTACCAGTAAATGCACAAAAATGACGCTGATACAATTATCTTGTAGAATATTACCTTACTTAATAATAACTGTGTCGACATGCATAAAAAAAAAAGCCTAAAAACGTTTTTTGCACAAAAAAACAATATATGAGCTTTTAGGTCTGGCAACAATGTATTTTTGCTGAATCTTTAGAAAACTTTGGTGAAGATTTGGCGCCAAATTTTCGATTCGGCAACAGTTCGGCCCATCATGAGTATTTCAATAGTCATTCTTAATGGAGAAAAGATGGGGGAAGAAGATTCCACCTAAACTTGCACAATTATTACGCATGTTTGCCCCTGAATTAACGAGCTAGGACTGAGCCTAATTGGAAGGCCATACGCAAGGTCCAGGTAATGCAAAGAATTGTGTTTTGTGTCGGTGGGTCAGTGTTTCCAGCAGATAATGACTGGCTTCTCATATTTGGCACGGGGAAACGGAAATCGGCTTGAAGGAGTTAAGTGCTCCTGTAACAAGGATATATACCATGGCGACAGGATGCGGTAACAAGTGCAGCAGTAAGCGTGGTTTCTCGATTTCTCGGACCAATCAGTGTGCCACGTCGCTGATTGCTAACCAAACGTCTAGCCCCACGACTACAGCAGATCCCCCTTACAACAAACTGTTTTTGCAAAATGTGTTTGTTATATACTGATAGTTTGTTATAAGTGGACAAGCACTTACATATGAAAAGCTTTCCTCTAAACTTTTGTTCTAACAAAACTTCATTATAACAGAGGCTTGTTATAACTGAACCTCTCCTAGCTGGTCTGTACAGTACAAGTGCTAAAGGTGAATCCCGATTTCATGTCCAGAGATACGCTTTTTTAAACACTATAGTAATTTGACCTTTTTTGACAACCCTGATGGCCGCAGAGCAACCTGGCGGAGATGGGGAGTGCGTACCTTTCCCTCGAAGGTGACCTTTCCTTGCGGTGTGTCCGAGTTTGGCGCCCCGACGACGTCCCCAATCTTCTGCCACTCGTTGTCGACTGCAACCCACTGGAAGGCTGACACCACTCCCCCATCCCTGACCAACTTGGTCTGGCCATCCCTCTTGCCTGGACAGACGTCGGGAGGAGTCCGGCATGAATACGGCGTCCGAAATACGTCTCCGACCAGCGCGGTCAGACCGGTGCGTTTACCACAACCTCAAATGTGGTTTCTCGATTTCTCGGACCAAGAAGCGTACCATGTCGCTGAATGGTAACCAAATTCCTCCCAAGCTTGGTACTAAAGTCGAGGCCGCTTTTGCGGTGCTGATCGGTTGAGGATTTGACTGACGTCGAGGTCTGTCAGTGTGAGCCAGTTAAGCGTCCAAATGCGATTTGCAGTCGAAAAGAAATTTAAAATCGCAGATTAAAGGCAGTGACACAAAGTTGGCACTGTGTTCATAGCGCCGAGTTGGCACTGACTGTACGTGTGAACAGGCTTTAAAGGGGTTATGACACGCCAAAAATAAAACTTGAGATAACAATACTGCTAGGACCCATTGTATGTTTCTATAATCCTGCTAAATTTGTTTTAAAAGTGGCCCGATAGTTTCGTGGATAAATCGACTTATATGCAGGCCCCTTGGATCCACCCTATTCGAAAAGGCCGCCCTGGCTGGAAGGCTGGTGACGTAGCCAGCCTCCCGCGCACGCACTCACAGACTCGGCTCTCTTGGCGTCTCAAGCTTCAGCTTGCTTGTTTACCTTCTGCGTTTTGAACACGCGGTCCGTGACGATTACGTCTACGGCATCGCTCATCTTGTCAAAGTGTTCGACATTGATTGCAGCAGAGATGAGAGTGATTGCTATCAAGAGATGTTGGAAGCTGTTCATTTTGACTGCGGCCCACTGGCAACCAGCCCAACGACGGCGAGTTACGGACAAAAAATTGTCGAAGTACATCTTTAAAAGTTTCCGTCAGTCCCCAGAAACATGACACATCAAAAAATACTCGACGGCAGAAAAAGGTGAAGATTTGAAATGAGCGACAGGCGACTGGACGAAGGTATGAGACAGAAGCGTGCGCTTCCTCACCTCTCTCCAAAAGCACCTCTTTTCCGGGGAGTTCGTTGACCTTCAAGTCGCCGAGCTCCTGGGCCGGCAGGGTCGACTTTGACACTTCTTCCTCGAATGCCTTCTGTTCTTCGAGTGGCGCTTGCAGCTCAGAGTGGCGCGTGAACACCCGTGCAACGCCGTCGCTAAAAGAAAAAAAAAAAAAAAAGTATACAGTGTTTGCAGAGACAAGGAAGGAAGCACACATTTCGGACAAAACAGTGGTTATTTTAATGAGCAGAACGTCGGGGCGCAAGTGAGCTGGTGTATATCAAACATTTTAGTGAAAAACCCTAGACTGAGGTATCGACAGACAAGGACAAAAAAGAGAAGGAGAACGTCTCAAACACAGTCTCAACCACTGATGCCAAGGATCAGTGATACACGAATGCGTGCCGATACGATGGTCATTCAGGTTTCGTACAAAGGGGCAATACAGCACGCAATAGACAAGGACAGAGATAGGCTGTGTTTGAAATGTTCTTCTTCTCTTCCTTGTTGTCTGTCAATACTCGAGTTTCAGGTTTTTCACTAAAATGTTATTTTAACAAGGTGTAAAGTTGAGCGAGTTGTTTGATGGTCATATTGATTGGTTTAAAACAGCGCAAAAAGACGAAGGACCAGTAAAAGGAAACACACAGACACAGCGCTGACCTACAACTGAATTTTTACTTCTGTGCCATTCAGCAAGTAAACTTGAAACCAGATAAACATACAAGCAATCGACCCGATAACACGTCATCTTCCCATCAAGCCGACACGCGGCTACACGTATTTACCCGCCTTTCTGATAAAATTTATCTCATCACTAACCAGGGCAAGTGACAGAACACATATGCACATACCCGCGTCATGGTTGGAATTGAAAAAAGCTTTGTCAATCTCCCGAGCGTACTTAGTTCTATGTCTATCTTAGTATCATTAAACATTGGAGAGCATGTACATCTGTCACAGTGAACTGCTAAGTTGCCAGCCGGGGAGGAGCGTAAGGACAGAGAATGTTCCCTCGCCCGGTCCAGATTTCGTACAAATTGGCAATACAGCACACAATAGACAAGGACAGAGATAGACAGTGGACAGGATGAGTGCTGAACCTTGGCTGAACATTTAATGAAACTAGGCCATGAGGACTGTGTGTGCGGAGTTAACGGGAGCCACTGAAGAGAGGCGAAGAGGCGTAGACTTAAGGAGGTAGGAAGGAGAGGAGGCGACATACTCGCTCAAGCCTGCCAAACGGGAAAATCCCGAGGGAAGTCGAGAGTAGAGGACGCAGCCGATTAGAACGCCCCAAGGGTGACCGAAACCCAGTCAAAACCGCTGTTGGCGCTGGTCGGCGCCAAAGGAGCTGTCCTTTCCGTTCAATAGCGTCTTTTGGTTTTGGTCATCCTTGGGGCCGTGTCCCTCCGAACCGGACATCTCCCCAGGCTTCACGTCTGGCTGCGTTGTGTCTTCTCCAGAAGCTTCTTACCTCCATGCATACACTTCACCAGTTTGTAAGAATTAACCACCTTGCCTGCATCGCCACTTTGATACAAGATTTTGATTATGTTCCCATTTCGCTTCCACCCGCGTTCCTCTTTTAATGTTCTGCCTCGAAGGTATGTAAAAAAAAAGAAAAACTTTCAGCCTTTTTATTTTTAAAGAAAGAAGACCAGGGAAGCTGTAATATGGTCAGACGACTTCTTGGACGACCTCAAGAACGACGTCTAGGATGACCTCAAAGACGATGTCTAAGGCGACCTCAAGGACGACTTCTAAGACTACGCCAAAAGGACGACCTCAGGGACGACGTCCTGATGACCTTAAGGACGACGCCTAGGACGACCTCAGGGATGACGTCTAGGACGACCTCAAGGACGACTTCTGGGACGATTTCGAAAACAGCGTCTAGGACGACCTCGAGGACGACCTCGAGGACGACGTCTAGGACGACCTTAAGAATGACTTCTAGGACGACCTCGAGGACAACCTCTCAGACGACATCAAGGACAACGTCTAGGACGACCTCAAGGAAAACTTCTAGGACAACCACTTGGACAACCTCAAGGACGACTTCTACGACGACCTCGAGGACGACGCCTAAAGAAATTCAGCTTCTCCACTCTGGTGAAAACCAGAGTGGAAAGCCTGGAAAGGTTGTTGCCATCTATAAGCAAGGCCGGCAAGCCGATTGTCTGGTTGCCACCCTCGCTCATAGATGGCGGTAGCTGTCCAGAGTTTTGTGTCAACATCTCTCAGCGGGGGGCACAATCCTCAGGAAACTAGCCCTCAACAGCTCCGCTGTAAAAAGTAGATATAGAGCGGTACAAGACGTGACGTTAGAGCCGACAAAAATCTCACCTGGAGCCTGCAATGATGTCGCCGTTGGCGAGGCACGCGACGGACCAGATGGACTGCGCCGGCAACCGGAGCGTCTGTAGGCATTCGCCTCCGCTGGCCCACACCCGGAGCGTGCGGTCCTCACCGCAGGTCACAAACTCCTCGCCTCCCCCGTCGGGCAAGACGCAGATGCTGTACACGAAGTTAGTGTGGCCGTTGTAGATGCGCAGGCAGTCCCCCGTCGCCCTCCAGTGGCGGACCGTGCAGTCGTTGGAGCTTGAGAGGAACTCCAGGTTGGAGAGGACGGCCAGACCCCGCACGCAGTCCTCGTGGCCTGGGATGGGACACGGCAGCACAGACTTAGTGCTACTGTTGGCGCGGACTTGGCGCTAATGTCACCACTAATGCTACTGTCAGTAGTGTCAGCATCAGCACTACAGTCAGCACAGATGCAGAGCTACAGTTGGTGCCGGTTCAGCACTACTGTCAGCGTCAGTGCAACTGTCAGTATGGTCAGCATCAGCATTGCAGTCAGGGCAGACTCAGCGCTACTGTCAGCAAAAACTCAGTCCCACTGTCACGGCAGACTAAGCAATGCTGTCAGCACAGACAGAGCGCTACTGTCAGCCGTATATCACAAAAATATTCCAGGAGTCTACGTTGCCAAACTCGAAAAATTAGAACAAACCTTTTCCATTGTAGAACAAGATATCCTTCAGCAAAAGGAGGACGTCACTGAATAAACGTCGACTCGCATCACCGAATTCGAAGCAGAAAAAACTCCCGACACTATGAAGTCCCGTTTACAAAAAAAAACAACTGATAACTCTATTTCAATTTATTGATTGAGCTGTCACAAGCAGAATCGCAACGTAAGAGAATCGATGGGCTCACACAACATTCCTTTATTCGCACGCACTGATCAATCGCGTCATGCGGCGCAGCGTTACATGACACTTTGACGTCAAGTTGTGGCGTAACTCGACGTCCCGTTGTGTCACAATGTCGCGTGACAACACGTGACCCAATGCCACGCAACACGGTCACGTGATGCCACATCACACTGTGCCACGCGACACCGTGACTTCGCACCCCGAGTCACGTGAAGCTGCAACACCACGTGCCTCGACGCCATGTGACATGCCACACGTGCCACGAACAAACACAAAATCTGAGTTCGCTTCCGTTAGAATGCAATTCTACAGCAAAAAATTTCCCAACCTGCTCGCACGCAGGGATCAAGCAAGCGCATGACCCGACACACTCACCTGAGAAGACGCGCTCGCACTTGCCCGCCCTCCAGAGCCGCACCGTCTTGTCGGCTGATCCCGTGAGCATGAGTCCCTGCTTGGGCAGGATCTGCACCGCCCACACGGGTCCCTGGTGGCCCTCCAAAGTGAGCATGCACTTCTGGCCGAACCAGACACGGGCACTCTTGTCCCAGGAACCGCTCAGCAGGGTGCCGAACTGGCCCGCCGCCAGGGCGCACACTGCAGCGGCGACAGCGTTCGGGGAATTGATGAAAGCTCAACAACCCGGCACTACCCTTCAAGTGCCGGGTTGTTAGCCCGCATGTCAAACGCAAACTTTGGTCTCACAAAGAAAAGCCCTGGCACGCTTTATGAAGTATATATTTATTTATTAAAGACACACCGATCTGTGGGCTGAAAGTTATAACTGATGTCTGCATGCCACAAACCTAAAATATCTTTTCTCGAAATTATACTTTTCGAGACGTGGCACTACGACGAGTGGCATTTTGGCGTCGTGCCCTGGGGATTACTAAATTAGTCCATGACTACGGTAATTTGTAGGTTTCGATGCCTGCCATACAGAGTGAAATTGAACGACACAGGTTCGCCTTTCCGGAACCACGAAGGAGCAAACCGAAACAAAGTTCCCTAGGTAAAACTTCACACGTGCCACCAACGGGCGTTATTACGAGACAAGCGTCGCTCTACGCGTAAAAATAAAACCTACAGCCCAGTTGGGAGAAACAGGGAGCAAACTAAAACTGAAATCGGCACGGGAGCCCGAATATAGATAACTTGGATGTCGCACTCAAAGGGTTAATGTGGCAGTAGAAGTTTCGGCAATCTACAACAGAATCCCAGCCAAAGTATCGGTTTTGATTTCGGTTGTTTCCCCGCCATACTCAGCCTCAGCATCGCCTGTAAAAGAGCCGACACTATGGTACCCGGGGGTTGGGGGCTGATTAGGAAGGCGGGGCAAGGCGCACGACAGCCCTTCGCGGGAGAAGTGCGCTTCTTTGTCATTGTTCTTTTCTATTTAGACATACTGCAGGCTCTCCGTTGAGAGCTGAGGCAGGTGTGGGTTTTCACAAGTCGTAGGAGAAGCAGTGTATTGTATATTGCTCCAACGCTCCGATCGGCTCACTGGGGCCGCAGCATTAACCTTTTATCAGGTTACGCTGAAATGAGGCGTGGCTTCTGTGCGCTGCATTTCGAGCATAAATATTTGTTCAATCTTAAGTCTCCAAAACCTCCTTTTAGCAAAAAAACAAGAAAATAAATCTGAAAAGTTGTATATGGACATATTCTCACAATAGGTCACTCCCCGATCACGTTTACAAATCTGGCTTCCCCTGTGCCCGCGCCGCAGGTCGGTCTCGTTTGGGCCGACTCACCTACGCCGCTGTGTCCCAGGAGCTTATACAGGGGCTGGGGGTTCTCCGGGCTGAAGCAGTAGATACAGCAGTCGTTGCTACCCACAAGGATCAGGCCCGACGGGTACTGGTCCGACGGCGGAACCGTGCACACGCTCGACACGAAGTTTGTCGGACCGGTCAGGCACTGGCTCTCGAAGTAGTCTGGACCGCCCCTGCCGAACGGAAAGCAGAGAAAAAGAAACATTCGCAGAATGCGTTTCAGGCACAAGGACGTCTACCAAATTTCTTCTCTCAAGTTCCCTGAATCCTTCAGGTTTTCCCCGAATATTTCGAATAAACTCTCCGACCATTACAAAGGAAGAAAACACAAGGGATGGGGTTTCAGCGGTTGTTTGAGGCACTTCCATTTTAATTTGATGAAACGAAAGGTGGCTTACGCCGCCTAGTGATGCCACAAGCAACTATTGCTCTGAGCAAAGGCTATCCACGCTATCTCAAGCGGTACCCTCCTGCTTCATTGCGCGTCACTGCCCTGTGCACGCCTGTCATTTTTCCCGACTTAAACAGTCTCTCGACGATTTCCCTCGCAATTCCAGGTTTTTCAGATCGGTACACACCCTGGTTGACCAAGGTCTCGGTGCATTCCAATTTCAATAACTGTGCTGCCTCCGAACCTTTCTGCACCAATAGCCTCAATCACTGGCACAGCCCATTTTAAAATTACGTTTACTGGGTTTTTCAATTGGGGTTCCATAAAAATTTTGTATGTTTGCCTTCCTTCAATCTAGCCATACACTTCTGTAATGGATTTGGGCCCTGATGAAATAATTAATGAAATAAATTAAGTTACCCACTTTTGTTTTCAGTATTTAAAACATTATTATTTGTTTTGTTTTTGTTTCGCAACACACACAGTTGCCGCAACTCCCGTGGTAAGAATTCTTTGGTAAAACACGCAGCCTCTGTCGGGCTTGACGTAACTGCTAGTACCACCGACACAGTAAATTGACGCTAGTTTTGACAAGAGTAGAAAAGTTAGACTAAAAGCGTCAAAGTGGGCGCTTTTTTTAAAAAAAGCTTTTAAGGTTTTTTAAACGCGAGACGGTTCCTTTGACGCGTGTGGTGCAATTGATAACGCGTCTGCGTTCCAGTCTTCTTCGAGAGTGCCTCGCCACATTCGTTCTTTTGCGAGCCAACAAGAATATCAGGAATATTTCGATGTTCCCAGCACGTATCCCAAGTTACGCAACGCTGTAAACCCGTTCCATTCATTAGGATGAACCACGACCAACGCCTGGCGACCGGTGGTAATCTCCGGAAGGAACATGCGACAAAACAATGTAAGTTCTCTTTTTTAAAAATTTTCCGTTCACGTATCAACCTCTCTTCAAACTTGATTTAACCCGATAAAAAAAGCGGAGTTATCTTACAGCCAGTGCAAGCCCAACTAACCGGCATGACTGGCGTTTTAGCCGTGCTCTTTTATGTTCGGTGCATGGACTACAGTATCAGATTTTTTTTTTTCCTTAGGTCGCACGAACCGAATTTTGTATTCATTTGGTGATCGGCTCAATTTACTTTTTGTCCTTCTTTCCAACGCGAGAACGGACGCTGCAGAACACACTACTTGGAACAGGAAAACAAAATACAATCGGCCACAGGTTGCTTTCGAGGGGAGTCACGCTAAAGGGAGTGCAAAGGCGCGGTGCGGTTGAGGTAGTGAAAAATCACGTTACTCGTTCGGGATCCATATCCGAGTCGTTCTATCTCTCGAGCCGGTCACGATGGCACCGTCGGGAAAATGTGCGGCCGCCACGGCCCGCACATCCATCGAATGCCCCAGGAGCGAACATCGTAGCCGGTACGGCTTGGTCGCCATCTTTTGTAAGGTCCAAAAAGATAAAACACGAAAGCAGAGCGGCGGAGGAAAGCCTGTATCAGTTGCGTATACGTTACGTACGCGCTATAACACACATGTATTATTCATGTTGTTAAATAAAATTAACATATTTTTTATAAAATTATTTATGCTTAAATAACGTTGCATTTGAAGCAATATTGACAACTTCAATATACGAAGCTATCGACATGACCGCTGATGAAGTGCGCTGAGTGCACGACTGTGTCTGTGTCGGTTGTGTTTTGATCGGAAAATCGTCGGGAAAAAACATTTTTTTAGCAGTCTTTTACGAACAATCTTCGCCTTGTTATCGTTGATATTCGGCTCCACAGATAGTCGTCCGCAAGCAGGCCTCGCCTTTTTAGCTTCCTGTGGTCGCATTGATCGAGCGGAGCCGATGGCGTCATCTTGGCGGTACATCTGATCGCGATATGAAAGGTGAAATTGCTTCCGTACGCGTATGGGAGCTCTTGGGCACCATCTGAGCCCCTCTGACGCTTCAAGTCGGTCCCGAAAAGACGTCCGAATGTAGTCTGATTCGCCTCGTGCAACCCACACGGGCGCCTGTTTTCGCACGAGGCTCAATTTCCGTGAACTTGTCCAAATTGCTTGCGGAGTGCGACGCCGTCGAAAGCCAGGAGAAGCTTGCTAGCTCGTTAACAAGCGAGCTCGTCATATCATCGAGACAACTCACAGAGACAAAGCAACATGGCCAGCGGTGGCATATCGAGATCGGGTCGTGTACGCAAGAAGTCGGCCAAGTTGATGGAAATGGAAGATTGGGATGCGTTCGACTTGAACGATGCGCCAGCCAAGGGCAAGAAGAGGCCGAGATCAGACGAAATGCCCGAGTTTGAGACGCCGGAAAAGAAAGTGGCTCCGTTGAAGATCCCCAAAGCTACCAAAGTGCCCGCGATCAGCCCCGTCAAGAGGCGCGTCATGGACGACATGATTCACCTCAAGAACCTGCAGAACATCCAGGAATCCGGGTATCTCAACGTTCCCGCTGCGCCCAAGACGGTGCAAGTGCCGCAGCACCAGCCCATGTACCCGTCGTCTGCTGTCGTCGACGGTGAGTGGGCGACGGACGTTCCGAATGTCGGAATGACTCCCGTTTTTCGCATCCTCTGGGTTCCCGTCACTTTCGTTTTGGGATTGGCCTGGGCTGCAACAAGGTTGGGTTTCAGCTGACCGACCGTATGTCTGCTCCTGAACTAGCGTCGTCAATCACTCCCACGAGTTCATGCAGCAGTATTTTGACACTTCGAGGTATGATCGCTCGCCCTCACGGCAATCAATCATGGTTGAATGCCTAAATAATTGTGTTGTCCCTTTAAAACGTGTTTGTTCACCCAATATAGCGACCGACGTGACGTGTCCATCTCTAATAGTCAAGCTAGATTACAAGCAGACAACGGTCAGTCTACAAAAGTTGCTCTACACTGAGCCCCCCGAACCTTCCCTGCTTTTAATAATAGGCAATGAATGTCAACTGTAGCGTCATAAAATAGTCTGGACTAACTAATTATCAAAACACTTAATCCTAAATTAATTACCACACTAATGCTACTGTTGTGCCTTGACCGTGATGCCGCTAACATGTGGTGGTCTTTGGTTAGCTGACGAGTTCTGACTGTTTGTCACAATTGCTGAGAAGGGTTGATGGGTCACGCTGGCTTGTAATTCACATTAGACGGTCGTAGATTGCTCCGTTTTAAGGAAACTAACTAGCAAGCATAACAAACCTTGCACGAATTGCTCCGTTTTAAGGAAACTAACTAGCAAGCATAACAAACCTTGCACGAAGGAAGCAACAAACTAAACATAACAAGGACTTGCACAAATGCCGTCCCTAAACCGTGCCTTTGGAGGTTTTAGTTACTTCCAAAAATCACCTTCTTGCCTACTTACTTACTCTTCTTTTAGCCAACTAGAGTAGTTAATTTCAATGTCATGAGCTTGTCATTATTGCAAAGTTTTTTCTGTCATAACTTCTAACTGCCTGGCTAGCCTTGTTTTTGCAGGATAGTAACAATGCGAGCTGAGCGCAGGGCGGTGGTGGTTAAACGTTTATTGAATGATGCGGTACTGGGTGGTTGCCGTTCGGGTGAGTGACGAAGTGACAGAAGCTGTCAACTCGAGGGCTGCGGTCTATAGCCAAGCCAATTGTCAAATTTTCGTCTGTGCAGATTCGTCCAGCTCGTCGTCAGAGTCTAGCGAGTCGAGCTCGGAAGACGACTCGGACTCAGACGACTCAATGGAGTACGGACGCCCGATGCAGCACTTGCAGCTTCAGCAGAAGGCGAAGAAACCTGCCTTCCAGATGATACCACAGGCCAAAGCCCCACCGGCTTCGGCTATGGACTTCGAGGCGGCTAGCCAGCATGCTCGACAGGTTTGTCCGGCCAACAAGTCGAGCCAGAGCGAATGGTCTTTCCGACTTTAATCCAGGAACGTAGAAGAACATAGGCTGGGGTGGGTGGTAGGCACTCGGCTGGCGGGGCTTTGGGGGTGGGGGAGTCTGCGTAGATATGACGTTGCAGCCGAAACTTTACCGAGATCAAGTTTGTTAACCAATTCTTAAAAAGAAAAAAAAACAAAAAAACATTGATTTAAGGGTGGGGGGACCAGGGGAACAGTCCCCCCCCCCCCCCCCCCCTCCCCCTCCGTTTTAAATTTGCCCCTGGAATAGAGTAATAACTGCCTCAGAGTAGGTGTTAACACCTGTGCCGATAAGCTAGAGCATACGAAGCGTAGGAAACTTGGTGCATCTCCTGGTTTCCGGTGGGCATAACCATCTTGCAGTAATACATTCGGTAAAATACGTCCCTAACAAACGAGAAGCTTCGATCGGCGACCTAGGCTTTGGATTGCCAACACATGAGTGGGAGCTGCCGAGCGAATAGACGTACAAGCTCGTGGTAGCCTAACTTTGGATGCCGACACCTCTACGTACCGTTTCACCGTAACTCGGCAGACGATGACAACCACGGCCCGAGCAAGCCAATCGAAGCGAGACACATAATAATGGAGTGTCGGAGTCTACCGCCACTGCAGAAAGTCGTCACTCTCTTTATTTTGTCACTCCAATTGGCTAGAGAGGGCTGTAGTGTTCACTCTTTGCCAAGTTGCAGTGACACAAAGTGCCACAGCTGCAACATTGAACTTTAATAATTGCCTCGGCGTCACTTTAGCGCTCGTCGTCACCGATGGGACGAGAGTGGCAGGGGTCTTTCAATTGTCTCGCCCCTCATGTGAGCTTCCCCTCTTCGACGACGCTTCAGCGACTCGCGAGCCTGGCATGTGCACGCGCGACCAAAGCACGGTGGAAGGCGATGAGCCCGTGCCGGAAGTCGGATGTCCAAAAGGCACGCGCCGCCGTTCTCGTTCCGTCAGTGATTGCGCACCAACTCCACTCTCTGACATCTTGGACTAGTGTGTTTAGTGTCCGAGCCCGCCGAGGCACTGAAGGCTGTCCTGAAGTGACAACAGACGACGTTGCAAAAGCCAGAGCGTCGCGCCGTCGGACGTCGCAACCCCGGCGGTCGGCTGTAAAAGTTCCAGGCAAAAAAGGCACGAAGAAATGGGTGCGTCGCCGTCGTCACAACGTCCGAACTTGCGGCTCCCGAAGTTTCCGTGGACTGTTGAGCCGAGGAGCGACTTGCAGTATAACGGGTGTCTGCTACACCCGCCGTAAACACACCGGTCGGTGGTGCGTTCCCACACTGTAGTGGCGCCGCTGTTGGCACTGCGTGTGCGTGGACGTCTCACTCCTCCCAGATCTGGTTCTGTGCGCGCGGTACCTGCACCCAGTGTGGGCAGTCATGGACTCGTTTGTAAGCAGTGTGTTGGTGCTTGGTGTGGTGTGTGCGTTAACTGCAGATTTTATCTCGTGAGTGATTAGTACACAGTACAGTGTAGCGTGTCCATTGGTTGCACAGTTTTACTAACCGCTCGTTCCCAACCGTTTCTTCAAACAGCGGGGACTGCATCACCTTGATCCCAGCAGCGACATGATCGACGTCGAGGAGAGCGACGACGACGACGATGATGACGATGACGACGACGACGACACTCGCGATTCTCACCTGGTGATTGCGGAGGAGGAACGCCGGCCGCCGCCGCCACCCCCGAAAAGGGGCGGTGGCCACGGAGGTCACGGCGGCCACGGTGCGGCGCCCGCGAGGAGCAAAGCGCCGGCGGCACCGAGAGCACCGAAGCTGTCACCGGCGCAGAGGGCCAAGAAGATGAGCACCAACGACGACCCCGAGTACGAGGAACCCGTCCCGAAAAAGGCGGCCAAGAAAACGCCAGCTCCCAAGGCTCCACCCAAGCCCAAGCCACCTCCAAAGGAGGTAGGACTGTTTTATGCGTACAGATTTAGTTTTAATGGCCATTGTGGAGGTACTTCAGCATGCTCATGTCGTGAGGCTGAATTGTCTAAAGGCCAACTTGCACATTTCTGTTTGATTTTCGTGTAACTAGGGTGCCTTCATGTGCGCTTTGCTTAGGGTGGTGACATCTGGCCATGTTGTTCCACACGTTTGTTTTTCTCTTTTGGTGAGAGGCACGTGAAAGAGCGTGTCTCTGCATGCGTTTGTGGCGCAGACTTTGCTATGCCGACATTTTGTTTTCGTTGGTTTCTTTGTACTTTCCTCGTGAGCGTGTGCTGTCGACATCGGGTACTACAGGGGGTGGCATCACCCTACGTGTAAATAGACCGAATGCTTTTTGCAGTATAATTTGCGAGGCTGTCTCGCTACCTGTGAGAGGTGGTCGCTAATAGGTAGGGTTTCGTGTTTTCGGAATTTACTTTTTATGATATTTAGAGGGCATTTGTCAGTTCACTTTTTGCCAGAAATTCAGGGTTTATCGGAGTTTACTTTTGTTATCCAGATCCTTCGAAATTCCAAATTTAAATTGACCATGTTCCTGTTCTTCAAACTTCAATACAAAAATAAATATTCGGATAAATACGTGCCCCAAACTTACACAAACTTGCAGCTGCAGTTGGCATTGATGCCCTTGCGATCGGCAGTACTAACTGCCCCGCCACAAATCTTGCAAACAAGTGTTGCTTCAGTCAACATTGGTAATTGTTTAGTCCCTGTGTCGTAAGTGATCGCAGTCGGTTGCAGTGCACTTGGTGACACTTGCACTCGAATGTGTGAACCAGCCTTAAGCATCTGTTGCATTGTCTCGGCGTTTCCAGAAGGCCAAGACAAGGCCCATGACTGCCTACATGCTCTGGTGCCAGGAGAACCGTCGCCGAATCGTGTCCGACAACCCGGGCATGGGTGAGGGCTTGCTACGTTTTTTGACGTAGAACTGCGTCTTTCACTGCGCTTGACGTCGGGTGCGCAAGAAAGGGCTCTGCTTGACATGTCCTCTCCTTTTGCTGGGCTGGAAAGAGTGTAGGGCTTGGAGGGAAGAGGTCATCCTGCTTTTGTTAACCTGCAACAGACTGCAATAGTCCTCCTGAAGATTGTCTCGTGACAAACACTTGGGGTGCATGTAGCCAAAAGTTAAAGTTGAAGCTATGCCCGCTAGGGTCCCTCTAGGGTCGCGCGAGTGTTGGCGCCCTATTCCCTCGTTGCCTACTGTCACCGTGACTGCAGTCACGTGTTGTCTGTTTGTGTGGCGGTGGCTTGTGGGTGCCAACGTTTTGTTGCGTAGCACCAGGGAGTCGGTGGGTGTTGCTGGCAAAGAAGAGGGGTGTTTTGCCAGGGTGTTTTAGCGAATGGCTGGACAAAAAATGACTTCTCTGCTTCTTGACCCGTGCAACTATATGGCTGAATGTGCAACACCTATAACCGTCGTATATTTTGTAACTCTGGCGCCTGCCAGCTGTTGTAGCAAAGAAGCTCCATGCATCTGATGCTTCCTGTGCTCTGTTAGGACATACCTGTTTTGCTTTTATTGTGCAGACTTTGCAACGATCAGCAAGAAGCTGGGCGAGACCTGGCAGATGCTTCCGGACAAAGATAAAATTGTGAGCCACAAGTTTTTTTTTCTTGTTTTTGTATCACACTGTGAAGGTGAAATTTTTGCGGTGTTATTAGAGTTTGGTAGAAAACCCAGGTGGCATGGGTCACGGTTACTAAATTAGACCCTGCTAAAAAGAAGATGGCAAAACCGCCGGGTATGGTTAGATTTTAGCCGACGTCCAGGAGGTATACAGGGTATCCCCCCCAAGAAAGCTTACAGGGCTCTTTTCCCCGCAAAAATAAACTACACGTCACCGAATGCTCATTTTCCCATAAAAATGTAGCGGTAGCAAAATCTGAAAATTTTAATGGGAAAATCGGGCTAGTTTTGCTTGTTTTTGGTGACTGGCATCATTCAGCTCCGTGTATTTGAGAGTTCCGTCAGCCGCTTTTTTCTTCTTTGAAAATTTAAAGGAATCGCTTCTAGCTTTGATAACGGTTAGTTCTGGAACTTTGGCATCCAGTTTGGACCACTATCGCTACATTTGGATGGAGAACGAGCTTTCACCGGTGCAGAGTTTATTTTTGTGGCCAAAAAACCCTGCAAATTTTTGGGGGGGGGGGGCCCTATACTTTTAAGTAGGGATGGGCGAATATTCGGTTATTATGAATAGCCAATCGAATTCCATTCTATTCGGCATTCGCTTCGAATCGAATTTAGGTATTCGACAGTATCGAATTATTCGAAAATATAGAATTATTCGACCTTTCTAAATACAGTCATACCCGACTATACCGAACCCGTTTACATCGAATTATTTCTTATATCGAACAATTTTTGTGCACAGTAATGTTACAGTGACAATATATAGCAAAATCTATGGTTGCATCGAACAAAAATAGCAGTCGCTACCGATATATCAAACTGCCAAGAGTGCCGTTTTGCTCTGCAAGCTGGCTTTTTTTTTTTCCTGGCGGCCGCGTCGACCACTCGGAAGAAAAGAAAATATATCTTTTGTGGAGAGAGGGTGCTCCGTGCTCCCTTTCCCCGCTTTGTCGGCAAGAGAATATTATTTCTTCCAAAGGTGCTCCCATTGGACGTGCTCCGTGCTCTTGGCATAGTTCGGTGCTAATGCGCGAATATAGAAGGCAGCGGACTCGGCATTTTGGAGTCCGTAGATAGCGCAGAAAAATATCGTTATCGCGGATGCAATGAAGAGAACGCAGCAGAAGATGCAAGACGACTTCATTGTGTAGTATTTCGGCAGAAAGTGGATTTTTGAGAGTCAGATTTATTAAAAGTTCTATATCGAATTACCCGCTATATCGAACTGGTAGACGTTTTTTTGCGAGGTCGATATAATTGGGTTCCACTAACTCTGGCTTGGATTTCCGGCCAGGTGGCACAAGCTTCCGACCGTTTCAACCATTTCATGCTACCGAACTCGATACACTTGATATTAACAATTACAGTATATCTATACCAAATAAGGGCAAATATAAAACTATAGTTTAAGCATATCTTGTGGTATTTTTTGCTTGTACTATTCAAACTATTCTATTCGAAATTATTCGACCAAAATCACAATTTGCTTCAAATTCGATTCGGACCCAAAATCCTCTATTCGCACCCATGCCTACTTTTAAGGGATGAAAGGAAAATTTAATTTGAAAAATGAGAAATGAGGCAGATGCTTATGGATGGCACAACGAGTTTAAAGCGGTTTGCCGTGTCCTTGAACATTGTTAAATATAAAACTCTAGTTTCAACTACTATACCTTAAAATTATCAACTTTGTTCTATACATTTGTGGCTACCCTGCAATCGTACACCTTTTCAGGCTGAACTCGTTGCACTCAGTAGAGTCCTCCTGCCATAACAGTGTTTTATTTGTGAACCATTTTTGCTATGCCTTCACAGTACCTTCACAGCACCAGTGCAGGTTTATGCCTGCATCTGTGTCACCGTCATACTTCATCTTTGCTTTGCCACATCCGCGCCTTTTGCTATGTATCGGTCTCTGTGCCTTTTGAGAGCTTCCGCTGTAATTTTGACAAAGTCGATTCAGTCTCGGCTTTGAGTTCTGGCCAGACTCGCCATTTTCTGGAGTCTAGCTACAAAGCCAGAACATGGGGGAATGAGATAGTGCTGGGTTTTGTTTTATAGCACTTACTGGAGGCCAGCACAGGGCTCAGATTGGGCACACATGGTTCGTCAGCATGTCAGGTCGCAAACACAAGCGCTGCGACGCAGACACAAGTGCTGTGACAAGCGCTGCAGTGTACACATGTGCTGCATCACAGCACTTGTGTCTGCAACGTGTTGTCACGTCACAGACACAAGTGGTGCGACAGGGGCTGCACCACAGCGCTCGTCAGCGACGACGCAAGTCCCGGCCGAACGCTGACGCAGCACTTGTGTCCAATCTGTCCAATCGCTACTCACCGGTAGGCGAAGCAGAAAATTGAGCACTACGGCCTCGTTATCCAGGAGGTGTTGCACAAAGACGCAAAGTACACTCTTTCAACTCCAACTGCATTTAGAGCCGTCTCTCCACGGTTTGTCTCCCCCATCTGCAGCCATCCTTCATCCGATCGTACGTTCCAACACAGTTGAAGGCACGGGCGCTCGTCACGACGGACGTGGAGTCTAAAAGCGCAAGTCGCTGCGCCTTCCCTGTACAAGATTGGTTTATGGCGACGATAGAACACATACAAAACACAATGAGCGCCGCGATATTGCGCTTCCGACGCCGTCTAATTGGCCCCATCGGCTCATAGTGCTGGCTGCGCCCGAACAACTGCTTACGACCGTGTGCTTTAAAACCTTTTAGAATCTCTTATGACAAAAGCACACTGTTGCCATCTGTTGGGTACAATTACATGGAAACAGCACTTGCTATTTCCATGTAATTTCTTTTTCTTTTTTTAACTGTTTTTGACTATGTTGTAAACAACGACTTCTCATAGATAGTACTCACATTTGATCTTCAAAAATAATGCAAAACCTTAAATCTGGCAAAATGCAGTCCAGGGTCACCTCATAGATTGTGCTGGCATGCTCTTTAGAAAGCCTGCATTAGTTTCCAGCTGCTTGATCGGGGATTGCGTGGTTTACGAATCACATTTGCAGTAAGAGCTGCGAGAAGCTGCCAAAAGCGTCGACCGTCGGCAAACGTCTCCACCTTTCCGCCCGCTTTTCTCCTTGCACCGTGAAAACGAGGCGCACGTGCCCTTGCGACCACACTCCACGGGAGGCGTTCACCATTAAACTGCAAAAGCTCCCCATGATATGAGATGGACCCTCTCCTCAATCTAGGCTCTCCAGCGTCCTCTCGTCGTAAGAGATCGCAATGACTCGGCCCTAAGCAAATGCAAGCGTGCGAACGGGTCGTAAGGTTAAACGAAGTATGGTGCATTCATGAACGCGATCAAACCGAATCCGCTTGCTCGCAGGCCTGGCGCCGCAAGGCCAAGGTGCCCACCAGCAAGGGCTCGACGCTCATCAGCACGGGACGGCCTGGAACGACAAGCGCGTCTGCCGGGGCGCCGACCGGGGCGTCGTCGACTCCGGCAGCTGCCTCCCACGGCGGGAGAGGCGTGGGGGGCGCCGCGACAACCGCGGCCAAGAGCGCGGCCGCAGCTGCGGCTCACGACGACGCCCGTGCCATTGCAGCGGCGGGGGCTGACGGCCCCAAGTCCCTGGGCATCGGGCCCGTCGACGTGGCTGCCCACCTCAAGCTTCTCGGCGAGTCGCTCAGCACGATCGGTCAGCGTTTGACGGAACACGAGGTGAGAAGTCTCGTCTTCTTTCTTTTTTTAACGCAGAGTACGTTTCAGGGCTGACCCTCGAGGAAGGTGTGACAAAGCGCCACGGAAACCATTACGAAACGCATAACACATCCTTCGGAAGATAGTCTGTACAGGGGAGCGGTAAATTGAGGAGAAGGAAAGAAATTCTCAACGCACCCCGACGGGAATTTAACCCACACCAGCTGGCTTCGTCTCCGCCACTGTGGTGTTTACTAAGCATTCGAATGCAACCGCCGGTGTCCAAACGGTTTGTGGGAAGAAACAAGAAGTCCGAGACATTCCTACCATCACGTCAAAAGGGAATGAGTTTGTAATAAATTAACGTGCTATAAGCGGAGGCTAGCGGAGGAGGCGGGACAACCGACAAACGTCCGTGCCGCCCAAATACCGTTGGTGACCGCGGCAAACTTGTCTTTGCATAACGCCAGACTTAGTTGACGAGCATACGTCGTCGTCCGCCTGCCTGCAGGGCCAGATCGCGGTTTCGGGGAGCCTCTCCGTGCTGCTGGACTCGACGCTGTGCGCCCTGGGTCCGCTGCTGTGCCTCACCTCGCTCGGCAAGGAGATGAACGGCTGTTCCAAGGAGACCCTCACCAAAATACTCAACAACATCGCCTACGTCATGCCCGGCCTCTGATTGGCAGACGGCCCGCCGTCGTGTACGCGCACCTTTGTGTCCCGCTTCCGATTGGGCCAAACGTCCCTTTGTCACCGCATCGTGCAGCTCTGTTCGCTGCTTTTAATTGGTTGGATGGATTCCGGTTCCTCGCTCGTACTCTTTTTATTAGCCGATCAAATTCTAGTGGAAAACAAAACACGGGTGATTTCTGATTGGCGGTTACGTTCTGAAGGAGGGGCCTGCACAGTTTTTCTATTGGTCATGTTAATTCTAGAAGTGTGGGCATTGCAGTTTGCTTCCTATCAGCTTCGTTGCTGCTGGCCTTGAATGACTTGCAGTTTCTGGCGCCTCCGATTCGCTTATCGTGACAGTGAGTTATGCCAATTGGTTCGCTGCAATATATCTTTTTTTTCGTTGCGAGTTCTGTACATACCATAGCTGTGAGAGGACAGACGTGCAAAGTATCATCGGGTATTGAATTTGAAATGAAATATAATAGCTATTCATTAGGCACTACACTTCCAATCCTGCCTGTGATGCAGTTAGATCCAACCATTCTTTCATGGCAAACTTTAGACATGGAGGATCTGCCGATTTTTTGCTTTTACCTTTTCTTATTTGATGCACAAGAGAGAGATTCAGTTTGTCTCAATGGATTTTTTAGAATTGTTGAATTGATTCTAGAGTTCAAGTTTAGGTAGGCTGCGATCCTGCCTGTAATAAGTAATAAGAGTTCCAACGGCACTTGATGAAGCTAACAAAAATAAATCCTGGTCCAAGTCTCCAGAAGCAATTTTCAGAGGAATCGGTTCTACCATGTAACGTTCATCCCAACATTCATCTGTCAACATCTTTCATAACATAAAGCAACCGAATGACATCCTTTGTTTGAGGAAAATAAACAAGAAAAACAACAACCGTTTTACATCGTCACTTGGGTTCACAGATCGGAGTTCAAGCGTGACAGGGAGCATTGTGCCTTCTTGTAACTGCTTACGACGAGAGTAAGGTCCTTATATACCAAAAGGTAGTGGAAACCATTGTATGAAATGGGGAAGAGAAATTCCTCCTTGCCCATGCCCTTTCGTTCTAAAAATGTATGTTCCCCTCGCTTCATTTGGATTGGGCGTGACACGTGACCGCTACCTTCCGATGATCCCGCATGATTTTGTCGTCTGCTCTGAACTGGCGCCATTTTTGTGCGGGGTATGGCGGTGGCTTCGTTGTATAAGGTTATGACTTTTGCAGCCTCCGTGCCAGTAAAATATACTGCCCATCGGCCCGTTGCCGATGGACCATATATAATATTATAAAATGATATATGCCATACTTTGTTTAACCTTACACCCTTTCATACACAGTGCAATCCACTTATAACAATTTACCGCTCAAAACAATCGGTTTATAAAGTTTTTAGACTAGAAGCGATCAGTTTCTAGTCCAGATACAACGATAATCGGTTATAACGACAGCATTTTCGGGCTTTTTCATTACTGTTATAAGTGAATTGCACTGTGGATTGTACGAACAGCGTTACAAAAGGGAAGAAGCTTTTTGCCGTCCCGATGGGAAAATAGTCTTCAGCGATAAAATCGATGGCTCCACTGGACCGGCTGGAAAAGTTTTGACTGACTCCGAGGGAGATCAGTGTATTTGATGGGTAGTTAAATGCACAAGGCGCGTAAATAACAGACGTCGCATATTCCTCCATGCACATGTGCACAGTTGCATGTAGTATATTCAATGTTTAGCAAATGTGTATGAAGTAAACCAAGCTGTTGATTTTTGTGTGAAAAGATTGGTAATGCTAGAAATTACCGAAAAGTCCAGGGCAGGCTTGCTAGAAACGGTCTCAGCTGAGACCGGGTGAAAGAAAGCACTGCCAAAGCCAGCGCACGAGCTGAGCAAGACTCAAATCGCGTCTCAAGACGCTCGCAAGCCGCAGCGTTCGCAATGCTTTGTTTCACATAGTCTCAGCCGAGACGCTGTTCTAGCAAGCCGGCCCTGGGTTTGCACGCGTTGTGCTGTCTTTTATTTGCCTGCCGAGTCTGCATATGCACTTCATTCAAGATACTATACTCTCCATCTCACGAGTCGCGTGCAGCAGAGGCAAAAGCACCGACGATACCGTGGCTTTCACATTTGCTTTCTTCCCGTGAGCATTCGAGAAACGAAATCAAATCTAAAAGCCATGTGCCCGCCGTGCCTATGCCACAAAACTCCCGAGATAAAGTATAGAATGTTCAAGTAGAGCATACGCTAAGGATTGCAGGCGCGTGCTCTATCCATGCTTCCGCTAGCAACGCAGTCCTTGCCTACGGTCCACTACAAACTGTACACACAGGAAGAGGTGCATTCTATTGTGTGCCTGCTCTCGCCACTTGCTGCAAAAAAACAGGCAAGCGCAATATATTTTTTGCAGTGCATCTCGATGTAGCAAAATACTTGGGACTGCAATTGGCGATTCTGTAAAATCATCTGCAATCAGCGGAATCGGAGAAAGCTTGTTTTCACTCCGGAGCGACTCCAACTCTGCTCACGTTGTTACATTTTTCCTTCGATAAGTCTTCCCGTGCTTTAGAACTCCAATAAATCTGTACAAATGCTAGTTTCTTCACGTTAACAAAAAAATGTCTTCACATTAAACAAAAAAAAAAGAATCTAGTTTGCCTTGTGCAATAGCAAACAAGTACGGCCCGGCACGGATAGGCACACGCCTTGCAGGCCTCGCACGAAAACGGCGTTGGGAGCATGGCGCAAAAGGAGGGCGAAGAGGATCACCCCTAATGGAAATGAGGAAAACGTAGGGACAGGGGGAATAGCGCTGCCTCGAATATAGGGACCTGCTGGTATATAGGGACCTTAGATGAGAGAACAAGCTGGCACCATCTATTGGCTGGGCCTGGAACACTTGTGGTTTGCGTAGAAAAAGACCGAAGGTTTTGCACTATTTCTGTGAAGGTTTTGCACTATTTGCGAGGTCAAATCTATGCACAGTCTATGAGAAATGGTCGCTTATGTACGTTGTCGGAATTATTCCGATACCATGGCGAAAGGAGGATGCCTGAAAAATAATATATTTGCACGTCGGAAATGTTCCAGCGCCCCCGTACAGGTGGCGTTGACATTTCTCGTTTTAAGTAGATCCTATTGGCGACTCCAGCGAAATCGACGCCGCATAGCGGCAACGCCGAGAAGCTCGGGAAAGAAGGTTGTTTCGACTCTGGTCTATCGCTGCTGTCTGCTCGTCTATCGCCCCCCACCTACTGCGAGGCCTTCAGGCCAGAAGGCGGCATCACGATAAACGTTCTTACAATAAGTTGGAAGCATTTGGCCTCAAGGCTATGGCTGGCTGGTTGGCTGGATCGAGCCATCTAAAGCTGTCCGAGCGGCACCCTGGCCTGTTGCTCTGCAGGCTGTGTAGGCTCTGTAGGTCCTGCGGGCGGTCCTGTTCGGAGATATGGTTGTGGCTTGTACGCTGTCCGTCGAAACTGTTCGGAATTCAGAATGAGTGTGTCGTTTGCTAGCAGTTTCTCTGTGGTCACACAGTCGTTACAAAAGAAATCGTAGTAGAATCAGTCTCATTGTAAACTTCGTGATGTGAGGTTTCACAGCACTCATGTCCGCAAGTTAAATATCTTTCTTGTGTCGGACGCAATACTCACTATGTTTGGCATTTCCCGACCAGGCGATGGCGGGATAGCAGTCTTCAATATCATGGAGTGTTTACTTTTAAAACGAGTGAAAGGCAAGTGCGATGCCGATTCATATCACAGCGGACAAAAGCGTGAAACCTCGCATCAGTCTGCAGACTGCAGACACGAAAGAGGCAGTCTGCAGACGGGAAAAACGGCATGTTTTAGCAACCCCTATCAATATCAATAGGTTGAGAGACGACAAAATGAGTGCGTCGATGCCTCCATGTTTGTCTGCTTAGTGCAATGTGCCGGTCTTGGTAGTACTTGATGCCGCTCGCAAGCGCAGGGATTACAGAAAGACATGTAGTACAAGCCGTAATTGCTTCCAAACAACGAAATATGAAAAGGGAACACCAGTACCTCTCAACGGACTGATCAACAGCACTGCTCGCTAGCTTGCAGCCTGTGAGCTTGGGAAGTGCGCCCACTTTGACTGTGACCAATGGGTTTGTGCATCTTAGTTTGCCTAAAGCACCATGGCCACTGCTTAAAAACTTGAGCACTATATAGCTCCTTCGGTGCAGGGTGCCGCAATCTAGAGCACCATCTCTCGGCGACTAGCGGCAAATGCCCAGGGATTCCAACTTCGGCCACAAATGCATGGGGAGCATGAGAAAATCGTTTCTCGATTATTTTGGGGATGTACGGAACGACAATAGTTTTTGGCATAATAAAGGAACAGTTTACAATAATTTGTGCTAAGTTGTGTGCCATGCAATAACGTAGTTTCTTTTAAAAATTGCCCGAGCGGCATGGTGCAGCTGACGACACGGCAACGTCGCACCATTCATGTGACCCGCTCCGGCCAATCCATAAAGTCCATCTCCGCTGCGTAAAACAATCGTCTGCTTCAAACGCCATTGCCTTGGAAATTGCCGTCTCAAAATTTTCACACGCATCTCTGTCGACCATGTTGTCGGCAAAACACGCGGATCAAAGGACCTACTCTGCTCCGTAGGAGCTATATACACGTTTGCAAGTCCGGCTTCAGGGCGGCGCCATTTTGCCCGGCTGGGGTGCGCTCGGACGAGTCATAATCCGATTACGAAGCATTGCTAAGGCGTCGTAATCGGATTATGGCCGCGCACAAGCGCGCCCCAGCCGGGCAAGATGGCGGCGCCCTGAAGCCGGACTTACAAACGTGTATAGTGCTCTAGGCAAAACCGGAGCAGCAACCACTGTTGCCAGATATGCGGTCAAATGCAAAATGCGATTTTAACAGATATTCACATTTAAAAACTACTTGACGTATCAATATAAGATTGGTGGCCAATGAAAAGTACCTGCTTATGCATATCGTCAAATATTAAATCGTTTTTAGGCTTGTGGAAAGTCTGAGTGTAGTAAAAAAAAACCAAAACAAAAACCTGTATTGTTTCACTAACCCCCAGCAAAAATTGGACTCGACAAGGCGTCCATAAACCATGTGATAACGACTGACCAATGAGTGATTGAGCAGTTGAACACTCTAATTGCAGGCTCTCTAACCCCAAGCGGGCACAACATACTCGGCTGCGCTCGAGCACCGCAAAGCCTTTCAGAGAAATATTCACAACTTGTTTCTTGAACAATGGTTTATTTTAGGAAGTCATACTCTTATGTACATATGGCAATAAAGGGCAAGATACAAAGAAAAAAACGTGAAATGAGTCTATCGAACGTGGTGCAGCACTTGGAAGGAAAGAAATGGCAATGACTAAATGTGCTGCTTCGCTTGCGACCCGCTTACAATGTTGCTCGACGGGGTCCGACCGCATTTCGTTTGCACTTGAGGCTACAGGAGAAACACTTGTACGCACTACCAATGAAGGCGAAAAAAAAAAAAAAAAAGCCACAACTTGTTGGAAAAATGTTACCGCACAAACCCGACACGTAATGCAACATCTTTGGTCGAATCGGCGTCCTCTGACAAATCTGAGACCTCGAATATCAGACTCGCACATTACACTTAAAGCAAAACAAGCTTTTCTTCAGTCAATAGACTGACACAGCGTCGGAACATTGCATTTGACACGCACGTGCCGGCGGTGCTCAAGCTTGCACCGAAGTGCCACGGCGACGTGCGGTGCGTCAAGCTTCTGAGCAGTCTTTCGTAAGTATGTACACGTGTTTAAGTACGAACTTGAGTGAGTCGCTCAGTAGAGGTGTCCGTTGGGCAGACCGGTCTGCAGTCTCTTGATGTGGTTGTAGATCTTGAGCGCGGGTCCCAGCTTGATGGAAAGTCCGGTGAGGACGTCGCTGCGCTTCAGAAGCAGCAGGGAGCGCCCATCTATTTCCTGCCGCGGAGAGGAAAGCGTTTGTTTTGTAAGCTTCTTGGTTCGGCATTGTTAAGACGAGCGAAGCAGAGATTTCCCCCATAGCAACAATGAAGTACAGCCTGTCGCCCCCCAAAAATGTAAAGAGCTTTTGTTCGCTGCTTGTTCGCGGTGATAACTGGCACCATTCAGCCTCATGTTTTGTAGGGCTCCGTCCGTCACCGTTTTCCATTTAAATTTCAGAAAACCGCTCTTTCTGAATGACGGTGACGGCTAGTCCCGAAACTTTGCGCGTCTGCTTCGGACCACTACAGTCAAACCCGTTTATGTTGAACTCGGGGAAAAAAAGTCAACCAGTTCGATATAGCGGGTAATTCAATATAAAAGTTTGAATGAATGCGCTTTCTGCTGACATATTACACAATGAAATAGTCTTGCATTTTCTGCTGCTTTTGTTCATTGCATCCGCGATAACATTATTTTTCTACGCTGTCGACGGACTCGAAAGTGCCGAGGCCGCTGTGTTCTATATTCGCGAATTGGCGCCGGACTATGCCGAGAGCACGAAGCACGTTCGGGCAGGTGCACCTTCTGCAGAGCGCCGTTTTGCTCTGCAAGTTGGCTTTCCGCTAACGCAGGCGGCCGGTTGCGTTGGGGAAAAGCCAGCCGACAGAGCAAGCTGGCTTTTTTTTTCTTTCGTCCAAGCGGCCACGTGCGGCCGCGTCAACTTGGCAGTTCGATATATCGGTAGCGGCTGCTATTGTTGTTCGATGTAACCATAGATTTTGCTATATATTATTACTGTAACACTACTGTGCACAAAAATTGTTCAATATAAGGGGTAATTTGATGTAAACAAGTTCAATATAGTCGGGTTCGACAGTAGCGCTAAGTTTGGGCGGAAAATGAGCGTTCAGCAATGCGTACTCCATTTTTCTAATAAAAAAAAAAAAACCTGCAAATATATTTTTTCAACACCCTGTACACTGCTGAGACGTTTTACATGGAATGTGTAAAAAGTTGTGTTGTACAAAGCTAGAGTTCCATAAAAAGAAAAAGTTACAAAAACGTGCGTGACTAAATTTAGCAGCACTCGGCCACACCAGCCGAACGCTGCACCGGAAACACAAACAAATCTTTTATGTTGTCGCCGTCCCCCTGGTTCTCAACTTTGCTTTGATGCTAGGGGCATGACTGTTCTATCACACAATAATGTCAAGGCTCGAGAAACGAGCACTGACAGGCCGATGATGTTGCCACAACTGACACACGCCCCCGGAAACGTGGGCTGCAGGGGAAAGCTCACCTGTTCTCTGAAGGCAGAGGCCTGCTCGGGAAAGCCGACGTGAACCAGAAACTTTTCCACTTCGTCGATGGACCAGCACTTTGCGTCGGGAATTGTGTCCGGATACTGGTCCAAGGCGGTGAAGTATGCAGCCCTGAAATGCGCCGGCACGTTTCGACATGTACCGCGCTGCTCCGAACAGATTCCGTACGTTTACGGAGGAAGCCACAAATGCTGTGCTGATGGTACACTTCCTGTCGCTTTGTTTACGAAGCACTGTTTTTCTAGGGCGCAATTTACCACTCCCTGGTTATTCTTTTAATCGTACAATGAATCCAACGATCGTCGACTGGCATATAGTGGAATCATTCTCAAATCCAAACGGAGGGTTATTTTGTGAACTAAGTATGCCGTATTTTAGTGTAGGAGCAAAGTTGCACCTTCTGCCACAACCTAGTTTCGAAAGCCGCTGTGCCGAAACAAAGCTAAAGTATGCCAAGCTTTCGTGACGGCGTGGAAGTTACTGGTAGAAAAACGGCAAAGGAGTCGAGAATACCAATGTTCACAGGTTATTCAGTTGTCGAAACACAGATATATGGTGTTCCTCAGTAAGACAAATAGTACTAGACCAACTAAGAGTGCTACATTTGAAGAACGTTTCCCATAGAACACCGAATACGCCAATATTTTTCACAAGGACAAATGGGCTCAGCAACATTTTGACATCCCTCAAAACACTAAACATGCCGATTTTTCAGTAGGTCAAAGAGGCTCATTACGCCTGCAGCGACACACTGCCAACGAATCCAAAGTTAGTGAAACGCGAAACAAACTGGGTTTTACATGTAAATAACTGGTTTGCCGTGAAGTTACTTTACCAAGAACCAATGTAGGCTACTCGGCGTAAACTACTTCCTCTATTCCCGCAAACCGGCGCAATCCAGTGTGATGTCGAAAAGAACACAACGCACTTTCACTGAAAATCCGAGACCAAGACTCACAGATCCAAGTGCGGCTCCTCATCTGAATCCTTGAGTTCGTCCTCGGGTACGGGCGAATCGCAAGGCGTGGGAAGTCCGGCAGGCGGGTCAACTTCTGCAATCACGGCAAAAAAAAAAAAGTGGCGACTACCATAATATCCCGAAATAGCCCACCTAAAATCGAGAGAAAATTAGGTGAAAACAGTGTGGGCTCACTTTTGATGTATAACCAAGGAAGTTGAAAAAATATTGCATCAAAAGAATGTGTGTTTACGCTTCGTTTACTCGCCCTCAAAACCTGAGCAGTCGCTACAATGTCAAACAAAATGTCAGTCACTTCGTCGCATAGGTCCCATGGCCAACTGCCCTTGTTTATGCCAAAGTCACCGATGACCAAGGCAGTGCAATTACTAGAAGTAGGCTATCGTTCGGCGTCTTAGGGAAAATACCGAGCCACGCCAAAAGTAGAGGTGGGTTATCTTTCGGATTAGGGGCATTTCTTGAGATATTACAGTATGCAAGTCTAAAATTTTAAGTTTTACGGAGTGCAAACTAGTATACAATAATTTCTTTTTTGAAGGTCGTTGATCATGACGAGATGCAACGGATTTTGTGTCGATATTTGCTTTTGCAAAGAAAAATATGTTATGTTCAGTTACTTCAAGCGTTTCTTTTCAGACCAACTCTTGGGACCCTTGTGGAACTATAATTAGCTGACGTGCGACGACAATGTTTCCGAGCGCTAGTCGTTTTAGTGTCGGAGAACTCACCCATCTTGACCTTGGGCCCAGAAGACTTCTTGCCCGCCTCCAGACATGCCTTGCAGAACCATTTCCCTGGTGATCGCAGAAAACTTTTGTGATGCACGAAACATATCGTGCCAAACACACAATTGGGGCTCTGAACTTTTATCTTCAAGGTTCTAACTTCTAAATATGGGCCCACGTTTTTTCAAAAGTGCCGCCAAGACGGTCAAAATGGCAGCTCATGGGTACCGCCATTTTGGTGCTTCGAACTCTGGGACGCCTTTTGCGACAGTCGCCCATCTGAAACGCGATTTTCTGAGCGGAACGTACGATCTTAGGAGATCAACGCAGCATTGTTTTGCTTTCATCGTGAACTGTTTCAGCAAGCAGGACGACGGAAAGCACTTCTTGCATCTTTCGTCGGGCACGTCGGGTCGGAAAAATCTGGTGATAAATAGCACTACTGATTCTACGCACCAATATGGCCAAAGTGTACTTGCTCTAAAGCGTAGCTTAAATTCACACGATGCATCTTTTCAAGATGCAACAGTTTAGCGAAACTGAGATTTTGCAAAATCGGCCTGTTCACACGTAGAGTTTGATGCGCGAAATCTGTGACATATTGACTTGCGAGAATTTCGCCAAACCTTGTGATCTACACTAGGAATATTAAGCGTTCCACATCAAAAATGATATGAAGTATGCACAGAGTGAAGAGATGGTCTGCTTTATTAATACCACTCGGTAAACTTCGTCGGATTCAGTTTTCTAGGCCTGACAAAACGGGGAAAGGCCACAAACAACAAAGAACAGGCAAATGATCTCGAGGTATTACGGTAATTTTTGCGCCGCTTAAAGGTCGCCTCTGCCCAGTCATCAGCCGCGTTTACATGAATGCAACTTCAGCGCATTGACTCCAATCGTCCTTCGAATGAAGCCGGCGCAGCAACATTTACATGAATGTGCACCAAGCCCTATGCGAAGGTGGCGCCACGCTGTGTCGAAGCTTAAAGTTAAAGCTGCGTTTCCGGCACCAGCCGCACGTGACGACGTTTCCCAGTGAATCGCACATGAAGGCCTTTCGATGCTTTGGGAGAGTGTAAACATTGTGCCTGCTGTCTTTGGTGCTGTGCAAGAAGTTACGAGACAGAAGAAACATCAAAATCCAAGCGTTCTGGGCTCCTGGCCGGGCCACCGGGCCACTCTGGACCAGAGGCGACGTGTGTGCACACGCCCTAGCGAGCGAGATCGTTTCCAAACGCTCCAAAGACGCCACCGCGCTGCGCCACTCCAAACTTGCTGACCGCGACAATGCAGTGCTCGGAGCTCTCAGCGTTGGTTGTGTTTGCGCCGAAGCCTTTATGATGGCAATAAAATCTCGCGTTTCTTCTCGGGAGAAAACTGCGGTTGACCCGACGGGACCACTCTCCGCAACGCCAACGAGGTTGGCCGCCGCCACGTTCTCAGCTGCTCACTCGCTCCCGCAGCGAGCGCCTTCCCATAATCCTCTCCGTTCCAAAATGCGATGTAAACTCCATTTACATGGGCTGAATGAATGCGTATTCATTGTGTCGACCCACCTCTGTCTAATGATTTTAATGCGATGCGCTTCCTTAGTGCATTCTTGAAGCTTAGTTTCGCGACACAAGATTTGCCAACAAGATGCATCGTGTGAACAGACCCTTAGTAGCTCCACTCGGCATTGTCCACTCCAGAGAGCAGACCAGAGGCAACACCCAAACCGTACCAAAAGGCGGCGAATTAAAATGGAACGTCCATACCTATGGGCTTGTTTGCAATCTTTGGCTTGTGGCACGTCGGATGGTACCCCTTGTCGCAGTTGTCACAGACCAACAAGTCGTCCTGAAGGGTAAAGAGGGGCATCGACTCACTCAATCGTAATAGTTAAAAGGGATGAAAAAATAAGAAAGAACAGAATAGTTACGCATTGTTTTTCTGTACTAGTTTTCACCTCAAGAATCGTGGTAAAAAAAAGTCCGGCTCCTCGTGTAGCATTATTGATTTCGCCATTGTGTGGAGGATTAAAGGGAAGCTGAAACACTTGTTTCAAAAAGGGAGGTTGATTCTAGCGTAGTTTTATCCCGTGAATCTAAACATCACGTTTGTTTTCCCCGAAGGTGTAACCAAACGCGAGAAAGCACAAGAAACCTCCGACCAGTCGTGGCGTCGTAAAAGAATTTTTCGGCCGCCAGGCGCGTGTCGCTCGAGAGCTGTGTGTGCAATTGCAAGCTTGCCAGGTGTATTTCCTCGCAACGGTCTTGACGCCTTTTTCTACCCTCTTTAGCAAGTGTGGGAGTGCATACCTTTGATAGGTGCTGAAGATGCGCAAGAGCGGAGATTATGAGAACACCTTTTGTGACGTCATGCTCCGGGAAAGAGGGCCTTCGGTGATACTTTGAAAATAATTTTCAACAACCTCCGTGCGCCAAATTAAAACAAATGATTTCGATATTCTAGATCCTGGAGGTCAAATACAAATACAAAATCGCCTCAGCTTCCCTTTAAGATATACGAAGGAGCATTTTAGATTGGGATATGCTCTCTCATCGAGAGATGCAAGCCCCAACTTGCCCTTTCCTTGCGGTGACGAGAATAGATTTCACCATCTTCGTTCTATTTACCTGCACTTCCTACACCGGTGCAGAAAAGTGTTGGGTGGCGTACTTCTGGTCGTATCTCAATACACAGACCTAAAGTACACTGCCCTACACTTTTCTGTACTTGTGCAGAAGATAGCAGGTAAATCGAACAAAACTATTACTTGCTACGTTTCCTATGCATACTGCAATCACTGGCCATGAAGGCCTGTACGAGAGCGGTTTGGCTTGGCTTGGCTTGACTTGGCCTGAACGTTTGGTGGCAAAAGAAAATTGGCTTTATGGCTAGCTCGCGGAGCCAAAAATTGGAAGTAAGTCCAAATATTGGTACGTTGTGGGGGTATGTTCATTATGCGAGCGCATTCATTATGCGAGTAAATAAGGCATGCACGAAGCACTGATTTTGCAAGCATTTAAAGGGGACAAGCTGAAAAGACAACTCGCAGCACCCAGTGATTTGAGCGTGAAGCCGTGAAATTGAGCCGAAGAAACTGTCGCTAGACTCGCCGGTGACGTCGAAAAGTAGGCTCGTCTCGAAGCGAATGGTCTCACTTTTGCCTCGACGCGATTTGAAGTGCGCAACTCACCGAGTCTGTGTTTGTGTTGCAGACGGCGCAGGTCTTGCAGTCTATGCACTGCCACGACGAGAGTTGCGCCACGTTCACCAGCTCGGGAGAGTAGTTGAGACACGACGGATGTGCTGCGGAAAGAAGAAAAAGTGGAATCACAAAAGGTGGAGGAACTATTGTAATATCGTGAAAGATAGCCCACCTAAAAGCAAAAGCAAATCAGGTGAAAATACAGAGTTTTTAACTTCCCATGTGCAATCAAAAAAAGGAAAGCAAAATGCTAGTTTCAGATTTCGTGACCTGCGAAACTTGTGACTGCAGAAAGGGGCGATGAACCAAAGGCGACTGTCCTTTCCAGTTAGCAATGTTTGCTTATGCATGTTGTGACTAAGTAGCACCATTTCTGCCAAGGACCATTGGCCAGGGCCCTGGAATTACCACAAGTGGGCTATCCCTCAGTGCTTCTGAAAAGGTCGGAGGACGCGTAAGCGTCGCCTGTAGGATTGGATCGCGAGAGCGTTACCGCATCCTCGGCCAGCTTGGGGCGCATGCCGCTGCACGCCAAGCCTTCGTCTCAGCCTTCTCGGCTTCAGTCGTATATGGCCGACCCCGTCGCCGAGCAGGAACAGACGTAGATGCAGCATCTGCACTCGTAGAAGACGACGACTCAGAACAGCGGCCCACACGGGTAGACGGCACTGCGTTCATCGCACAAGTGTTCTCTCCCGACCGCCTTCGGCGGCCCCGCCTCGTGGTACGCTCTTTACAGACGAATGACGACGGCAGGATCGCAGCGCCTCTGGGCGGACTCGGCGACGGATGGAAATTTTCTGCTCCTCCAGACAGACGAGCCTAGGTCATGTGGCTCTGACGTCACGACCCTATTCATCCATCACAGTTTTTGAGTCACAGGAGCTTTTCGGCACAGGTGTCACGCCGGCTTTTCTGGCTCGGCATATTACGGTGATATGCAGTCTGGTGGCTCGTCTTCCCACAAGCGAGGGAATGCGCCTTGTGCACAGCCGTTGAGCGAGACACTCCAGTGAGAGGAAGGTTGAGGGAACCCCGTGTTCCTGAGGCAACCGATAAGTAATCACCATAATCACCGGTAAGACTACATTAGGTCTTGGTGTTTGCAAACCACTTTGTGCACTTTAGGCCCTCCCCTGTTGTTTTGCACTCGTAATTTCTTTCGTTAGTCCTTCTGCGAGACGCGCGTGGTGGTTCAGAGCTGAATTCCAGGAAAGTAGCTTGGCCAGTGTTCTCACAATGCAAAGAACACGTAGAGGGATAACTAAAAAAAACGCAAAAACAAGACTAACGAAATATGAACTCTAACAAGCCACTGCCAGAACATTGTTGTTTTCCAATTCTCATACCTTTGGCTTTTATAACCTCGCGACGAAGATCGCATCCTGTCTTCACAAACCAGCACAAATGCAAGAATAGATACCCAGCCACGATGTGTACAAACAAACTGAAGCAAAATCTACTACACAAGGAATGATCTCGCTATAGAAACGTCATTACCTGTATGCTCCATTTTCACTCGGTCACGCTCGGCTACCAATGCGCATAATAGCCTTAATCGGTCACCGGAAGCTGTGACCAGGCAGGATTTGGGACGTTGCCCGTACGACCAAGCACCAGAATTGCACTAACACGTGGTGTTCCCACGGCAGCTCTTGTTAAATGGTCACGCAATGTTTATTAGGATGCACACGATTTGGAAGCAAGTCTTGCACCCTATCGTGATAGTGAGAGACAGGAGTCTTAAGAAGGCACTTAAGTGCTTTTTGTAGAGGCTTGTTTTTCATGGCATTTGCATTTTTTAATGCAAGTCTCTAGATTTCCTCGCATCAAAAAAAGGTGTGTGGAGTGTGAGGACGATGCGCTACAGCGACCACTGAATCGGCGCTTACTCCATTATCATTAGTGACCGGTTGCATTTTAGAGCGGCCAATATTTCCATTCGTCGAAGAAAAAAAAGTTTCAGACGGCGGCAACGTGGTTAGCCCGATAACTACCGGTCGTGACCTGATCAGCTGTGCCTGTGTTCCCTCCATCCCACGGATCATCCTGTTGAAAATAAACGCCCAGAGCAACTAGAACTTCTTGGGAAGCCTGGATGGCGTGAATATGCTGTCTTGTATATTTAGTTGTCTTATGCCAGCATTGCTTTTAGGCGACGTTTGCTTAGTTTGAAACTGTGGAATTTGATTTCTATCCGCAAAATTCAGACTTGGGAGTCAAACTTTTTATTGTTTCAAACTTGTACCCCAAAAAAGTTTGAAATGTTCGGATTTTTCTAATTTTAATCTTAAATAAATTCTAAATGTTTGAATATTTCAAACTATCTGTCAAAAAATTTGATATCTTCGAACTCAAACTTTCAGAAACCTTAACTTTTCTTTAATTATTGGAATCGGAACTTCTTTTCAAATTTGAATCTTAGCGAGGTTCGAAAATTTCAAACCCGAGCTCGGGAGGTTCGTGGCATCCCTAGTCCCCACCAACCCCATAAAATTTGACAAAGGAAAATAGTTAATTGCGTGGAGATTCAGAATGTTACTATTATTGCTCTTTTTGTAGGTGCATCATACATTATATTTTGACAGAAACATCAAATCTTTGGATGTAGGAGACATACAACAATTATTGTTTGAAAACGCCGTCCAACGTCACTCCCTGGTGACTGCCCCAAGGTGCGGAAAAAGAGGCACATCACGACCTCCGATTAGTTTTTAATAGGGAAAACGACCACCCGTTATTGTAATTTCCGGGTATCTTTTTAAAATGCTTACAGCCCCTAGCTTGAGTTATCACCATAAATGCATGACCTCAAAATCCACTTGAGTGCCCCCTTAACCTCTCGACTGTGTCAGTCGAGCCTAGCTCGTCAATGCAGAGCCATTCAAGATGAGTATTACTCGTCTGATTTCGCCAGACCACGCACTCAACTGTTCTGAATGAACGAGGCTTGCTGAAGGCTTAGTTTGCAGGTCTGCCAACAAATGGCAGCACCAAATTTTTTTTAATTTTTGCTCCCATTATGCTAGCAGTTAGAAACTTTATTTTGAAGGCACCCAATGTAATTTTGAAAAAAAACAATCAAGCGGTTGAGGGTGAGAAATTCCCCAATACCGAAAACGGTCGAACTGCTCACACATCACACAAAGAAAGGTGTCTGCCGCAGACATGATGACAGAATCATCTGCGGACAGGTCGCAAGCATGTCCGAACGCATCCGCAAACAGTTTTTGTGTATTATGACGGAATCGTCGTACAAGCAAGCAACACGCCTCAGACTGTCTTCCCTCATGAGTTAGCAGTGCGACCATGGCTTCAGAGGAGAACTCGCCTTTCGTGCTGCAGTCACGGCAGACGAGGAGGGGTTCGACGTCTCCGGTCACGTTGGACGCAGCGGTGAGGCAGCAGATGAAGCAGTGTGGCTCATCGTCCTCGAAAAACTCGGTCGCCTCCATCGTCGGGCTGTCCAAGTTTTCCAGGAAGTCTGGCCCATGCGTCTTCTTGATCCTCTGTGTCGTCCAAAGGAACAAAGACCGTCACAACCCGGGTCAACTTTGATGCGCGAGTCGACCAATGCTACAAAGGCAAGCGGCGCACGAAAATACAAAGGCACCACTTTTGCGGCATAATAGCAGATAAGACAAGTACGCAGAGCGCATGTCGGGTTTAATTTAAATTTATTCTGAATTTATTCTTGCGACATGTCGGCTAAATCTTTTAACCCTTTACCTTTTGTGGTACATTTAACCTGTCCAGTACAAAACAAAGCCTCAGGTTTTTTTGGTTTTTTTTCTCAATCTGGCAGATTGGTCTTGGCCTGTGGTAAAGCTCTAGGGCAAAATGCTCCGGCAACATACAAATAATTCACAATCAAAGCACAAGAAGCTGCATCAAGGAAGGAGGAGAAGGTCAGAATATTGAGGTACCAACATTGGTACAACTATTAAACTGACACACACCAAGAGTAATGGAAGAAAAAGAACAGGACAATATCAAATTGCCTTTCGACTGCTTTTGACCGCCATCTGTTGCTGCTCCTCTTTTTTCATAGCAGTTGAAGATGATCCAGTTTCCGGTTCGCGCAAAATATCTGCCTTTTTGTAGATGAGCTTTCCGTTTGTCACTTGCTGTTCAGGAAGCGATTCCGACGGCTCTCGCCCCGGAAAGATGGTGGGCACTGCGCCAGGCCTAAGCTTGCTGCAGGTAGCGTCAACATAGTCGTCTGCTGCGAAATGTAAGCAGCAGACGACGCTGGTGGCAGACGCCCCTTTGGGGCAGACATTCTCGCGTGCCACAGCTTTCAGCCACTTGTGCCTGGTGACGGTGTCCGACGGAAACTCGTGGAAGAAGATGCCTGGCTGCCGTTTGTTCTTGGATGACCGGCAGAAAGGCACGCAGCAGTAGGTGATGGGGCCTCTGCAAGAGAGGATGCCTGCCATTTTGCTGCCATATCGTCTGCTACTGGGGGGCAGACATGGCAGTGTCCTTTATCGTTTCTGTGGTGTGATGAATTAACTTTCGTAGCTAATTATGCTTTTTTTTTTAGTTCCTCAACCACCATGACTTTTAGCCGCAATTTTTTGTAATGACTGACAGATGTTTTAGGTCTGCAAAAAGGTTATGACAGTTTATTTAGGTCTGCAAAGTTTATTTGTGAAAATGTAACACGTTCAGGAACTATAGGTTTTGTACAAGATTGACATCCAAAGGGTCTAAAACAAGTCGGGTAAAATCCTAGTTCTAATCAATTAACATACGCGTGAAACTTCGCATTTTCGTACATCTCAGAAAACTACCGTACGTAGAACCGCAGAGCTCCTAAGCAACCCTTTCCCATGTCCTCCTCGCAACTTCGAATCGTAAATAAATAAATAAAAATAAAAAGGCACAGAAAATTAGAAAAGTGAGACCGACGTGACCTGTCTATTATGATTCGTCTCACTCGAACGGCACAACCAATTCGGTAGTCAACCCGTCCCTTTTGCCGTTCATGTTGCTTTCCTGTATTCCCGTAACTTTAGCAGCACGCTCTTAAGTTGTCAAGCCATGAGCCTCTGGTTTGCCGCGCTGCGAAGCGCCCGAACAGCCAGCGGTGGGATTTCAATTGATCAAGGATTTCAGATTTCCCAATAAACAGATGCAGTACTCGTTGCAAGACGGGGGAAAGAGTTCACGAGCCAAAGATGGCTCCGAGGTTCGAGACCGAGGGAGAACAAACGAGTTCTTAATGAGGCGAAAACGACTGGATGTCTATAGTAAAACAATAAAACGTATGAACCACTGTCACTGTAGAAGCAGGTAGTTTAGAGGAGACACATATTCAAAGCGCATTCACGTAACAATTTCTTTTTATGCTGCTCAGGAACGGAGGGGGCAAGGTAGCATGTCCTAAGATCGCGTTTCATCGGACAAGCAAAATATACCTGGGAGCCAGCGGTCTTGCTTTGAACATCGCCGAAGGGTTAGAGAACGAAGCGTTTTTTGTGTGAAGCTCTCGCTACGTGCACTCCTTTGAAACGCCCCAAACTGAACGGATCGTACCCTGCCGGAAAAGGCGAATAACCACACATCCGTCGCAGGCAGTCAACAGACAGCCAGCGGAACGAGCAAAACGTAGAGAACACACCCCAACACACCTCTCTTCCAAAACTCGGGCAAAAATAAATTAAAAAAAAAGGTGGGTCCGCGTAGCGCCATCTATGTAAGCTCCCAAACTGATGGTCAATCCTGACAGATGGCGCTAGTTGTCCACGGAGTTTCAGAAGTGCCCAGGGTGGTCCAGAGTTTTTGTATGTTTCTGTAAAGTAACGTTGGTTTCTGTGTAGCACGATTTGCGCAATGTTTGTAAGGGAACGCTTAGAGCGCGTTGCTGGTGGTAACTGTCGTTTTATTTATTTTAGTCACAAAAATATATTTGTTCGCACAAAACAACAACAAAAACTGTAGAACTTGTAGCTGAGCTAGTTATAGAACGCTGGTCTGTGTGTCTTCTTCCTTGCATCCGTTGTTTTTTTGCGCCTTACACCATGCTTCATAACAACAAAACAGCTAAAGCTATGTGGAGAGCAAGTTCGTCTGCTTCTCGAGCAAGGGTTACGGTGACGTAAGAACACCAAGCTCCGATTGGCTCCAGTTGGCAGGATAGTGGGTAGGCCTCAAGGCAACTAGCATCGGGGTCAACCCACTGTCCCTCCATCAGAGCCAATGCAGAGTTCGGCGTTTTGAGGTCACCGAAAGCAGACCAACGCGAATGGCGAGTAGCAGACGACACCTGAAGAGAAAGGGAAAAATTATAGTTAGCACGAGAACGCCGGCCTGAAATTTAAAGAAAGTGTAGTGTCAAACACGAGCAGCATTGCAATACTGAAAAGAAAAGGGAATACGTTGCTCGTCCTTCAACGCTGCCACAAGTACAAGTGGAATCACCTTCAGACTAAAGGAACTCTTCAGACACAAAAACAAAATAAACCACAAAAAAAAAAAAAAATAAATAACACTGATAATATTGACGGTTATGTGTCCAACGCTGACATATGAAACGGCGCAGGACTTCGCGGTACGAAAATATACACCGTAACAAGAAAATGTTCGGGAGTTTGCGCTCTAGCAAACGACGACAATCCCCCCCCCCCCCCCCTTTTTTTTTTTTTTTTTGCTTGTTTAGTTTGAAATGTTTACGAAATATGTCTTGAAAGGAGTAAACAAACGACCAAACGCCAAACATTAACAATAAATAAAAAGAATAAAAAAAAAACTTGTTTGGGGTAACGTGAAAGTGCGTGCTAAAACACTTCGTACGACGGAACCCTTGATCGCGCCGCACGTGGTCAAACGTCAGAGCTCTGCGTCACACCGCGAACGGGCGACCGATGACGCGATCGGCCGCACGGCCAACAGCAATAAAAACGCGTACGAAAAAAAAAAAAAAAAAGAAAAAAAAAAGAAAAAGCCTGGATGTTGCCTGGATGCGGCGCGGGACTGCGCGGGACCGAGATGATGCGAAGTAGTGGCGGCAGCGGCGAAGTCGAAAGAGAGCGGGCAATGGCGGTTGCGTCGGCAGACGCGTCGTCTGCTACGAATGTCCGCTACACATTTGGCCTCTCCGATCCACCGCGACGAAGCTGTCGCGTCCCACACGCGAAAACAATGCTCCTAGCTGTCACTGCCTTTTCAACCTTTGTTCCGCCCTTGTTCTGTTGAGCATTCGTGGTAACCACAGCTCCATGGCCCACCCAGATAGCTGAGGGAATCGGTATCAGCTTCTGGACGATGCGTAACTTGTGCGTATCTGCGATTGCTCAAAGGATGCGTCACATGATTCCCTTTTACTTTTCTGGTTGAACTTTTTTTTGTTGTTGTTTCGTGGTGCCGCCACATTTTTTATTTATTTATTTATTATTTTTTTAGCCGTTTTTGGACAGATGGGGCGCTGAGGCTCGCTTCAACACGCCTCCGCAGCTTTGAGGGGAAACTTTCATTTAAATACGGGCTACGCGTGGGGCATTTTATAAACAATACGCGGCTCCTGGCGCTCCGTCGAAAGACGGAGTCACTCTTTTTTTTTAATTTTTTGTTGAGAGGGAGCGGTGTGCAGCGTTGCAAGATGTGTAGAGCGGAGAAAGACGCAGCACAGAGCCACGCCGACCGGCCAGTCAACACATGGCGCGCGCGTACAGCAAGAATAAGTTAAAAAAAGAAAAAAAGTCACACGTTTTTACTATTTGTTTTATATATTGTTTGTCCCTTTCACACCCTTTCTAGCCTGCAAAATAAAAATAAATAAAAACGCGTAAGTGCAAATTAAAGAAATAAAAATAAAATGCAATAATATTAAGAGTAACCTTACACGAATGAAGCAGAATAAAAAGCGATTTTCACGCGCACAACCTAATTTCGGGACATTCCACAGCCGCTTAAAAAACGTGATCGGAGCACGTGCAACCGCGCGCACCACCGCTAACAAGAAATCTCACACACGCACCCCACGCACCCACCCCCCAGAAGGGGAAAATAATAATAATTTCACTCGCCTTGCGTTTGCTTAGCGGTCTCGCACGCTTCCCAGCGGGACCCTGAAGTCCAGCCCGACCGTTGTTGTTGTTGCAGTTGATGAGCGGTGCCGCGACCGCCACACGTTTCTCCGGAACCACCAGCATCGCGTTGGGCCGCGCCGCCACCGCCGCCGGCGCACTTTCGCCGTTCAGAACGGGTGGTTGGCCCAGCGGCTCACGAGGAACCATCGGCGGCTTGCTGGGCCTCGGACTGCACGATGCCGGTGCGACCTTGGGCGCCGCGTTGCAGCGCTCCAGCCGCTGTTTCTCGGCGTCGGACAGCCCGTACGAGCCACCCGCGAACCGGACCAGTCGACCCGCAGCCACTTCTTTCTCGAACGCGAGTTCGAGCGCTCCTTTGGTTAGTCGGATCCCGGCCTCCTTGCTTTGGAGGAACGCTTCGACTTCGGACGCGGTGATTCCCGCATTGGATGCACCGCCGCCGGCGCGTTGACGGGCGCACCAGAGATCTTTGACGGCGTCGCCGATCATGCGGCTCACCTTCTGCGTGGTGGCGTGCCCGCTGATAGACACCGCGACCACGGGCACGGCGTTGGCGGCAGCGGCCGCGCTGGCCGCGGGATCAGAGAGCGGTGACTTGTTGAAGCGGACCCACTTGGCAGCGTTCCGGTAGCTCGTGCTGCCTTTGTAGTCCACCTTGATGACCACTTCGGCGTCGACGAGCAAGTCGAGTTCGGTCTGGACCTCGACTTTGGTGAGTCCATGCCGGCGGTAGAGCATGTGACAAATGCGCTCGAAGTCTGGGCGGGCCTTGCGCTTTCGGAGTTGGTCGATCGTTTCGAGGACGATCTCTTTGTGCTTGGACGTGGACATCTTCGCTGGGTTTTCGGTTCGGTTCGGGACCGCGGTGCACTGCTCGATTGTTGGCGAGAATATTTTTTTCTTTTTCCTCCGAGAAATTGTCGAGGAGCGCGGCCGGTAGCGGACAAGGGAGTTGACGAACCAACTACAGCGCGCCGGGTCCGTTGTGCGCGTGCGCAGAGCGCGTCGAGCGACGCATGCCGGGAAGGATCGACGCGCCAAGCGTCGCCCGGGCGGACGCGCAAAATTTTTGCGCTCCTCGCGTCTCTGAAACCGCAGCTTCTTCGCGGGGTTCTCCTCCGCCACACCTCCCGGAATCACAAATAAGACGAAGCGTGCACCGTTGAAGACCAATCCCGCAATTTATCCGCGAAAGAAACTCGGTTCACGGAACGTGTTTCGGTGGAAAAGAACGGTTTCGAAGCGGGGCCGAGCGTGAGCGGCCGTTGGAATCAGGGAAGGGCTCCGATTGGTCAGACGCGAGCGTAGCAGAAGACCGTCTGCTTCGATGGCGGGAGGCGCCACATTTTTTCCCGATTTGGGCGCATGGCGCCGATATTTTTTGAAGCGCGTTTATTTTCCTGTAATCGCTTGTGTCCGATAGCTTGATCTGATACTTTTAGAACTGATTCGCGAGTAACACAACTTATTACAAGACCAGCGCAACCCAAGCGGAACACACGCATGCAAGATTAGTGCCCGAGCGACCTAGCGCGCGCAGGCATTTTCGAAGCTTTACGACTTTACTGGCTTTACTCAGAAATTCACAGATGTGCACAAAATAAAACGATTTGTGCATATATTTTTGTGAAACAAAATGTGTGGTCGGTTCAGGATTTGCAGGCGACACATGTTTACATTACGTTGTAGCTTTGCGGATCGCTTGACCACGTGACGTGGTTACGTTTGAAGGTCACCTAGGTGCTGTGGTTCATACCTAAACAGGTACTGCGAGCACGGAGTTGAGTTCACTGTTGGGAGAAAACGCCGACAGGCGAATAAAAAAAAAATGCTAGGAATGCAAACTGCAAGGTATTTTAGCTTTACCTTTATTTCTTCCCCCCAAGTAATGACATTGAAAAGCTATGTGAATTTTTGTAGTTTATATGACTCAGAATTAAGGAATTCTACGCATACCGTTAGATTTTGCCGAGATTTAAATTTGAAAGATGAGCTTTCAACCATGAGCTTGGTCCCCTAAAAGCATACAAATACAGGTCTGTTTCAGGTCAACTTGTAGAACGTTTATTACAAAAAGTATCCGCAAGGCAGCACACTTTGTACAACCAACTAGCTATTTCAGCCGCTGTCCTTCAGGTAAAAGATGCAGTCACATGTTTGTCCGTCAACGGTGTCTGACTTGACCGTTTCATCCATGGATATATCCAATATCCCGATAACGAAAAGTATCTGAGCATCAGTTTGAACTGCAGATTCAGCTTTGCAAGGTACATGTGCACCACAGTTGAATGCAACACAAGCGAAACACAAAAATAAAAACTTTTACCGAAATCACAACCTGGTTTCTTTGATAAAACACTATGAACACGCATAAAAATGGAGAATGTGAAATCTGACGAAGGAAACAAAACTTTGTACAGCACCCACAAGCATTTAATTCTATATTGTACAAAAACAAAACAGACAATGAATGCAAACAGAAAGCACGAAAGAAAACTTTACATGAGTAAAAAATAGCTTTCAGCAAGCAGGCAAGATACTTTGGTATCGATCATCATAGCTTATATGAATTTACACAGCTTTTCCTCAATAAAGTTTTCAGCAACACTTTTTCCCCGACTGACTTCTACGTGCCATCCATGGTGTTCTGTTGGGCACAAAGTAGCAAGCAGTTAGCCTTATTTAAATAACTCATCAAGAAAGTCTGCAATGCAAAGCTTCTCCAAATAATCCAAAGGTTTGGCCATGTGTGGCTTCTAATATCAAGACTTTAGCCTGGTTTCAGGCAGAGTTCAAATATATCTAGACAACTGAAGGATGGCAGTAACAAAGCTTGGTTAATGCCCAAATAAACAAAAGCATACAATGCCTCTCATACGAGACGGTGTTGCCATTCTTCTTTGTCCGACAGTCATCCCATGAACTGAGCGTAGTACGCTAAAGCCAATTAAACTGGTTGGCTTGCAATTATAGCTTGTTCAATTAGGTAGGTTCCTCTTTAAGCATATGCCCTTGAAATGCAAGCTGCTAGTGTTTACGTCGGATGCAACCTGAGGAAGCAAGAGGATTGTAGCAGACAGAGGTGACTACAATGATACACACATGTGTAAAGAAGAACAATGCGCCACAGAAAGAGCGTATGGAGCAGAGGCCACCTTTTTCTCAAACTATGGAGCAGCGAGACAATAATTCATTATATTATCATTTTAGAACGGACGGATAACCGAAACGATCCATTTCATGGTGAGCCATACCTCTGTCCGACCTTTGAAAACCACCTTTTGCTCACGCTGTCTATGGGTAAACCAAACTAAAAATACTCTTCACCATCTATAAACTTTTTATAGTGAAAATAAAGCGAGACATGTAAAGCAAAGTGGTAAACAATTTTCAGAAACTTTGTAGCCTCCCCTCCCCCCCCCTCCCCCCCTCCTCCCCTCGTCCCATTTAGAAAGCAAGCAGTTTGATTTACCTTGCTTTGTGACAATACCCATAGCACGCAACATATGGCTGAATTCCATCTTTCTCAGAAGACATTGCACACATACAATGCTCTTGTTTAATTTTCTAACAATCTGCTTTAATGCCCCGAAAAGACAGTCTTTCTTAGCCAACTTTTTCAGTTACATCTCAGCTAAGCAGACAAAGTTATTAGCATAAGGACTTCCAGAAATCTTCCATATAACATATATGTTTTTCTAGGCATAATTGGTGAGACAACCTTCAGATTCAGTGGAGTCTCCATTCTTTCAGTCAACAAATTTAGCAAACAACCGTACCAACCTCAGCTTCTGTTAGCAGACGGCTTAGTGGAACTATAAGAACCACTACCCAATTCTACCCCAAAAGCAAGAGCTTACTCTCAAATAATGTAGTTTTTGGATATCAGAACCTTTGTAGACATGAATTTGATAGCAAACTTTGGGTGTCCTGCTTTCGCTTGCATTTTAATAAGCAATATCAATGCCCTTAGCAGACGGCAAGGTCCACCTCCAATACCCTCAGCAGACGACTGCATGAACCTCGTAACAAGCAGCTCTTCATCTTGAAACCAATACAAAAACACACTTTCACTAGAACACTGCCTCCAGAGGTCTGCTGTAAAAAGTCCACAACATCTTTCATTTCTTTTTTCTTTCCGTAAACAACAACAACGATGCTCGGAGGCTCTCATCAAAGGCACCTCAGCTGGGACTGTCGTCTGCTTTGATCTTGTAGTGAGCCAGGTGCTGATGGGGCCTCTGAAGAGGGTGGGACAAGAGCTTCGCCATGCAGTTGTGAAGCTTGGTGGCGTTACGAGACACCTCGAACACGTAAGACGCTAAGTGTTCGTCCAGGGCCACGAAGGAGTCAAAGACCTCCTGAAATAAAAATTAAAAGAAACTTTCTGACTTTTACAGAGCAAAACACAAGTATAACACTATAACCCTACCATTTTGAAATTCATTGTCTCCAAAGATTTGTATTATTTAAAGTTTTTTCTTTAGCGTTGCAAGAAAAATGTATGCCAATGAATCAAACAGTTTTTTCCTTTGATGCAGCAAAACCACCTTTCAAAGTCCCTTTATGAAAGAAGTGTAGTATAAGGAGCAATTGTTTAATTTTGCTCAGAAGACATTGAACATCATGTGACATTATAGTGTTAAAAAATCAAAGTCAAATTTTGGGGTTTTACGTGCCAAACCAACGACGGGCATCTGGCACGCCCCAGCGGAGGACTGGGGATTAATTTGGACCACCCGGGGGATCTTTTGACGTGCAACCGACAGCTCGGTTACACGGCGCCTTCTTCGCAATAAGCCTCCGTCAGATTGCGGGCACCTCGGCCGGGATTCAAACCCGCCACATGAAGATCCGTAGGCCAGCGCTCTCGCCTCGGAGCCACCGAGGCGGCTCATTATAGTGTCGGGTCATAGTGTCATGCATCTAGCTAGAAGCTCGAGGTCTTAAAATACCTGGAGGAAAATCAATACTCCTCCCCAATTCCCAAAGGAATTGTTGCAACCGCAAGCATGAAAACTTAGCACGGATATGTGCCTTCTTTGCTCAAGCTTGTGCGAATGGTAAGCTTGTGTGAATGGTAAGCATGTACCTCCCCCCCGCTCTACACTGCACAGAACTCAAATGTAACAATGTAATAGAGTCGGTGAAACAGACAGCGCATTATTACCCTGCTCTCCGAGGAGGAGAGAAAGCTATCGTGGCTGTGAGGCTGACGTTATGTTTCACACTCAGCATAATTGAGCTGTTGTCACGTCAAGCATCGTTGCTGACAATTGATAAGCTCCTAATTCAAATCAAAAGGCAAGAGTTGTCTGATCGTGTTTTAGTTTAGAGTTACGAAATACCTCCGCTAGAATGCAAATCTGCGTTAAAAGCGAGGAAGCAACGACACACCTGGCAACAGTTGTCCTCGGAGAGTGGCCGATGAATGTACAGGATGTCCAGGAAGAAGTATAGGGACTGCATCATCTGCTTCAGGACCTGCAGGTTTGTCGGCGGAACAGCAATCGCTTAGAGAATTGAAGCGACTTACGAAAGTGGGAAGGGTTAGGTGCTGCAAACAAGGGGCGACAAGATTTTGCCCGATGCATGGAAGCTTTCCGACATTGAAATACACGCCATTTTGTTGCACACGAAATCAGCATGGCTACCTATACAAGTAATTTTCTTTATCACTCTTGACATGGCTACTCGACAAAACTTGAATCGCTTAAAAACCGATTGTGTTTTGTCGGAAGATTGTTTGCTTCTTAATGTGGTTTCACCAATGCCAGAATACGACGGGGTGCCAGACCACCCGTCAGAATCGAGAGCAAGGGGGGTCTGGACCTCCCTCCCCATTCCCTGCTTTTTTAAAGTGCAACTCTGCTCAATTCCGAAAATTTCGGGATAATGAGTGATTTCAGATTAAAAATCACCAATAAAAGGCACAATGTCATTTGCTTTGTGAAAAATCAAATAACACATTGCTAATTTTCACTTCAAACATGAGCAGAAATCAAAACCGAAATTTCGGCTCTTTCTGAAAAAATTGGTCTCGGGCTGCCAAAAACATGGCCATCACACGGTGACCATGTTTTTGCAAAAAAATTCTGAAAATTTTGGGATAATGAGTGCTTTCAGATTAAAAATCACCAATAAAAGGCACAATGTCATTTGCTTTGCAAAGAATCAAATATACATTGTTAAATCTCACTTCAAACATGAGCAGAAATCAAAACAGAAACTTTGGCTCCGTCTGATAACGTTGGTCTCGGGCTGCCAAAAACATTGCCATCACACAGTACAAGATGTCACGCGATCCTCTACGCGACGACGGGTGGGACTGGGGCAAGCCGACAGGCCACCATTGGGGCAGGCGCATATTAGGTGCGGTGACAGAGTGGTGCGCCCCAATCGTGCCAATGCAGAAACCTTCAGGTGCCGTCAGAATCTGCGTCGACCTGACCCACCTAAACAAGTTTGTACGACGGGAGCGCCACCAGCTTCCAAGCAGCCCGCGTCTTTTTAAACCAGGATGCAAGTTCTGGATTCTGCCAGATCCACCTTTCAGAGGCATGCCAAAGCCCTCCACTTTTATAACACCTCATGGGAGGTATTCCTACCTTAGGCTACCCTTCAGCGTGACTTCAGCCGGCTGCTATGGAATGCCGAAATTGATAAGAACGGGCACTTCAGCAGCAGCGGCGGCGGAAGCAGCGCCGACTTCGACATCGCAGCAGCAACGAAAGCAGCGCTGACCTCGCAGCAGCAGCAGCAGCCGGTGTCACGTCGACATGGCAGGACTCAAGCCTCCGAAGCCATTCGACTTTCACTATGCCGCGGACTGGCCCGTCTGGATGGACAAGTTTGACGACTACGGAATAGCATCCGGTCTACACGAGAAACCCAAGGAAGTTCAAGTAAGAACGCTTCTTTATACGATGGGCCGAAAGTCGCAGGAGATTCTGCAGTCAGTAGGCGTGAAAGATGAAGAGTTCACAAGAGGTTTGACCTCACAAAGTCAAGGTTTCAAGGGTATTTCGTCCACACACAGAACATAGTGCGTGCGAGAGTGCTCGTTTTAACCAACGCCGACAGTAACCGGGAGAAACAGTAGACCAATTTGTGACAGAGAAACACAAGCTTGCAGAACGTTGCGACTTTAAAAACATAAAAGAATGTCTCATCAGGGACCAATTCGTAGTCGGTCTTCTGGACCAAACGCTGCGAGAGGAGCTTCAAATGGATCTAAAACTGACGTTACACACAGCTCTCTCGAAAGCTCAGACAAGCGAAATCATGAAGAAACAACAAGCTGAACTAACAGGGCAAGAGTATGGAAACTCATAAGCATGTGTTGCATTCAACAAGCGGAAAAAGGCAGCGGGAAAGAGCGACAGTTCGGCTACTAGAAAGCTCGTAAACGGCAAGAAGTTTTGCAGTTTTTGCGCTACCAGCAACGTGCCTACAATGTTTAGTTAATCTATCGTATCCAAGATTTTTATTCGTTAGATATGTAGCAGAATGCCTCGGGAGTGCAGCTATGAAAAGCTTTTTGTAAAAGGTAATTTATTTCTATAAATTTTCTCTTCTGCAAAATTGGTCAACTTTTCGGTCTCCTGTGTCTTTGACGAAATGTCAACATTTTTTATAAAAGACATCTGTAAAGTGACAAAAAAGTTTCAGAGCCCCATTCCTTAACCAATTTCAGTCAGGAAAAGTGAAGAACGAGCCTTCCCTGTATTTCCATTATCAAACGATAGATTGACTAAAATGAAATTTATATCAAAAAGTGGAACGGAGAAAAGTGAGTTCAAAGCGCTCCAAACTTTACCCTTTTTTTAGCCTCCATGGAAAGAGAATAATTTATAAAAAATTAACTTTGCAGTGTAAACTAATTAAACTTTGGGGGATACTCTCTAGATATCGATGGATGTAAATATGTCACTTTTGAAAATAGACTTTTTTGCAGAATTTTGTTTTTTTCTGGGTAGTGTCCCCCCTTAGAAAGGATGACGGCAGGAAACTCGACAGTATCGCCGCACCTGATAAGGGGCATTTCTTGGGTACCCTTGAGCATTTATCTGCGAACTTCGAGACAGTGCAGATAAATTGCCAAGAACTTTGAATGAAAGTTGACACAGGAGCAGAAGTGACGGTCGTTGGCGAATGCTTTCCAGGCATCCCGTGCTCTCTTGACGAAGCAGAAAATCTTCAAGGACCGAATGTGCAAGAATTCACACTATCAAAAAGTTTCAAATAAACATTACGTGGAAAGACAGGCACTCACGACAAACTGTACACGTCATTCAAATATGCGCACAGCCCTTCTTGGGTTCCCCGCGATCAAGGCCTTGGGAAATGTTGGCTCTTTGGACGATATGGAAAGTGTCAAAGACATCGAAGCGAAGTTTCCGAACCTGTTCAAAGGCATAGGATCCCTGCCTGGAGAACACACGATACGCTTGGTATTGGATGCCATTCCGTACGCCGTGTCAGCTCCTGCTTGATTCCCATACCAATGAAGGAAGCAGTAAAAAAGGAACTAGACTAGTTACAGCTAGAAGGAATGATCCGAAGGGTGGAAGGCCCAACAGAGTGCGCTACTGAACGCGCACAATTTTCGGAGCCGATGATTCCATCCGAAACAACGGAACGTCCATGGGAGGAACTCGGTGTTGACCTGTTTGAACTAAAGGGAGCGATGTACCTTGCTGTTGTCGATTATCAAGGGCCACAGTTTTCCTCGTTCTCTTGCCAAGACTTTGCAAGGACATGCGGTTCACGCGTGTGACATCCAGCCCTCGGTACCCGCAAACAAACCGTGAAGCTGAACGAATGGTAAGGACTCTCAAGCTCGCCTTCAAGAAAGCTGAAGACCCTTACCTTGCTCTGCTAAGCTACAGGGATACCCCGGGCCCTACAGGCTTTAGTCCCGCACACAGGCCCAGCCTTACATCATCATGCGCCCTGGACGAACTTCGGCTGTGGTGCACCCCCCACCCCTTTTTTTATACGCCCCTATCTACTACGTACGACATCACATTGTTAGTAAACATGTGAGTAATGGCCCAACACGAGTGTTTCGTCAGCCGATAACCGCATTCCAAAAACGAAGGGCGCTGTGTTAAAATAAAAAAAAAAAAAGACTAAAATAATTTCAAAAGGGGGCGGTGAACAGGTCGCCCACCCCTAAAGCTGAAAGCTGGCCCTGCCCGCACAGCTCCTTATGACCCGACGATTGTGCTCAAGAGTGCCTTGCGCTCCATTCTCGCTCAAGCCTCGCGTGGTAAACTCTCCTTGGAAGAAGAGGGACGAACAATGTTGGCAGAAAATTTACTTTGACAGGTGTCATGCTGTTAAACCTCTGTTAAACAAGGGGTGGCTGAGAGACAGGGGTACTGCGTCCTTCGACCCTCGGATGCGCCAAAGTCCTACTGGGTTAAGACCAGGGACGGACTCTTCCGTAGGAGCCGTCCACAGCTGTTCCTACTGCCGGACAAAGACGGCAATCCTCGTCCAGCACCAGAGCCTCCAAAACCGGGCGAACCCGCAGACATGATCAAAGATGACGCAAGCAAGCCCGAGGTTGCTATGCCGCCAAACAAGCCTGAGGTTGCTATGCCGCCAAACAAGCCTGGCGTGAACGATCATCCGACTACCCCAACAATGCGATCAGGCAGTGTTATAAAGGCCCCGAAACGATTCGGTATTAATGACTAACTTTTTAGAGATGCTTATGTTTTGCCTCGTTCTGTAAAAGGGGGAGATGTCATGCCACCGTGATAATGCGCCGAGCTACTCTTTTCTTTCTGTTATCACGAGCGGTGTTCACGTGATTGGTGCGATGCACCAATCACGTGGACACCGCTGAGTGCCGAGGCAATGCTGCTGACGTCACTTGTTACGCTTGCCCGGAAAACTAAAAACAAACAAAAGGGGGCAATGATGATGACATCTAGATCAATGCTGGCTACACCAATGCCGTGGCCTTGACTGCGCCGTTGGTTCCGCCTCAATTCGCCCGCTAGAATAAGCCGATTTCAGCAACTTGGCGCGTTGCAAAGTCCGTTTAGAAGCATGTTATTATTATTAACATTATTAGAGAAACAAATTAACATTATTACAACCTAGTTCTGTTAAAGACAGAACTGGGTCGTAATATTTGTTGTGTGGTCTTCCTAGGTGATACTGAAGAGGACTGCATTGTTTTCTTAAAAACAGAAATGAAGCAGAGTTGCCCTTTAAGCACTGTATGCCCCGCCATAGACAGACTTTTTGGGGACGAATTAAGTAAATACATGCGTTTTTGACTCGTTATTAGAGACAACTCATATTATGAAGGAGTTTGAGGGGAAGGGGGGGAAACAGAGGTGTCCATACTAGAGGGGCACGACCATGTTGTACGGTGAGGCGGACCAAAATGGCAGTCACGCCGCATTACCCTAGAGCTGCGCAAACGACCCCTTGCTCCGAGTCGACCACAGCCCGAAGGGGGAACCGTAAGCAGCCTCCTCCTCCGAGCGAGTCTCTAGAGAGAGGTGTAGAGGAGGCTACGTACATCCACGTTTCGGTGCATCAGCGGAACACTTCCGGACCGTCCGTAGATGAGGACCACCCTGACGAGGAACGGCGGAGCGGCCTCCACGTCCCTCCCGATTTCTGGTATGTGAGTCTGTTCCATTCTGCAAAAAAAACAACAAAAAAACACATATTTTTGCTTTTCATATTTGCAGAAAACAAAGTGACGTCGCTTTGTCAAGAGTCTATTTTGACGTGCGAAGGCTGGGAGGGCGGGAAGTTGTTTGCCCCGGAATGACGTCTGGTGTTGCTGCTCTGGACACAATTTGGCCAGTGCACAGTGCCCGCTACTTGTTTTGAACTGGCCAGCATCGTAGTGGCATGCGGTGGGTTGTCACCACTGCGTGGCTTTGCGTTAAAGACCCCAGGCCAGCAGTGGTACTGCACTGGATAAATCTATTATCTACAGCGTAAACCAGTGCCGCTATACCTCAAAGGCAAACCGACCTTGCGCTGTCTTTACAAACGTCTAATTTGTTTTGTTACTACAACTGGAAACACTGGGCTTGTAACATGCATTGTAGGATCTTTCGGTTTAGCAGTATGAGCATTCGTTTCGCGTGTTCCCAGCTACGGTGCACCAACGTGCGACGCCATCTATTGCTGCCCTACTTTCGTAAAACCATGTGTTTCCAGCCGAGAATCCTTCAGACCCCCAGCGAGCCACTGTTTCGATGGGTGGTTTCCTTTGCACTTGGCAATGCCAAGCTAAGCTTTAGAAGCATAGTCTAGGGTTAGAAGCCATGAAAGGGAACGCTCCCGTGCCTTTGCCCTTCCGACTCCAAAGTATTTCCTTTTCTTCCCTCTCAGTCTTGGATAGCTTCATCACATGACAGAAAGAGTAGCCTGCTGACTAGTGCATGTAGTTGACCGCAAGGTGGCCTAAGTGGCTACCCGTTTTTGACATCACGCAATGTGGTCATGGAGTTAAGTTCTAGTGTCACTTGACTTCATATGACCTTTAAACTTAACGTCACATCACGTTACACTACAATGGACTTGCGATAATTCAAACTTGGATATATCAAACTTGCTATTAACTCAAACGAATTTAAAAATTTTCGGTGTCCCACTATGTTTTCAAATTATTTATAAGTTAACTCAAACAGCGTTTTCGCTCAATTCATACTACAGTAAAACCTCGTTATAACAAAGTTGAAGGAGCGGTCGTAGTTATTTCGTTATAACCATTAGTTTGTTATAGCCAATGTCCATTTCTCCATACTATTAGCAAGCAAGGGGAATTATGATTGCTTTGTTATATCCATTAGTTTGTTATATCCCATTTTGTTATAACGAGGTTTTACTGTATTTGTTCATCGCAGTGGGCTAGCCCCTGTGAGTGCGTTTATCACAGAGCACCTGTGTACTGCGGGAGAGCAATACCCACGAGGGTCACGGGCATTGCTTTTTTGCAGTGCGCGGGTGCTCGGTGAAAAGCGTACTCGATGGGACTAACCCACTACAATTATGCGAGCAGTACTGTCCTGACAATCTGCTTTCACTATTCCTGCTTGACTTTTATTTTTTTTAGGGGGTTAAAATCGAGATTAAAGAAAATATATTTGCATATAGCGAGCAGATTTATGAATTCCCTCGATTATGATGGCTGGGTGTCTCTTTCAGGTTTAATTTTATATCAAATCTGTCCTTTAATTGCAACCCCAATGTAGGCATTTAACCTTCTGAGGTCACAGTTCATATATATAGTTATAGTGAAACCAATTGAGCTTCGAAGTGGACAAGCGAAAGGTTGGAAACAAACTTCACGAGTTCAGCTGAATTTTTGTTTAAACATGGTACATTGGTAGTAGAAGTCCTGGAGAAACTATTCAATATTCAGTTAGAAAATATTCGGCCAAAACCACCGTTCGCTTCGAACTTCACCAATGTTTTATGTGTGTGCCTGCTTATGAATAGGCCTGTGTAGAGGAAAGTGTAAAAAACCTGCTCGGTATGTGTAGCTATTCCTATAGCAAATCATTCTTTGCCTTGCATCATATTTAGGTGAATTTCTGATATTTCAAACAAAAGTCTATGGCTTTCTGGAGTTTGAATTAATGAGAGTCGACTGTACAATTTGACATTCGACATTACCAGACACCATAACGTGTCACGCAGGCACGTATGAACACGCAATCTGAGTCAGCCTAAATAAGCATGCATTCCAGCAGTAACATGCAGTGCTACTGAATGCTGGTAGTGCAATACATTTTCCATTCCTACGAAATTTCAAAATAGGCCACATCAAAATTTAGGTGCAGCCCTCAATCCTTGAACAGACACAAAAGTTTTGCCTGCATACAAACCGAACAGAATCGGGACGAAGATGGTGCACATAGAAAATGAAGAAGACAGTAAAAGGAAAGACACTGAGACCTTAGAAAGCGGTGTTCCCACAGCAGAACTTAAATAAAATATCTCTACTTACATGCCATTGAACAATCCGGATAGGTCTGGCAAAAAAATGTCAAGGTCCATCCAAAGCCACAAAAACTTACTGAAATAGTGAGAAATCGCAAAAGCCAGAGAAAAAAAAAGTGTATAATAGCTCTGGCTGGAGTCGGTAATATACTAAAAAAAAAATCAAAGTCGGTAATATACTAACAAAAAATCAACTTGTAATATACTAAAAAAAGAAAAAGATAAACATGCTTTTGAGCATGGTTGGAGTTTCTTACTGCCCTCAACCAGCTCAGAAACACCAATTCCAGAAAAAAAGCTGATCTTGAATCTGCAGCTACAGAATAAAGCTCATCTCGAGTCCAAAGGATGTCTGTTTCTCCTGTACACAAGTTCTACCCGTCCGTACACCGACCGGCAAGGCTAGTGACGACAAACGAGTCAAAATGAAGATAAGTCGGAGTGCAGGGGGCCTCACTTGGAGATCACAAGGCCCACACATCTCGGGTGTTTTCAGACACGCCGTTATCAAAACAAGCAAGACTACACACTTTCAATACCTTCTGTGAACGTGCTCTTTTGGCTGCGTATGCAAGAAGAATCGGTTCTGATAGCGTTGGCGATGTATAAAACACTCCCCCCAACGCTGAACGCTCATTCTTCGCCCACACGTAACGCTTGCGGTTCGTACCAGATGCCAAGGTTTCAGAACTATCCGTTACCTCATTCGAAACTTAGCGATTTTCTGAAAATTTCGAGGGAAAAATGGGACCCACTCACGGCAACTGACACCATTCGGCTCCATGTATCGGAGGGCTCTGTCGTCCCCCGTTTTCCCACCATAAATTTTTAGAAAATCACCTATAACTCTTGAATGAGACACCAATTAGCTCTGAAACTTCGACATCTGATTCGGAATGCTATACTCCGTTTCACCTTCCGTCCGAGCACAGCGGACGCTAGGAGCCATCCCAGCCTATGCGGCATTGAGGGAGTGTCATGCGACCTTGAGCTCCCTGTGTTGCCCCGTTCCACCGGCAAGTCACGCGACTTTCTCCCGGCGCTGGATCGGCTGGGATGGCTCGTGGCGTCCACTGCGCTCGGACTGAAGGTGAAACGGAGTATAGCGCTATGTTTTGGGTGGGGAACGAGCGTTCGCCGATGCATTTCATTTTTACGGTGACAAACAATCTGTAAAATATTTTCCCTTTTGGAACACCTTGTATTTTGGGACTTCCACTACAAGATAAAACATGTTTTGCCGTCACTCAAATGAGTCCTGCCAAATGGGTCACATTGCGAAAAAAGCAAAAAAAAAAAACTTTTTTGCAGGATCTATTTTTTTTTTTTTTTTTTGTGACTACATGTTTTATTGAGGCATATAAAAAAGTGTGCCTGGGAGTTCTGTTTCTTTTTACCACCAAACCCTCTGGCTAAAGACTCTGGGATGGTTCGGGGCGGGGTTCAGGCCACGCCAAGCATACGAATAGGGAGGGCACTTCATCACACTTACAAAAGTAGGCAGCTTACTAGAGACCAGATGGTAGAGCTCAATCTAAATAAACCTGCTGCGGGAAAAAAACAAAATGCGCTGTAGCGAACGGTTTAAGGATACCGCATGACTCGCAGAGCCTTGTCTCATTCAGGTCGTCGAGGAAGTTGGAGATGTCCTTGGGATCGCTTGTGAAGTTTTTGATCTGAAGCAAAAAAAAAGAAAGGAGTTCCATGCGGAACTTTCAAAATGGAGAATCGGTAATACACACCTAGTTCCACGTCAATGGTATTTCTATGTAAATGTATTTTGCCATGTTTAGGAGGATGATTTCTATCCATCATTATCACTGAAATCCGTGCAGGGTAGATGGCACAAGTCAACCGACTCATTACAACCAACCTTATCAACAAGAAGCCTAAATATTAAAGATGTGTGAATATTTGAAACTTTGATATAATTCGTGAATAGTGCCAACCATTCAATAGGATGTGCGGCACCCTTTCGTTGATTGAGTATTTGAGTTTTTCAAGTATCTGAACATTACGAATGACATCTTCAGAACTTTCTCAATTTCTCGCGTCAAACTCTACCACTTTGCATTGGTGTGCATGTGTCAAGCTTCACCGCTTCACGCTGGAAAGCTAGGGGAAACGGCCGGCCTGTCAGAGCATCTTGGTCAGCTCAATGGTCTTGGACATTTTGCTCCCTGTTGTAAGTCGTCCTTCTTTTTGGTTGTAATTATGGTTCGCCTCCTCCCTTTAAAGCGATAGTGCAACGATCTTGCTGCTGAAAGAATTGGCAGTTTGTATTTTTTATATTGTTTATCTAGGCACAAGTGACGAAAAATGCGACATCTCGCCCTGAAAACCTGCTGTTCCGCTGCGTAATCGCAAAGGAAAAAAACTATCAGTTCCCGAGTTGCAGCCGTGTGCAGCGGTTACAGGAACTATGATGATACGTCTCGGGGCGACACGCGGAAGTCAACAAACCCTGACCCCCTCCACTGCTATACTCGCCGTCAGCCCCGTGGCGAACCGCCTTTTCTGTCGATAGCTCGCAGCCATCTTCAACGTTTCTAATCCTTGAAAAGTCGACCATCGCGGAGGAAGCGGCTAGGGTCTCTGAAGAGAGAAGCCAACAGGAAACCAGGTGGTCCCCCAGAGTATGACAGTCAAAAGACGATGCAAGAGTTGAGAGGCACTTCGACCTTCAATTTGTTTCATTTTTTCTAAAATAAAAACTAGCGCGCGCAAGAAATCACGATTTCCTGATCTTTGTTTCGTAGGTGATGCAGATTATTTCCCACAGTTAATTGGCCAAAGTCCAAAAATCGTTGCACCGACATGAAACATTTCCACAAAGGTGTGTTTACGTGATGCATTTTTCCTACTCAAAATTAAAAAGTGTAAGTGTCAAAAACAAAACAAAAAAGTCTAAAAAAGAAGAACTGCTTCTTTGTATGCCTGCACAAAGAAGAAAATTGCGAAAAACCTTTTGGTTGATGCTGCTGCCTACAGATGGTGACACATGCGCTCGGACCTGCCCGCTCTACATTCAGGTACTTGTCTCAGAGTCTTTCAGGTTTTTGCTTTGTGATGTGCCATTTGTGGATGACAGAACCAACTGGATGGTTTTTACTTTATAAAAAAAACAGGATTTCTTAGGCTTAAATGGTTTTCTCTTGTGAAACTTGAGCATGATAGATGCATCCGCACGAGCTGCCGGCATTAAACAAAACCGGCGACTTTTCTGAGTGCCATATTTCGTTACACACAAACCTCACGAAACATTCGGGGTCAATTCAGTATGGGACCTTGACATAGTTAAGGTCGCACGGCACACCGGTGGCCACAGGGGCAGAGGCTCGTAGCATGCCAGCATTGAATGTGTCGATCTAAGGTTTTTCTCAAAATTCCGTATATGAAAAACATTCAAATGGGACACAAAAAACATTAATTCAAACAAATATTCAAAAACTGGGATGTTAAAAACACGCCCCCCCCCTCCCCTAAACACATACTTGAGGAAAATCGCAACATGACCAGTTAATGTAATCAAAAAATAGACACTGCTATAAATTCAAGTGGACCATCCTGAAATGATAAATTTTTAGTTTTTCGCCCGATCTCCCAAAAGTCATCCTAGTGATATTCCACACCGCCGGGCGATAATTACGAAACTGCAAAGCAGTAAGCGAATAGGCGAAGGAAAGAAATCCTACTTTTGGTCCTTAATTTTTAGGCAAGGTGGCGCAAGCTAGCGCCCTTTACACAGGGTAAAACCGTTAGCACCCATCCATTTAAATGCAGACGGCACCACTCACCCAGAGAGGCACTTCGTGAAAGACGACGAGGGCAAACTCGTGTCTCTTGTCGATCTTGTGCTTGTTGTGCACAAACAGCTCGACGACCCTCTTCACCATGAACAGCGGAGAGTGCTTTGACCTGGAGTGATCGGGACAGACCCATTGAACACCTTCGAGTAAACGGCTGAACAGATTAAACCAGAGCTCGAAACAGAGAAATCTTCGGGAGAAATTGTGACAGCCACACGAATGCCACACGCTCCCCACATAACACTCATCATGTGGCCAGCACGTGATGTCATCATTCCATGCCGGTGGCCCCTCCCACTCGTTCCTGCCCGGAAGAGCAAATTCGGTCGTGCAAAATGTACTCTGCAAAAAGTATGCCTTCGGCAGCAATGGCTACCGCAATGGCAGCTGACGTGACGTCAGTGCAAGCTGTGTATCTGACAGTAGACTAAAGGCCCGTTCGCACACTTGCATTTAATTAGGACCGTGTTCTTGCAATCTCTTACGAGGAGAGCACACAGTGGCACGCTAGTGCGTTCTAGGAGGTGACGTTGGAACCGCGTTTCTTTGGAGTGAAGGTTATGTGGTATTTTCAAGATCATGTGAACATACTATCTGTATAAAAGTTCACACACTTACAATGGTAAGTGCGTGAATCGGCCTCAATAGACCTTTTACTAAATTACCAAAGCACCAAGGAGAATGCTCGGAACATAGACACGAGCTTGATCTGCATAAAATATTCTAAGCACTAAATCAGTGGTTCTCAAATGGGGGTCTGCGGACCCTTTCAGGTCCGCAAAGGCATCCTAGGGGTCCACGAGGCCCTGCCTCCCGCCAATAAAAGGTGCATTTATTTCAGACTGAGAAGAAACATTACAATTTTCGAATGAGAGTTCTCGTGTGTATATCAATGAGAGAAATCTACTTTACACAACTCTTATTTATATCCATTTATTAAACCATTTTCCCAATACACCTATAGTAACTTCCCCTTCCCCTCAGCACAAACAGGGCCCTCCATCACCTCTGATGGTTTAGAAGGGGTCCGCGAAACATCAATGGTTGAGAACCACTGCACTAAATAACCAAAACAAGATAATAATTATAATTTTTATTTTTGGATCCGTATGGGTTACAGACGCCGGAGCCACGGACAAAAAGTCAACAAATGTTGACTTGACGGGGTCCGGGCCCCGTGCACTTGGCAGACAGCTATGGCGAAGATGTCGGCAAACACGCATGCAAAGTACCATTATTTTTTTTTAGACATTCGCTTTAGAGAAGTCACTGCAGCAGATGCCATAATGTGCGGCCCGTGTAAATGCATTCGCAGTATGCGCCCTCCTGCTTGGTCAGTGCAGCAAAAGGTGTAACGCTCAACATACATCTTTCTTAACGAGTGCCGTAGATCACGGTGTACTTTACTGCCAGTGTCGCCCGATGGCCACCGGCGAGAATTGTCCAACAAAACGAGTGGATGGTGAGGAGAGAAAGCAGCGCGTCATCGCCCTCGGTTTCGCGCGCACGTCGAGGTTCTTGGACGACTCGCTGGATGGCACCGACCAAAGCCACTAACCTACATTCACAAAATTTGAGCACGATAAAGACAACTTTGTAAAAAGTTCCATAAACCCGTTTATAGATATTTTTTTTTAAACGCTTATAATAGAGGTTTGGGACACCCCCCGTAGATACTGATGGGACGCAGGAGCACAAACTAAATATTCAGACACAGGTGCTAATATGTGGCGAATTCCACGTTCGCAGCCAAGCAGACATGGGGTTGGAAGCTATGTTACATGCTTCCAACTCCAAGCATCGGCCGACAAGCAGAAAGCAGCGTCAGGCGACGAAGCGGAGGCGTTTGATTGATTTGCAAGCAGACAGCTTCCGCCTTGGCTTAGCGGCGAACGGCATGTATACTTAGTTTCAGCTTCGGTCCGAGCGCGGCCGATGTTATGAGCCGAAGAGCCAATCAAAGAGCGCAATAAGCGCAGCGTCATGGTGTGCTCTCTGCGCTTGATAGGACTAGCCGGTGGAGGAACGCGCACAGAGAGGTGGCGAATACCGGCTGGTCCTATCAACTGCAGAGAGCACGCCATGACGTTGTGCCTCTTTCGCTGTTTGATTGGCCCTTCGGCTCATAACATCGGCCGCGCTCGGACCGAAGCTGAAACGAAGTATAGTAGAGCAATATTCACTTTACTAACTATGCGCAGCCGCCCGCCTTGCGCAACTGAAAAGACCAAAGGCCGATCCAGACACCTGTGGCTGCTTATGACCAAGTGCCTTAAAACCTCTCGGGATCTCTCACAATGAGAGAACGCACTAGCACCATCTATAGGTCAGCCGTGGAACACTTTGGATTCCCCTACATTTCCTTTTCTTTTTTTTGCACGACAATGTTAAAAACAACCATTTTTCGTAGATGTAGCACATACATTTGATCTCACAAATAATGCAAAACCTTCACTCTAGCGACACATAGTTTCAGGTTCATCTCATAGATGGTGCTCGCATGCCAGTGCAGTCTCTCGTAAGAGATCCCAAGAGCTCGGTCCCTGAGCAAACACAAGAGTGTGAACGGGCTTCAATTAGTTCAGGTCGTAAATTTGCATGTTCATTATGCTCATCGGTCTAATTGTACCACAGAAATCGCATTTCGGTCACAGTTTACGTCGAAACAAAGCAGTCTTTACCTAGAAGGTTCAGAGAGATATAGACCAACACGCGGCCCTGACGTCACGCAGCTGCGGTGTCGACGGCACGGCGCGTGCGCACACGCTTCACTCCTTCCGAATTTGGGTTCTGCGCATGCGCAGTGCCCACACCTGGTGGGGGCAAACGCGGGCTTGTCTGTAAACAGTGTGTCGAACTATAGACGCATACGAAAGGTATGCGTAGTGCAAGTTTGTCTGCTTCTTGCACAGGAGTTTCGCTGATGTCCAAACGCCGAGCTCTTATACACAAACTCATCTCTGTGACGTCACGGCGCGGTGGTGGCGCGTTGGTCGCACTTCCGGTCTGGGGCTATGGGCGGAAGTCCCCATGCCAGACTGTATTCCTGCATTGTTTTGAAAGGAACCGGACAAAAACCTGCCTTCTCGTCAAAACGCCGCGACTGGGGCCGTACCAAAAGTGTCGAGAATGGTTTGAAGGTCAGTTTTCACGTGCTCGGTTCGTCCGAGAATCTGGACATGTGCAGTGAAAAGGGAAAAGCAGATGCCGTCGGACAACGATTGCTTGGGCGGGAGGCACTTTGGGTTGAATTCACGGATACTTGTGGTCATCAGATTTATTTGTTTTGTTCCAACATGAACGCCAGAAAACTGTCAAGTTGTGCGGACCACCTGTGGACTACGTTCAGTGCGTCTTCAAGTTCAAACGGCCGCCTGATCGTTCGGACTGTCGTCTGCTCTTTCAAACGTTTCTGCTTGTCGTCTGCTCTCTTAGACGACGCCGGTCCGTAGACCAAATGTTGGCCCGGTACTTGTGATAAGAAGTGAGTGCAGGCCTCAAAAGACTTAAATTTGAAGGTTAGCAAGCAGGCTCGATGTAAACAGTAGATACAAGGAGATGTTGGTCATTGTTACCAGTGGCCAACACCGACTTGTTATGCCTAATTCAGTTGGTCCAAATCTGCTTGCGATTTTCAGTATCGTCGTCGACCATCTCAGCTACGGTTCACACTTTTGCAGCCCGAGCGGCGTCGCGACTGAAAATTTCGAGCGAAATCTCATTATGCGAATCAGGCTTTAGCGTACATTATGCGGCGTCCACGCGGAATGAATCGCCACATGTCACATTATTCACGCGAAGTTTTGCGGTGTAACGAGCCTCAATAACTTCGCTGACGCCGCTCAAGATAGTCAGACATCGCCAGGAAGACGTAGAACCCACAATTCGAACATGAAAAAGGGCAGGGGTACTCACACCGACGCCGACAACATCGCATTTCAATGGTTTGTTTACGGGCGACGGCGAGATTCTTGCCCACACCCCCATCGCGCATGCGCGGCGCCGGTGGCGTCCGCTAGGGGCGCTCCGGTTTGTTTGTAAACATGAGTTGGTGTATTGGCTGTTTGAAAAATATAGTGGGTAGACCTCAAGGCATCTAGCATTGAGGTCTACCCACTATCTTTTCAATCAAAGCCAATCAGAGCGCGGCATCGTTATGACGTCCCCGCAACTCCTGCGCAAGAGGCAGAAGACTTGCACTCTGCATAAACAAACGCTGCAGTTAATGTTGTGCGTCTAAAGAATGTGGATAATTTAAATCTACCAATGATTGTGGCACAAGAATTATGCCTCACGTCGACACAAGATTCCAGAACCCGAAGTGGTATGCTTACCCGTCCGAAAACGTGAATGGTAGGTCCTCCATTTCTGAAGAAATGTCTATGCAAATCACCTGATAGAAAAAAGAAAAAAAGAGGAGAGCATGAAGTGAAATATAGTGGCAGCCGGCGTACGCCTCCGAAATACTTATACAAAGTAACGTAAACTGAATACTCCAAGTCAAGCAATGCAGCAAAACAGACAAACATAGATATAAACGAACTTCCTTCTGGATCTAGATTCCCGAACTATTCAATTTAAAGTTAAAACACAGAAGGCAGGCATCTTTTCAACTTTAAGTACAGGACACGGTGGTACAGGAGTTTGCGATTGGGCTGTCAGAGATGGCGTCTCTCCCTTACGATTCGCTCGGGGCAGTTCGTCTTGGGCATATTCCGCTCGGCGGATTCCTGGTCCACGGTCACCGACGGATCGCGACGAATCCGCGAATCCTGCACGACGCTGTCCAGTTCGCTGCCGCCGCTCGCCTGTCCCAAGTCCATCCTGCCCGTATCCCACATCTCGTTGGGGCTCGACGAATCGCTCCCTTCCTCGTCGCTGTCGTCGGCGGCTCGCGGCGGCACCTTTTTCACGACGTGCACCATCTCACGGCCGGGACGCACATTCTCGGCGTTCGCCTCGGGAACGTTCGACACGGCCTCGACTTTGATCTTTTCCAGAGGCGGAAAGTCGAAATCACCACCACCTCTGGCAGCCGCCATATTTGCGAGCAATACCTGCCGGTCCGCAGCGAATTAGCGCATTCGAATGCTCGTGCAGGCGGCGCGAGCTTCGCGCCGTCTGCTCAAAGTCTACATTAATCACATTAGATTAATTTGAGACTGGGGTGAAAAGGAAACAACAAAATGTAGCAGAGACAGACATTAGACAGTACGACTCCTCAAACTAAAGTCTACATTTGTTTTCCCCACGTGGCTCGTGCGGCTCGTGCCTTGTCCAACGTTGCCTTCGCCATTCGCGCCCAGTTCGCGCCCGTCTTTCGACTTGAAAGACGTCACCAGTGGACGTCACAGACAAGAACATTTGACTTTGACGTTTCTCGAGTACACGAACGCACTATGCAGTTTATTAAAAAAAGGTTAAAACAAATTACTTTTTTAACTTGAATGACTAATTTAAAATATTTTGAATATTTTAAGTTTTTAAGTTTTTATTTGCGTTTGAAGGTTCTAAGGCCGTCAAGGTGATTTTTGCTGTATTCGCTGCGGGGTCAATCTCTCCCCTTTCTTTCGCCCGCTTTCTCTCTTTCTGTTGTTTTTTTACCTCCAGTCTCCATTGGATATCCGGCGGACTTGCTCCTCAGTGTGTTTTCAATGACGGAAGTTCCCGAGGTAGCTCGTCGCTTCGGTTGTGTTTGGGTGACCTAGAAGTCGTGCCGGAGCAGGATTTTTCTTTCCCACACCGCGCACCGAAAGGCTTGAGAAGAAGAGAGGAGAGACTCTTGCGTCGCTTACGCAACGACGCAGCGCTGTGATTCTTTTCTTTTTATTATTCCAATACAGCGGATTTCGTGCTACCGCCGTGAGCAGCAGCGAGCAAGGTAAGCGATCCAAACCTTCTCATCTCTTCCATGCAAACGTTTCTTTTCCCGTGCTCTTCGCGAATTACTGCGTGAGCAGTGTCGAATAGCAAACGTCGGCGATCTCTAGCAGCAAACGCGCGTTACTGAATTCTTATTTTTTATTTTATTTTTTTCTATCACTGGCAGTGGGGTTGAAGTCCAGTCAGTCCCGCGGCTCTACCTGTACCTTCTGAGGAGCAAAGTCTCGTGACTATCTTTTTCGTTGTTTTTTTTTTCTTTCATACGACGGGTTAAAACCTCCGACTCCTGCTGTGAAACTAAAAGCGTTAGAAGGAACGATAACAGCGAGCTTTTATTTCGTTTATGCGTCCACTTCGCCACCGCCCCGCAACGCTCGAATCCATGGTGTCGGGTCGCATCAGAAGGGTTGAATGGACAAATAAACGCGCCTCCCGTTCTGTCTGTCGTGCCCTGTTCGTGCTGTCGATGTCTGTCTCGGCTCACGATCGCTCTAAATCTGAGCTGAGATTATGCGTGGAGTGCCGCAAAAGGTAGGCGTATGAATCGCGACCTTTCCCGAGCTCGAACGATCGCGTGCTTGTTGCGGTTAATTGTTTTCCTAGTTTTGGTTTCTTCTTCGGTCGTTTCTAGGGAGAGTTACAGCTGTAAACTGGCAAAAGTAAAGGTCGTAGTCGGCGACGAGTCGACTCTGCTGTATCGGTTTTAAAAGCCTGCCGCTGGAGGTTCATGCCCTCCAGTTTTGTTTGTTTATTGTTGTGATTTCCGATCATATTTGTGTGTGTGGTAGCTGTAGGTTGTGACAGCAAAAACCGTTTGCCCACATCGAGGCGAATGATAAAAACGAAGAAAAGAAAAAAAATGAAAGTAAGGACAACATATTGCGTGGAACGTGAAAGGAGAACGTAAGAAAATCGACGGAAAAGCGTTTAGGCCGACGCAACCTTGTGCCCGTTTTTTTGGTTGAGCGCGTAGCGCACAAGAAACTGACGTTTTGGGGGGTCCAGAAAAATAAAAGGGCGCAAATAACGAGAACTTTATGTAAACAAAAAGGACGGAGTTTCGTTTTTTTTCTTCTTTATTAGAAGTGTAATCCTGTTTTTTTTTCTTTGGCACAGATGACGTAACGTACGGGCGATAAGCATATGTTGTTTGTTCAGTGACTAATTTGACACACGGCATGGTGACTGACTCGTATTTTGCTGTATCTCACCAAATCGTTCGCTCGACTCGCGCGTTATGGGACGTCGGACGTGAGACACACTCCGATAGCAACACCGGATAACAGAAGGCCGCCTGGGAAAGGGGGCACTGTCTTGTTATCATCTTCCGTCCATGACGTGATGTCACGTGACAGCAGCGTTTCAACTCGCGTGATTGCGCTCGTCGGTTTGAGTTGGCACATGGCTCCCCAAAAGCGCTGGTCTGCGTAGCTGTTGAGGCGCAATTGTCCGCATCATTCTGTTTTAAGAATGAAACAGAAAGAAGCCCACCCAGACAACTCACACGCATCCTGAGGATGGCCACACTGGTACGGTTCATGGACACAGGTTCAGACATGGCATACCAGTGAGATTGATAAAAGTTCTAGGCAACACAAGCAAATTGAAACCAAGGCAGGTTATTGACCAGATACTTATGGGAGACCCAGTGAATGGAAATTGAGCAGGATGAGATTATTATATAAGGGCAAGGGAGACAGCGACAGTATCAAATCATACCGACCAATCACAGTAGCTTCAATAATATACAGACTAGCTATGCAAATTGTAAAAAGAAGAATGGGCAGAGAGAAAGCAGATTCTGGGGGAGCTTCAAAACGGTTTCAGGAAAGATATACGACTAGATGATAAATTGTTTGTAATCACTCAGTGTGTAGAGATAGCGATGGCAAGTCAAAGGCCATTGTGGGTAGCATTTTTAGACATCAGAGGAGCATATGACAATGTGAGTCAGGAAAAACTCTGGAACCAACTGAAGGGATGTGGACTAGAGGGAACCGTGGTTACGTTTCTAGAACGGTTTTATACGGAGAATTGGGTGGTTATAACATGGGAAGCCGAAACCACAAGACCAGCAGCAATAAAAAGAGGTCTTAGACAGGGTTGCCCCTTGTCTCCCCTGCTCTTTATGATATACCTCAGTGAGATGGAAAAAAAAATGTTAGAACAGTGCAACCTAGGTTTTGACCTGACTTACATGGAGGAAGGACATAAAGTAAACCAAGTATTGCCAGGGTTAACGTATGCAGACGAGATTGTAGTCGTATCAGAAAGTCGTGAGACAATACAGGAACTGATTAGGATTTGCAGCAGGGAAGGGGACAATTTAGGACTAAAATTTAGTAGGGACAAGTCGGGTATAATAGTTTTCAACGACGAGAATGGGGAACCCCTGGTTCCCCATTCTCGTCGTATTCACGGGCGTTTGTTTGCCAACAAACCGGTCTCTGGCCTCCCATTGGCAGACCCCTCACGACTTCCGGTTCAAGACTTCCGGTCGCCTAAACAGCCTGCTACAACGCTGGCCTGCGGCGTGTTTGGTGCCAGTTGTCGGAGAAAGTGAAGCCAGTTGAGTGATTTTATTGGTATAATGTCCAGTAGTTACTTTAGAGAGCTGGACGAACTAGCGAAGCAGCGCTACCGGCAGAAGCTGACCATCTCCGGCGAGGAATTTCCCGACCCTTTGGACTCCGCTGTTCTTGCCTATGCATTTTCAACGGACGCCCGTCACTGGCCGCGAGTTGAAATCGGCGACATCTACGTTTATCTCGTCGAGGGAACGTGCTTCTACACAAGAGAACAATTCAAGAGCTATAAGCTCGAAGATGGCTACAACCTGTTCCTAAGTGGCAAAGTACGCAAACTGCGCGCATTTGAGGCCACAATTGATAGTGTCGTGATAGTTCTCGTCACCGGGGAAGTGGAGGCAAGCCAGACGCTTGGGCGATACCACCAGCCGTGGGCCGTCACGAAGAAAGAAGGCACCGTGTTGAGCGCACACTGCACCTGCATGGCAGGGTGAGTATTAAATTTTTATCGCTACGGCACCACAGCAAGCTATTCCCATATTCACGATCATTGTGTTCTTGCAGGCTTGGCGAGGCGTGCAGCCATGTCGCGGCGCTCCTCTTTCGCGTTGAGGTGGATGTCAAGTTTGAAATGACCGATCCAAGCTCGACATCTGTCGAATGTCGCTGGATTACAGCGTCTTCGAGTGCACAGGTACGTAGTTTTTGAATTTAAAGAGGCAGGATTTAGAAATAAACCAATTCAATCTAAAGAGAGACCAAGAAAAACGCGAATGTTTGCTTCTCAGATTAGATTGAGCCTTGACCCAAGGCTGTTTGTACAGTGGCCGTTCTCGCGTAAAGTGGCCCAATCCAGTTTAATAGGTGTTGGCAACAACCCACGCCCGCACATACACGGCGCCAGCCAAAAATTACATAAGTACGATTTTTGGATTTGAGTGATTAGAAAACAAAACAAGCTCCACATATCTTTAATTAAAGAGGTATCTTTCCTTTTCTATGAAATAGCAATGCCAAATTTTTTTCCCCCTTGAAGCAGCTTCATTTTGGATTTGACAGATTAGAAAACAAAACAAGCTCCACATATCTTTCCTTTCCTATGAGGTTGCAATGTGAAATTTTTTTCCCCCTTGAAGCAGCTTCAATAGCAACTGCCAGAAATTTAATTAAATAGCAACTGCCAGAAATTTAAAATAACATATCTCTCTCTCTCTTCTGATAATGCAGGCAGCTCCAGTGGCGGCAATTGATTTTATCAAGCCTTCGAGGAAGAGGCAGCTGAAGCACGCCCCCACGCCAAAAGAAAGCTCGCCCATTCCAGAGGCTACAACTGAGCAAGTCCAGGGCTTCTTCAAGGCAGTAAAGGTGATATGCGCAACACCGTTGTGAATCAGTGAACGACTCATCGGGCTCAGTGAGCAGGAACGAACTGCTTCCTCTTTATCCAAACCAAGTACCCGTGCACGTGCTGCCTCAGACAGGTTTGCAGGCATCACAACCGTTACATCTCCCTTTCTTTGTAGTCCCGAGAACAAACTAAAGCTGTGTTTACATGAATGCGACTTAGTTGCATTGAATCCAGTTGTCACATTCAATGCGGTCATGTAAACGGCATAATGAGCTAGGGAAGCACATTGCATTCAAGTCGCTAGACAGAGGTGGATCGAGACGGCGAATATGCGTTCATTCAACCCATGTAATTGGAGGTCGCATCGCATTTTGGTGGCGGCGGTGGATAGGGGTCCGTGTGGTCGCCCACAATTTTTTTCCAAAGAAACTACAGCTTTTATTGCCAAACTAAATGAGCGGAATAGCAATGAGCTGCTCAAAGAGGGTGTTCCCGTCCAAGCCTTGCAAAATACGACTTGCGCATCCGAGGGAGTCCGTAGAGGCTTCGGTGCAAGCACGAATGACGTTGAGAGCTCCGAGCACTGCATGGTAGGGCAGAACGAGCAGCTCCTACCTCGGTGCCGTTCCTGGCTGCGCCAAAGCCTTTTGGCCTCAGGGTCCAGTCGCGGGTAGCAAGGTTTGGCAAGGCGAAGCACAGTGGCGTCCTCAGAGCGGTTGGAAACGATCCCGCTCGCCAGGCTGTGCGCACACACGTCGCCCCGATCCAAAGTGGCCCAGCGGCCCCACCCCATAACGCTTGGGTTTCGATGTTTCTTCTGCCTCGTAACTTCTTGCACAGCATTGAAGAAATTAGGCACAACCTTTATGCTCTCCAAAAGTGGCGAAAGACCTTCACGTGCGATGCACCGGAAACGCAGCTTTAACTTTGAGCTTTGACACAGCGTGGCACCACCTTCGCATAGGGCTTGGTGCGCATTCATGGGAACGTTGCCGCATCAGCTTCATTCGAAGTTATTAGGGTTGATGCGCCGAAGCCGCATTCACGTAAACGCGGCTAAAGAAATGCACGAACAGTCGCTTAAAGAAGAAATAAGAAAAATAACATAAAACGAAAGACAGAGAATAAGTTAAGATTAAAAGAAAAGAATTACACAAAGTCCGGGGTGTGCTGCTTCAGCGCACTGCTGAAATTTGTTATCGTAGTCTTCGAGGTCGCCGTACAGTTCGCGTTGACGTCCAAGTTGCACGCACACTAGCCCAATCCGTCACCACTGGATCGTCTTGTTGGACTGGTAGGGCCACTGGGGGGGTCATTGTAGCAGGCAAAGCTTGGATGTTGGCTGGCTCCCAGGCTGGACAAATATCCTCGAAGTCATCCGTACGCGCAAAGTCTTCCTTTGTCGGGAGCAGATGCAACCGATGACCTTTGCCGTGTCGTTGCGAACAACCTTCAAAGCTGCTCTTCCTGCGTACGCAATTACATTGCCGCTGCAGCTGTGCAAAATTCTTGTGCTTTTTTGCAAATTTACATTCTTGCCTGTGCATTTCTACCACAATAGTGGCAACAAGTTAGCCCGCACACCAGTATCAATCTTCAGGACGAAGTCCTTATCGGCTACCTTCGCTGGCACCAGCCGCTCTGCTTGATTGCTTGTGTTGTCCATGCTCACTTCAAGAATTTCAAAGTCGCTCCCAGCCTTCGTGGCTTGTTAGTTACGTCGTTGATTATTGCGTCCATTTGGTTGGGGCAGCACACCGCAAAATGACCTTGACATTTTCGGCATTTTTTTCCCACTGCTGGGCAGCCCACGCCTCGGTGACTGAAGTTGCACTTCTTAGAGCAGTCGCGAAACACTCGTACGTTTCTTTCTTTTTGGGAAAGCAGTAGCTTTGAAACTATCCTACAACATCCACATAGGTCAGCTCCCCCTCGAGGTGTTGTAGACTTCCGAGGCCTGCTCTCTAGCAACATGGAGCAGCACTGGAGCCTTCTACTCTTCCTTTAAGCGGGTGGTTCTGTAGCAGCCATGAAGATCTCCAGCCGTTGCTTAAAACGCTGCCGCCAGTTTTCAGCAATGTTGCTCGTAAACTGGAGCGGCTCCGGTGCTTTCAGCCACTCCACGACTGAGGCAGCCGCCACACTTGTTAGGACATTGGAACCACTTCTGACACCATGTATCAGTCGACAACATATCGGGCTCTATGAGCAGGAGCGAATTGCTTTCTCTTTATCCTAATCAAGCACACATGCGCATGCTGCCTCACAACAGTTACACTTTGTATAGTAGTGAAAACATAAGCAGACCAATTGGGTGATGGCATTGTAAAAACTTGATTAAAGACGACGAAATGGCATGCAAGGCATGGCCAATGGCGTGAGGGAATCAGGCATATCTGTTCACAAGCTACGGAAGCCAACTCGGTCTGTTCAAAAATTGTTCAATGTGTCTACAGAGATTTCGAACATTTTTTGAAACCCTGTTCAACTTTTGAACAAGTTTTGGAAAAAGAAATTGCAGCATCTTTAGTTACTGTGTGATGCCTTGAAGCAAAGCGCAAAAAAACAGGGCATTGTTGTGGGTTTTTAATATAAGGTTGAGCTAAAAAATTTGCTTTGCCCCAAATGTGAACGTCGAACTTAAATTGCTTTTCTTTCCCCGAAATAGAGTTTCCTCTATAATAACCTGATTACATTTTGATAACACTTTTCAGGAGTTTGCACCCAGCACCCTCGTACTGCAAAGCCTCACCGACAGCGAGGACACGGACACTGCTGTCAGCAGCGATTGCGAGGACGACTGTGATCCAGTTCCAACACCTGGGACTGTTGTTAACGTGGAGTGCCTTTACGGCTCTCTAGATGAGCCAGCTGCAAGAGAAGCGACGCTGACAGCAGCAGAGTGCAACCAAGTGGAGCTCTGCACTCGCACTCAAGCAAGTTCCGACGAGTGGTTTGCGCAACGAAGGGGAAGAATCACTGCATCTGTTGTGGGAAAAGTACGCTCGTGTTGCACTGGGGCAGAGGGGATCGTCTCCGAGCTAATGGGCTACACAAAGACGCCCAATGTGTGGAGCGTGAGGTGGGGCAAAGACAATGAAGTGAAGGCGAGAAATCGCTTCATTGCGGATGAGGCACCAAAACACAGAGGCTTCGAGGTGAAGATGTGTGGCCTGCTTGTTGACTCTGAAAAGCCTTACTTAGGTGCTTCCCCAGATGGAATTGTGTCTTGTGGGTGCTGTGATGACGCAGTATTAGAAATTAAGTGTCCAGCAACATGTGCTAACCTCAAAATCGATCAAGCAAAGTCAGTACTGCCATATCTTGACAACAACAGTGCCCGTCTAAAAGAGGACCATGCGCATTACGCACAGGTTCAAATGCAGATGGCTCTGGCCAAGACAACCCGAGCATTCTTTGTAGTCTACACAAATGTTGACCTAAGTGGGGAGGAAGTGCTGTTCAATGAATGTTTTTGGAACACCACAATGAGCATTGCTGAAGAGTTCTACTTTAGCTATGTTTTCCCGGAAATCCACGGCAGAGAATTGTTGAAGAAAATTAAGGACGCCAATGACATGTGCATTTGTAAAACGCAGAAATCTGGATCAGTCTTGCGATGTGATGCATGTGACCGAGCCGTTCACATGAAATGTGTGAAGCTAAGACGTATGCCTAAAAGATGGGTGTGCTCTGCTTGCCAGCTTTGAGAATAGGTCACCGTTTTCACGATTCACTGGCAAACCAGATTCCTTCTGTAGTTACGACTGCCTAGAGCTGAGCCGATTGGCTTGACATATTTTGTGAGGATTCCAGCTGAATGCAGAGTAAAGAAAAGGGAAGAGGAAGGAAGGGTAGAAGAGACATAGATGCACACTGCTGGACTAGCAACCTTTTACTGAAATCTTTTTTCCTCAACAGTCATTCATTAAAAGGTTGGTAGGCCAGCAGTGTGCATCTATCTTTCTTCTACCCTTCCTTTGTCTCACCTTTTCTTTACTCTGCATTCAGCTGGAATCCTCACAGTCCTTCTGTAATATCACAGTGTAAATAAACACTTTCAGACTGCTGTATTAAGTTTATTGTTGCAGCTACCTGCTTTACGAAAATGGTTCAAGCATGATCACAGCACTCTGGACCTAAATACAATGATGTCCTTCTCTCAAAGGGGACATAGTGATTTTGCTTCCACAAATACTGCTCAGAACAATTCCTTGACATATATGTACACTAGCACTTGCAAAAAGATATAAAAAAACAAAACAAATACTATTACATTTCCAAACTCACAGGAAATAGAAGCAGCCACGTAATTGCTAATCATAGCCGCATGCTGGGGTTGGCAAAAGCACAGGGCATGTGCTGTGCACAGATTGAAGAGTTTGGCTATTTCCAAGCACAATCAAAATAAATAATGAAAGATATCTAGACAGCATGAGGTCAGTCTGCCAATGTATGGTGATGCTTGCAAGTTAAATGTCCACCAAGGCATTGGTGTAATCAAATAGAGCAGTCACACAGAGCTTGTGTGCAATCCACGAATGGCAAAACACTACTGTCACCCCGGGGCAACATACATTTAAGCCCCATCTAATTCCATGGCCTTTTAAATAAACTAGTTGGAAGGTCAGCATGGCAAAGAAAAGTATTGCATACACAAAAACATTCAAACCTAAGAACATACCTAGCTTAATATAAAAAAAAAAAATTAATGCTCTTTGTTAGGGGGGACACCAAAGGCCCCTTAAAGGAATACTGAACCGAAATTTTGAGCTCACAAAATAAGGCCGGACAGATAAGCGGGACGCTGCAAAACTCAAAAACATCACCCATACAGCCATATCTCTAACGGATCGCCATAGCTTTGGAAAGGAAGTGCGCGGTTGAACACAGCCGACAAAACACGTCAAGTTACGACGACGAGAGAAGCGAGGCCACTTTCCCTCATTCTCAAATTCTCTCGGGGAAACAATGATGTCAAAGACCTCGCTTGATCGCGCCCTTCTTTTCCAAAAAGTATGGCCATCCGTTCGAGATATCGATGTACGAGTGATATTTTGGAGCTTCCCTTTAAACGCTTCTGCGGCCTTTTTTTTTTTTTCTTTTGCGAAATTTAAATTTTGGTTTAGTATCCCTTTAACAAGTTTGCGTGCACAACAGCCATTCCTTGTAACACTAAAGTCAATCATGTGCCATCTGAGCAAGGTCGTGCCACTAATAAGCCTGAAATGCACTGTAAAAAAAGCCCGTGGGTCTACTTTCTCGCACAACGCTCGGACAGCCAATCATCGCAATTTACGGAGGCAGCTCAGTGAATGATGATGCCGAAACATGCGTTTAGACCAAAAAACACAGTCCGAGTTGTGACATTTACTAATGCAAAACTTCACGCTTGCATTGCTTAATGTCACAACTCAAACTGCGTTTTTTGGTTTAAACACATGTCTCGGCATCGTCATTCGCTCAGCTGCCGTCGCAAGTTGCAGTCCTTGGCTCTCCAAGTGTTGTGCGGGAAAGTAGACCCACGAGTTTTTTTTTAGAGTGTGCTTCAGCAAAGATCTACTTCTTGAGCAGAGGCAGCTGCAGGTTAGTTAGGGCAGCACAGACAATCAAGGCCTTGTCGATTGTGCACATCGCAACGTCATCAGACTTCTTTACAAAAGAGATTGGCAAGACCGTCTGAAAAATCCTGAATACTTTCAGCCGCCTAATTGCACGCTCTACGTGGATGCGTGCACGAGACAGCTTGCGAGAAAGGGTAACTTCTGCACCTGAAAGCTGTTTTTTTCCTTTAGTGAAGGCGGGGATCAGCAAGGTGGCACCCTTTGCAGCAAACATCTCTTGACACCGGAAGCCTCTGTCCACAAGGTAGACGTCCCCTTCCCTCACAATGTTCAAAAGGCCCGACTTTAAAGTTAGCTCCTTATCTGACACCCGTCCCCCCCACGCCCTTGAAATAAAAGTAACAGCTCCACTGGGTGACACAGTAATAAGGACTTTTACAGTGTTGTGGTGCTTGTACCTTGAGTATGTCTGGCTCCTGGCAAGCATGTAGGATGGTTTCTGTATGAAAATTTCAGTACAGTCAAGGACACCAATGACATTCCGGAAAACAGGATCACGGAAAGCACAAGGACGGTTACGGCGGACAGCTCTTTGTGAGGGCCATACAATTAACTTTGCAAGGTTGCATGAAAGTATGTCCAGCCAGGCATGAAACACAGCACCCACAGTCTTGGCGGACACCCTGAACCGGCATGCAAGGTCATCATTCAACAAGCCTAGCCTGAGCTTCATGAGCACAAGCACGAGCTGTTCCTGTGGCTGGAGAGACGTTAGCTCAGGCTGCCAGAAGCTCAAAATAAAGGACAGCAGTGTGTGAAACATCTGCACACTGACAATGCCCGTGTAAAACTTGACTCTGGTGTCCGAGTGCAGTGCTGCTTGTGTGGCGGAATTCCCGTTAAAACCAGCGATCAAGTTCTGATTTGTGGCCTTGTACTCTGTGAGGAGCTTGTCTGTCTCTTCCAGCCGATTCTGCGTTTCAGCAAGGGCACTTCTTAGCTTGCCATTCTCAGCCTCAAGACGCTCAATGTCCTTGATTGTAAGCATGGTACCAACAGACATGTCACACTTGGAGCTGGACTCGCAGTGTTCCACACCTTCGCTGTCTTCCGACTCAGTCGGAGCGTGGTCAACAGAAGCGTCTTTTGCTTCAGCCCCCGCTCGTTTTGAGCATCTTGCCTGTTGACGATTGTAGCGTTGCAACTGCTGGCTTGTGCGCGGCTTGCGAAATGGGAAGAGTGAGGGGCAATAATCAGGATGGCCTGGATCGTCTGATGGGCCTCCTGGGAAAAGGAATAGAAAAAAAAAAAAAATCGAAATAGATGAAGGGCAGGAAACACTGGCAAAAATCAATTTAATTTGCTCTACTGGAGTGAATACATAAATTAACGTTGCGCCCATCTTTGTCATGCTTCATCCTACGCGGCGAGCAGCCAGCTTTGGAACGCCTTACTACTGTACGAACGAGATTTCGCCAGAAATTGTTGCGTGCCCATGAATGGGTTCATACTACTAACACGCACACTTGGGGAGGTGAAGTAATTACGCGTATCAGATGGTTCCTATCTTCAAAACAGGTATGGCACGGTTAATCTGCACGGATGAACTGAAGAGAAATAAATCTTAACATTTTGTGGTACTAAAATGTTGTTCTAAACTCGTATTAAATGTCTCCTTCGTACAGTAACGCGCTCGGAACTCCCACAAAGTAGGCACGATGCGTTGGAAATAACATTCTAAAAAAAGAAAAACCTTATGGCTCACCTTGAATGAAATGCGCGGAACAAATACGGCTGTTGTTGTTCGGACGCCAGTTGTCCCTTTTCATCGCCTGCAGCCACGAAGCTCTTCGCTCGGGGTCTGCCGGAAAGCGGTGCGCTCTCACTGCAGACAGCAGGTTGGTGCCCGAACGCAAGCTGCAGCCGGGGACGCTGCAGCACGTTCCTTTCTTCGGCAACGGAGGAACGTCTTGCGAAAACATCTCGGCTCATGCGATAGCGGGCGCGGCGAGAAACGCGACACACTCGAAATAGCGAAACAAATTTCCACCCAACTACGTCGCGGGAAGCCGGCGGAGTCGGGGAGGACGGAAGTCGATAGGGGCACCTTCCGGTTTGAGTGACTGGTGGCGCCCTCGCGATGAGCTTTACCCGAAACAAGGTGAATAAGTATACGGTCGTTGGTCTCCGCGGCCAAGAACCCGAGCGCTGTTGGCGGCCACGGAGCTGTCGTAGGGTTCCGTCGTAACCGTACACACAACTTCCGATCGTTTCGCTCGGCGTATTCGGATTTGTTCTTGGGTTTCGCCGCTACGCGTTGCACCACACGACCAAAGCAAAAGCGGAGAAACTACCCCTTCACGCGATACTGATCGCTGCGTCTCCGGATGGATGGATGGATGAATACGGCTGAGCCCTTTGGATCGGGCGGTAGCTTACGCCACCTAGCCATTTTGTTTTACCATCGAGCGATCGCAGCGCTCCAATCGGTCGCGTTCGGGGCTATCCTATGTAAAGGATCGGTAGGAGTATTAATTCCTTGTGCGGGACGCACATTGACCGATGCTTGTACATGCGGCGGTTTGTTCCAGTGCGCCAAAAGGGTCCAACGCAACGTGGTTCTAGGATAGCTTGGACCAGCAAATTTTGCTACTCACGAAAGTGTTGACACCGTTCAATGCTCCTTCGTCGGCAACGTGAATTCTAGCTGACCTCGCCCCACGTAATGCGACGACATTTCTTCATCCATTTCGCCTCAAACGTCAAAAAAAAAAAAAAAAAAAAGACTCAGATTTAAGTGTTGTGACAAATATTGTACACGTGGAAACCACCAAGCAGATATGACGTACGTGTTGAGACTCATATGAAGACAATGAACGTGCAAATTACGAAAGTCCCAGGAATGTTCTGGGAGAGACAAAGGGAACATTTGTTCTTTGTCTTCCGCGCTACTGTTTTTGTGATCAACTATATTCGGCGACAAGTTACGAGTGAAGCGAAAGCTCCTCTTTCCACTCTGGCAGGTCTAATGCTGGAGAGGAGGCGATAATCACTCAGGCGTTTTGCTCTCCTAAAGTGGAAAGGGGTGGGACGAGCTAAACTTGTATCGTTGCATTTCAAACGATGAGCTATTCTTTTTTAATTCGACATCGGCTTGCTCGTACTTCTTTCGTCATTTGTCGTTTCATCTTACTCGTGTCTTACTAATCGCCGTAAATTGCATTTTCAAGCATGTCTATTTATTTCCTGTCGATATCGCAGAAGAAGAAAAAAGAAAAGGAGATATCTGTATACCTTACGGCTTCCACAATATTAAGGTTTTTTCTTTGATCGCACCAAATATTGTTTTTGGGAAGCCGTTCTCTCACTCTTTCTTTCCCTTTTAGAAATAAAATGGGGAAATCTGGTTTTTGCTCAACTTTATCAACCGCAAAAAAAAGCACACACACACACACATGGATGAAGAAAGAGTAAAACAATTAAAACGGGTACAACACAACCACATCTTTCAACATCCACATCTTTTTGAAAGATGTGGTTGTGTTGTCCCTGTTTTAATTGTTTTATTCTTTCTTCATCCATGACTTAAACCAGCACGCACGCACGCACGCACGCACGCACACGCGCGCACACACACAAACACACACACACACACACACTTTTGTGTGTGTATGTGTGCGTTACTGATTTTTTTTATGTCGTAAATTTTAGATGTTTCTACGCAAATTTATTATCAATCCCTTTATTATTTTTTTTCTCAAAACGTACACGCTAAGGTCTATGCGGAAACATATTTGTTTTTTAATTTTTTTTTGGCATTTAAATTTTCTAATAACCGGTTGGCTCCGCGCATAAATTAGTATGCGCAATTTTTTTTTTCTCTTGGTGTTCTTTTTTTTTTTTTTATGAAAGTATTCGGTACGCGTTTTTCACTTGACCTTGGCGATTCTCATCGGACGTGGCTTCATAGCGCGACGCTTTTAAGCGTCGGTATATACAGGTCGTCGTGAAGCTCTCCTCGCGCAAGGTCGGCGAAGCGAGCACGCCTGAAAAGAGAAAGAAAGATGCGACGAGAGGAGCGAGAGATTCGCATCAAGGACATCGGTGGATGGATGGAGCTTCGATTAGCTTAATTAACGGGACCCTCCACTCTTGCACGGGACCTTCGGCGACGATGCCCTTTGGAGCGACTTGCCAAGGCAGTTCCCATGCGCAACTCCACTCGTCAGCATTAGGTCCCAGGTTCGATACTCGGACCAGGCGGATTTTTTTTCGGTCGCGTACCAGTCACCTAGCTGCAGGGCCGTACACAGAAAATTTCTTCGGGGGGTTCTGGAACACGGTGGCCATCTTGAATGGCTGTTTTTTGTATTAACTTTTTTTAAAAACAGAAGCATGTGATCGGCCTATAATTAACAATAGCGAGCAACGAAATGTTTCACATGCACCATCGCAGCGGGAGTGAATTGTTTCAAAGCTTACTTTCAGTTTACGAAAAAAAAATTATTTATTTGCTCGGAACAAATCTTCGTCATTCTCTTTCCATCCTCTTTTCACCGCGCGAAACCCCCGGCAGGCCATCCAAAGCCTCTCAGGCGTCGCTCGCTCGCGGTGTTCTGGGAAGTTGGACCAGCGGACACAGAACCGATACGAGCTCCCCTCAAACGTACGTGTTTCTTCACTGATCTCTATTGTAGTAGGCTGGATCGGGAGCCCGTCGGTGTCGCCACCGGCGGCCATTGCTTGACACCAGGCAATACACGCAAGTCTATGGGAGAAACGCTCAAAAGTAAGCATATTGGAGCATGTACGCTGTGCTCGGAGGCGAGTATTTTATGATGAGGATGGGGAAGTGAGGCGCCCGGGGATTTTCTGCCGAGGGGGTGGCATCCCAGCCAATCCAGCTCTGAGTGTCACCTTACCCTTTGTGGTGTGCTATGCGAAGCTCAAGGTCATGTGATTCTCTCTCAGCCCTCGACTGGCGAAGACGGTCTCTAGCATCCTCTACGATCCACTGTGCGGTGGAACGGAGCGTGGTATGAGGATGGGGAAGCGACGAGGCGCCCAGGGATTTTCTGCCGAGTGGGTGGCACCAGGCACTTGGATAAGAGGGGAAAACAGGAGGATGCTATCGGAGTGGTTCTGAAAAGACCGGTCGTCGGCCGAGTGCGTTGCGGTTTTCGGGGCGCGGCGAAGACGCGCTGGAATTCACACGCCTCTGGTTAGCAGTAAGGAGTGCTGCGTTGTATATACAGGCACGCGTGCACCCCTAACAGCATCGCTGGAACTCCAGCGGGTTCCCCACTGGGTCTCTCGATCCAGCGACTTAGCGAAATCAAGGCCACCCCGGGCCTCTTTCGAAATGCACCCCATCGCTCCTCCCTTCCCCAGCCGACAGGTAAAGGGTTGGGGGGGGGGGGGGGGGCTTGAATATATTTCGGGGGGGGGGGGGGAAGGGGGTTTGAACCCCGAAACCCTCCCCCTGCTTACGGCCCTGCCTAGCTGTGTTCGGAGATTGGTGTTTGTCCTATGTTCTTCTTTTCCAGGGATTAGTTTCGTCATTCTTGTCCAGCTCGCTTGCATTTTCGCATTTATTTGCATTATAATCATAACTTTAAAATGCAAGCCTTTGATCATCCTTTCACCCTTTTTATAGTAAGACTAATAACAGCTAACGAAAAACGATGTGAATGCCGATTTATTACGCCGAATCGCATCAAAAATAGGCTCCAAAAATTGGGTTGCGCATGATTTTTGCTTTCCCCTCGATGTTACGAGCCAGGTCTAACAATCGGATAATTGAAGAATTTTCCCGCCGTTACCGCGCTCGTAATATACGGAAACGCGTTTCCTTTTTAAATAAAAGAAGTGCGTATTAGAATGAATGTGAAGCAAAACAGTAAATATGGGCGGTTTCATTTGGGTTCAGGCAACGAGGTGCAGTCGTATTTTTTATTTTGCCTCAAAGTTTTATATTTTGTGGCTCATGTTCCAAGAAGAACGAACAATCCTTTGTATGCGTCTGTTGTTTCTTTATTTTTTTTATTTTTGATACGAGTAAATAATAATTTGCTTGTTCTTGTTAAGTCGTTTTTCGGTTTTTCATTGTGTGAGCTCTCCATTTTCGTTCCTCGTGTTTTTTTTTTTTTTTAATCACCGTGTGGTAATTGTTTGTTTTATTCTGGAGTGGGATGACCCGGCCGTGACGTCATTCGTATGTGCTGTTGTTCATTACGTCGTAGAGACAACGCGCGCAACGAGTGGACCGCCACCATGATGATGATGATGATGAGTTTCTTTTATAGATGAATACTGTTTTTCCTGCAAGGCTCCTAAACCTCAACCAAACAAAGCCAGCTGTACACTCTTCGTTAACCGTAGTAATAGAAGCCGACAGTTGCGGACGCAACGAAAATATCTACCTAACAGGCTGTGACAGGTTTCCCATATAGTATACAATAAAAAACAGCGACAGCAAAAAAAGAACTAAAAGTTTACTACCTATTAGCTCTACAGTCAGTTTATAATTAAAGAAAATTTTAAACATTACATTTCAATAGTACAAAAATCAATTGATCGGGAAACGAAAAATGTACTCAAACACGCGGCTATGACGTCACATTTGCAAGATACTCTGTCTGGACGCTTAATGAGCGCCATATTCCTATTATGGCGAATTATGGTCACGTGACGTGTCCTATGCGTGCGGTCGCTGCCATAGAGTCAACGCTAGGGGTTCAAGTGGCGCTAGTGTGCTGACGCAAATGGAAGCAGACTGCAACCAGTCCAAAACAGACTTGCGGTAATGCATTTGTATGAGAAATTCATCGCATTAAAAACGGTGCTAAAACGGCTTCGTACGTGTATTTATGTGCACCGTCGGACACTGTTAGGGCGAACATGGCGTTGACGCTTTTCAGCATGGGGGATATACGTGCCAAACGAACGAAGGACATCTGGAAATTAAGGGAGATGGCAAGAACTATACAGTAACACTGGATCGGTAACTACACGTGCGTGTACGATCAAAATAAATTGAAGGCGACGTAATCTATTCCGATTTTAAATAAGTAAGTTATGCCACTTTGTTCTGTCTGCTCTATGCGAAGTTCTACGTTCAAAATATCACCCGCACGCTCGAAA